CTGTTTTCTCCGCCTTGATTCTCTTGGGTTAAAAGTTCTAACACCAAGCTCTCTACTCCACCCTTGGCTGTGTGTGATGATTAGCCAGTGATTATCTCCTGTTTTACTCGTCATGTTTTTTTTTTTAGTCAGGAAAAATGATGGAAAATGCTGTTAAATAAATTGTTTACATATGCCTCCTAGAACTGGAATGCAGCTATAGTAATTCTTTCAGAAGTTATTATCTTCCAGCTTTTCAAATAGGGAATTCCAGAACCAAGGCAGAGGGGATTTTAATGGCTATAATTCAAAGTTTGCCTATTGGGGAAATTCATTTTTACCATACATTTTTATAAAATTTCCTCCAAGCATTGAAATGTGGCCAAAGACATTCTTTATAAGCCATTAAAAACCACCCGATGGCTGCATCCTGCATGTGTCTCTTCTTTATCTTATAGTGTCTTATTAGCAATCTTGCAATTCTGCCATGGTTGGGCAGAAAAAAATACAATGGAATGAAATCTTGACTTAACAATGTGATACAGTGTGAAACAAGTTTGCATCAAAAAAGCCAATGGACCTAAACTTGGGAACTCATAATTTTTTTACTCTGGCTGTAGCCTTGCTTTCAGTAGTGGCTTTGAGGACTCTTGTATTTCACTAAGTCATGCACATGGATTTGATTTGAAAAGAATACTATTGTTGTTCTTTCTTGCCAGCCTATCCCATTCCTTCCTATCCTTTATCGTCAAGTTATAGTTTCAGGTACTCCGTGAAGCTTTCTCTCCTGATGAACTGCAGAACTGGGTATAAGTCCTACACTGGCATGTTCTTTTTTTTTAAGCTTTTATTTATTTTTAGAGAGGGGAAGGGAGGGAGAAAGAGAAGGAGAGAAACATCAATGTGTGGTTGCCTCTTGTGAACCCTGTACTGGGGACCTGGCCCGCAACCCAGGTATGTGCCCTGACTGGGAATCGAAACTGGCAATCCTTTGGTTCACAGCACACGCTCAATCCACTGAGCCACACCAGCCAGGACTGGCAGGTTCTTTTATGCTATTTTATTATACTCTCCAGTTGATTCATGGTTGTTAGTTTTGTTTCTTTAGGTACTTTTAGGCTTCAGAAACCTTAAGTTAAATAATTTGATTTCACTTTATTCTCCCTCAACTCACAAAGTTATTTTGACTAATGGTGTTTCAACAAATAATTTTTAATATTTCAGCTCAAAACATTTTGCCCTGGCTGGTCTGGCTCACTGGATTGAGTGCTGGCCTGCAAATCAAAGCATTACTGGTTTGATTCTCAGTCAGGGCACATACCTGGGTTGCTGGGCCAGGTCCCCAGTGGGGGACACATGAGAGGCAACCACACATTGATGTTTCCCTCCCTTCCCCTCTCTAATAATAAATAAATAAAATCTTAAAAAAACATTTTGCCCATTAAATTACACAAATTAATCTCTGGCATTCCTGTGTTGAGAGAGAATGGATACACTCACAGGCTCATTGAGTGCTGGGATCTATTGAACACCACAAAGTTTCATGTACTGCAGGCAAAAAGTTTTCACTAGAGCCCTTCCATCCACATGCATTATATTTGTCCCCAGTGGGAAAATGTTCTTTACTTGAAATTACTGATGTGCAACTTTTAACTATAATCCTGGTCAAATCATATACATGAACATTAACAGTCTTTATATCCTAATGAATTTCATTCAGTCATACTAAACTCTAAAAACATTAAGTAAGTCACACACAGACACACTGAATGGCCTTAAGTTTATGCCTGGTAGTAAAAATTGGCATGGGTTCTGATTCCCAAACTAAATTTAATATTGCTCTTTCCCAAAAAAACAAATTCAGAAAGGGCCTCTTCGGGGCTTTGCTTGTCCCGAGACGAGAACAGGCTGTGGAGTCATCCTTCGAAGGCCCGCCGATGAACGAGAGACATGGGTGAGATACACACCATCAGGGCAGCGTGAGGGGGCCTGGTTGTGTTTCAGTCTGAGGCAAAGTCCAGCAACAGTTAGCATGAGTCCTACCATAGTTACAAACAGAAATGTGAATCCCTGACTGGTCCTGTGGTTTCAGAATGAAATGCAACTCACCTGAAAGGTACTTTTCTTTTATGCACCTACTTGACCCATTAGGTCAAATGCCAAAATGGCATTCTTACATGGCATTAAGAAAATGTTCTCTGTTGGTAAATTTATTCCACCAAATGTCACTCATTTTTAAGTAGAGCATAACAAAAATGATCTTTTTCAACTAAATGAAAGTGAGAATGAACTAAAATGAAAGAACAAGTCCCTCTGCAGTTACTATCCTTCAAAGTCTCCCCATCTCCTGACCCGTTTTCCTGACCTGAGCCTGGCATAGAAGGCCCCACAGCCTAGCCTCCACCTCCCTGCTTCCACTGCTTCGGTCCACTTTTCACCCCTCACACTGGTGAAAATAGGGTTGCGTCCACTGCACACAACCATGCCACTCTGGGCCTCTGCACTGACATATGCTATTCTCTCTGATACTTCTTTCCCAAGACAGTCACCTAGCTGGCTGTTTCCTACTCCCCCAGCCTTTGTGAAGCACCACCCACTCTGGGCTCCCCTAGCACCTTGGGCATACTTCCACCAGAGCTCTCACTACTCTGTGTGCAGTAATCTCTTGTTAACTAACTGCCTACCGCCCTCGCCTCCAGCTCCACGAGAGCAGAAACCACGTTTACTCATGTTTTGTTGCCATAACAGCAAGCGCACCGCTGAACATAATGTTGGTTCTTAATAAATGTTAGCTGAATGGAAACGCAAACCTTTTACAAACAAATCAGGTTTAAAATGTCACTGAAATAACTTCTGATTATAGATAATAGGTGCACTCTGAAATCTGAAGACAGCCTGACTCAGAAAAGGAACATAAATGAACATTTAGAAATTGGATGCCTTTCAATTTCCTTCCTGTGAACCACACAGCCCATTTTTATTACGTGGAATAAAAAGCAAGAAACTGGAAAAAAAAAACCATCCACATCCTGTAAGCCCAAATTCACCTATTAAAAAGTCCAAATTAAGTGAATTTTCTCTTTTACTTTTTCTTTAAAACATACTGGGTTGGCCAAAAAGGCCTTTTAGTTATTTTCTGTGCAGCGGCTCTAGTAACACTTAGTTGCCTTTAACTTCATTTGAAACAATTTTGTTACATTGTATTGTGACAGCTATCATATCAGCATGCATTTTAAGGACAACTCATCAAACTTGGTGAGTTTTTGTGCAGCCATTTTAATCTTGAAGAGAGAAGAAGATATGTAACATTTTCAGCATATCATGCTTCACTATTTCAAGAAAGGTTAAAAATGCAATTGAAACACACAAAAAAATTGTACAGTGTATGGAGACGGTGCTGTGACTGATCAAACATGTCAAAAGTGGTTTGCGAAGTTTCATGGTACTATTGACATCTTGGGCAAATACTTCTTTGCTGTGGGGCTGTCTTATGCATTGGAAGACGTTTAGCAGCATCCCTGACCTCTGCCCACTAGAAGCCAATAGTGGGAGATAGCCAACATACTCAAAATATCTAAATCAATAAAGTTATTAGAGGAAATGAAAACTGTGTTTTTATTTTACAGAAAAGCCACATGAACTTTTTGGCCAACCCATTATCATTACTGAAAAATATGCTTATTTTGGATAACTTAAATCTTTTAAGAAAATCTGCAGTTGCAAAATTTTCCATATTACAGCTCAAAATAGAAAACTCGAAAGAAAGAAGTGTTTGTGGAAAGCTATTATTTCTGCAGTATATGGCTACTGTTTTATGTACAGCAAACCATCTATAATGAATTAGATGCTTCCTTTTCCCCTGAGCAGGTTAGGAGAGTCTCCCTGCTATCACAGCCAGAATGGGCTCCTCCAGGTGTCACAAACAATACCCAATTCAATTCAGTTCAATTAATTGGTGACCCTGCAAGATACAGGATGTAAAATTTACAAAATAAGTCTCTGATGCTGGGTTTCCAGTCCTCACCTCTGCTGATCTTGTTCAACACTGAGGAACTGTATCAAGCACATTTCCAGCTGTGTCCCTCTGAAAGTTCTTCTATGTTCATTGGTACACTATAACTTAAGATGCCATTTTTTTTAAAACTGAAAACATAGGCAGTTTATTAAATAGTGTTTTGGAGTTTGAGGAAAGAAACTAACGTCCCACAGAGAGTGAAATTCAGTCCAGGACGACATTTTGCATATTGGCTTTCTTAAGGAAATGTTTGGCTGTATCCATTTAAGAATCTGCTTATTTTTGTTTTGTTTTACATGGCTAAATTTAGGTTAAACAAAACAAAGCAAAAACCTTACTACATTTCTAGAAATTTCTAATGCCCTTATATGTCATGTAATAATAAAATGAACTGACAAAATATTGGCTATTTTAGATTTATAAAGTTACCACAAAACTATACGGCAATATAAACATTGGTATCAATGTGTAGTGAGGGATACCAAGAAGAGTTGATTATAGAACAATGCTAATATTATTTATATCCCTTCAGAAATCTGTTCTCATTTGACTATGATAAGAAGACCCAAAAGCAAAGGATTGATCTGGGACTAGTCTCCAGCTATTTTAAGCATTAACTGTTACAGACACTCACCTGTGTTTATCACATGGCTTTTATTTCCTTGCCCTCTCCCTTCCAGCACGCCAGCTAAATTCTTCTGTACTTCAAATCTAGTTTACATCATGCATAACCAGGTGTCTCTGGTCCACAAACTTTTCCTTCTTTAGACTTTGGTATTTAATATCATCATTTGGCACTAATGCCCTTCTATTTTTCAAAGCTATCCCATTAGCTTACCAGACCATCTTGTTAGCTCTGGTATCCTCACCAATAACTCGCACAGTTGCCAAACATGGCTCCAGAGGAATCTGGTGCCATGTGTGGGAAGCCAAAGGAGGCACAAACTAGACCCTCCCTGAAGACACAGAGGGCTGATGTCTTTTCACTCTTGCACTGGCGGCTTACCTTGTGTCTGGTTTTAGATTTTCTACTGTGGAGAAGGTTTGATTGGTAACTTGAATGGACTTGTTCTTCCCACTGAATGACCCATTCTCTCTGGATATAACTTCATATTCTGAAAAGTGAAAAGGCCAACAGATACTTGTCTTCATGTTCTGGCAGATTTAATTTTTCTTGAAGCTAACAGCATAATAAAGTCACACTCATGAAAATAAGCAAAACTCAGATTGCAGTTCTGATCTTATACATTACATGTTGATCTTATACATTGTACATTACATATACATTGTGTATACAACTTATACATTAACCATTTCCAGATCGGGAAGGTCAGCAGATGATGAAGGTCCCAAAGCACCTGGCAGTTGTCCATTGGCCACTTCTGCTTTTCCTTCAGCACAGCAAGGAAAGCTTGGTGATTGTGAAGATCAATGACTCTCCAATGGTAGCTTTGGAGGCTGGTCCCTATGATTTTGTTAGGAAAGTCAGTCATGGCTGGAAAGCACCTTGTGAGTGGTTTCCTGCCCTAGGGGCTTGTACAACACAGCGGGGACGCGGTGGGGAAAGGCCACTGATTGCGCGGTGCTGCTGCAGAAAACTTCTCTAGGTCTAAAACCACAGCAGCAAATGCCAGGTAACCCAACAGTGAACTGTACTGTCCTATGGGTCACTATTTTGATGTATAGAATTATGGGATTTTTGCACCTACTTCTCACATAAGTTACACAAATTTTGTATGTACTACTCAAATGTTGCCCCCTTAATAATTATCGTTGTATTTGTAAAAAAAACTATGTCTTTAAAGTCTGAACACAGATCTGCATACATTTCACTTAAAGGCAGGTTTCCATGAACTTGCAAGACTAATCCAAAGAGAAAGACTTCCAGAATATTAAATATAATTTACAAATTGGTTCACTTGTTTTCTCTGCCCTTTGTTGGGGTTTAGTTTACATGTGCCAAGATCATACAAAGGATTTTAAAAATCAAACAACAACTAGACAACAAAACCCCACTCAAGACCAGCTCCATCAATATAAGGAAATACGCAAGTGGTGGGCGTCAGGGAACGTGAGGAGCCCGTGGCTGGCACGTTAGTTCTCCTTCCTCAGACCCCTATTGTTCTCAGCTGTGTGGGGTTTTGTTCTGTTTCCTAACTCTTTTTTTTTAAAGATTTTATTTTATTTATTTTTAGAGAGGGAAGGAGGGAGAAAGAGAGAGAGAGAAACATCAATGTGTGGTTGCCGGGGGCCGTGGCCTGCAACCCAGGCATGTACCCTGACTGGGAATCAAACCTGCGACACTTTGGTTCGGAGCCCACACTCAATCCACTGAGCTACACCAGCCAGGGGCTGTTTCCTAATTCTTTTCATTTCCAGTTCAGTTGTTTTTTTACTCTAATGGGAGGGAAAGAGGGGGAGGTCCCTGAATTCAAATGTGTCCATTTTATATCTTTTCCTCAGCTGTGGAGGGATAGTTACTAGAAACAGACAGTAGTAATTAAAATGGAAATTGATTTTTTAAAAAATGGAAACTGTATGGCTTGATGGAAAGAGATAGGCCAAGCCTTAAAGCCATAACAGCTTTATAATAAATCCAGCAACATTATAAAAATGGAATATTAACTTTGGAATGAATATTTGTAAATGCATTCTATTTCAGAAGGTTTATGTCTATATTTCTTAAGTTTATGCCCATATTTCTTCTTTTCAAATATGGGGTCTTATTTATAATTTCACTAACAGTAGACGTATAAGGAAATCTATAAAGAACTAACACTGAATAATTAGTCTTTTTATTCCCTTCGAGGGTTTTATTGTCCTGTTATGAGATAATTCACTTAACAGAAAAAATTATTATAATGTTAGGGAACATCACTCTGGTCAACAGAACTTAAAAATAGTAATGCTATTTTTACCTTCCCTACTACTTCGACTACTGACAAACATTAATTTAACAGCTGCTAACTTAGGCTGCACATTCATTCTCTTTAATTTTATCCTCAGGATAAATTGCTAACAATGGGTATCATTACAAATAAGGAAACTAAAGTTCAAAGAGGCTAATTATATACCTAAGTTCTATATTTAGAACACAGCCTGTCTAGGATTTAAAACTGTGTCAGCACACTGTTGGCATCCCACAAAGCAACAGCTTATAACCAAATTAACTTTAAGTTGCCTGAGGACCCAAGCAGGCTAGGGCCAATTTCTTAGGTCACCCATTTCTACATCTGTGTGGAAGGGACATGTAGAAGCAACTAAATTTGAATGTATTCACTAGAGGTAAGTACGTGCCTGTCCATTAAAGGAAAGATTATTGACAGAAGCCAATATGGGGAATAAAGAATATGCTTCCCTCTCTTTTTATTATCTATCTCAATCCTTCCCTTTCAGATCATTTTCAGTGATATGAGAATTAATTTCCATTTTATCTGAGTTCCTGGTTTGTAAAAGATTACATTTGAAATTTAACAAACCATTTAAAAATAAATAGAAATGGAAAAATAGAACAGACCATTAAGGTTTATCATCTATCATTTAAATACAGACTAGATGAGTAATGGTTAAATATGGAATTATTCCTATGTGGAAGATATTACAGCTGAAGAGATATGGTCCTTATCCATGGAAATTGTTACAGTAAATCCATTATCTTGTGAAAGGTCTCAAGCAGCCCATCAAACATTTGATAATAACATTCCAAAAGTAATTGAAATACTTTGAGATTATGTGTTTATATAATATTTTTTTAAATGTTACATAATGAACCAGAAAGGAAAATCCTTCTGCTTTAAAAAATCAAATCAGCCCTGGCTGGCATAGCTCAGTGGATTGAGCGCGGGCTGTGAACCAAAGCGTCGCAGGTTTGATTCCCAGTCAGGGCACATGCCTGGGTTGCAGGCCATGGCCCCCAGCAACCACACATTGATGTTTCTCTCTCTCTCTCTTTCTCCCTCCCTTCCTTCTCTAAAATAAATAAATAAAATCTTTTAAAAAATCAAATCAGATGTAATTGACAAGTAAATATGTATTAGATGTATTAAATCAGCAATTTTCAACCTTTTTCATCTTATGGGCACATAGAAACTAATTTTCTGCATCACACCAAAAAATACACTTTCTGCCAATTGGACAAAAAATGGTATAATTTTGATGGATTTACAAAAAAACCTGTAATTACCTACCCTTATTATTCAATGTGACGATAAGATGTAACCCTGTTTTATGACCTATATATTTATGGTTCGAGACAGGGCTTTCACGCCGGACGGCTGTTGCTGTGTTGGCTGTTGTTGTTTCTGAATCTGACACTCTAAGGGAAAAGAGGTCAGTGCCCCTGACTAAATAGTGAGGCATTGCATGTTTTAAAAATTCCTGTTGCACACCGGTTGGCAATTGCTGTATTAGAGTATTAGACCTATTAGAGTAACTAATTAACTAATTCTCATGTGATGTCTTGCATCTTTAAGGCAAATGACATCTTACATACCATTTTGTTTTGTGAGAACTAAACCTCAGACTATCGCAGGAACTCCTGATTAACAAAGTCTATGGATGGAAAGTTTTGAATTTTTAAATACGTGTAGATAATCAATACTTAGAGACTGATTTTTAGAGATTGATTTAGAGTTTCAAATATTAGATATTTTAAAATATTGACTTAGCTCCTACCAGTATGGTCCCAAGTAAAGAGGCAGGACTAGGCAAGTCCCCAGGAACCACGCGCAGTGGCTGGTTCCTTCTCAAAACAAAGGTGAGCTTCGCATGAGAGAGAAAATTCACAAAATACAGCTTTTAAAAATGCCAACTAAGTAAAGACAAGCTGCTTACACTGGAAGTTTCCCAGACAGTTTTGTCTGAGGAGAAATAATGGCTGTTTTCTCCTTTATTCATGGAAAACTTCTTTGGCAGATCTGGGTATTGCACTCCCCACTCCTCAGTGTGCTGCTCTCGGCTCCTCCTGGCAGCTTCTTGGTGGGCTCTGTCGCCTGTCCCCCGGCCCGGGCACAGGGCAGGGACAAGGGCAGCAGGAACCCTGCATACTCAGGCTACGTTCTCCAGCTGATTTAGATCACTAGTCTTTCCCTTCCTCACTAGTTTGATTATCCTATTCATTATGGAGAATTAATTTCTGTTTAACAAGTTCAAAAGTGACTCAGGATTTCTAATTTTCACAGTAATTTTTAGAGGAAATGGATGGATAGCAGAATCAAAATTTCTGGAGATGAGCAGAAAATTGACCAGGACTAGAATTTTAAAAACATGTACCCTAAGATGACTGAAGTGACATTTACCCTGTTTGAAAGTTCTAGGTCAATCTAGAAATTGGATTGGTGAAAGGAAAACTGAGTTAAATATCATCAGCAGTGGAAACTTTTCCTATGTTACCTGTAAGTTTCTTGGTAATGAAACAACTAGATGTATCTTTACATTATGAAAGAAGAATTCTAAGCAGAGATGAAGGGATGCAGCTTGGAGAGATCTGCTAAGTTAACAGGGAGCTTGTAACCAGGACACAGACAACCTTTTCCCATCATACGACACTTTTGACAATAATGTGCCACTGGGACAGTGGAACTCTGCCAGGACTCGCTACTCCTGAGACGCGCCTCCCAGGGCATTATGTGACTCGGTGTTCCACAGTCCCAGTGTAGCGCGTTTTCAAAGCTTCCCACTGTAGTCTAATAGTCTTTCGGCCATGATCTTACCAGTGACAGTGTCATTGGGAGGCTTGTCCCAGTCCAGGATGACAAAGGAGGGGCACCCTTCCACGGTGACCACTGTGAGGTTGGAAGGAGGGTTCTGCGGCGGGCTGGTGGCATTCCCCTCCGTGGCCTCCTCTTTGGGGAACCGTTTGATGGAGTCGGTGATGGAGCAGGGCCTGTTGTCAGGCTTTGGGATGTATCGCACATGAGGACCTAGGAGAGAGGGACACTGACCATTGGTACTTTTTTTTTGAGAAAAATGGGGGAGGTGAACTCATAATTGTTTGAGGACATTTGGTCTCACATTATAAGCACATAGATGAAAGCAGTGATGTGGACGGTTCAGGCATGTGAAAATCTTGTCTCTAGGATACATGGGTGTTGATTTCTTTTTCTTTTTTTTATTGTTGTTCAAGCACAGTTGTCTCCTGATTTATTTTTCTAAATAGTTTAGTGTATACTAATATCCAAAAGTGATTTGTTCCCCCTGAGCATGGTTTAAACCTCACAGTTCATGGGTGTTGGAATGAGCACTTGAAAGGGGCTTGCCTCAGCAGTGGGCAATCACGGGCCTATGCTGAGCACAGCTCTGGCCCCACCCAGCAAACGTTAAAAGCTAAACTCAAAACGATCCAGTGGTTTCAAGTAATTTAACTGCATGCAGAACAAAATTCAAAAATATTTTAGGAATAAAAAACATATCCAGAACCCAACAAGATAAAATTAACAGGAAACTATTACCCATAATGGGAAGAAAAACAAATCATTTGAAACCAACCTAGAACTTGCATAGGTGTTAGAATCATTAGACAGAAACAGTAAAGCAGTTATTATCACTATAATCCACATGGTCAAAAGTTAAGATGTGAAAGATATAAAAAAGATGAAAATCAAAAATCTCACCAAAGCAGGAAGAGAAAGGAATGTTCTTAGCCCACTGAAGGGCATCTATGAAAAACCTACGGGTAACATAACACCTAGTGGTGAAAGACCAAATGCTTTTCCCATGAGATCAGGAACAAGAAAAGGATGTCTATTTTCACTATATCCATGCAATGTTTTACTGAGGCTCTAGTAAATACAGTAAGGCAAGAAAGCAGCCACCCAAGCTGGAAAGGAAGAAGTAAAACTTTAAACTTTACTCTTAGATGTTATGATTTTGTATATAAGAGACCAAGAGATTTAGAAAGACTCTACTAAGTGAGTTTTTGCCAGGCTGCAGGATACAAGATCGCTGTACAAAAATCTACTGCTTTTATATATACTGGAAATTAAATATAAATACTTTTTATGATTTTCTATGCACAGAAAACTGCAAAACACTGGTGAGAGAGAAAGTGAAGACCTAAATAAATGGTAAAATATACCATGTTCATAGACAGGAAGACTAACACAGCTGTTGATTTCTCCCAATTCTAATAAAAATCTAAGCAGGCTATTTTTTTAGACATTGACAAGCTGTTTCCAAAATTCAGGTAGAAATCTAGAGGACCCAGAATCACCAACACAACTTTGAAAAATAAGAGCAACATTAGAGAACTAATACTACCTGGTTATAGCACTTATCACAAACCACTAGTGATCCAGACACTGTGATATTAATGTGAGGGTGAGTAGATCAATGGGACAGAGAACCACGAAATATGCATACATATATATACATCTGATTTTGACAAAGGTACAATAAATTTGGTGGAGAAAGAATTTTTTTTATTAACAAATGGTGCTGGAAAAATTAGATATCCATAGCAAGAAAATGAGCTTGCATCCATTCCTTGTGTCACATATAAAATTTGATTCAATATGGATCATAGACCTAAATGTAAAATTCAGAAACTTATAGAAATAAACAGAGAAGATCTTTGTGACCTCTGCTAAGTCCATGATTTCTCAAGAACAACACAAAAAATACAATCTATAAAAAAACAAATGGATAAGCCAAACTTTATTAAAATTAAAAAGAGAAGCCACACAATGGGAAAAAATATTGCAAAGCCATGTATCTGAAAAAGATCTACCCACAAAATTTTAAAAATCTCAAAACTCAACAATAATGAAATAAGCAACTCCATAAGAAAAAATGGCCAACAATTTTGAACAAACACACCAGAAAAGAGATGCAGATGGCAGGTAAGGATGTAAAAAGATGTTCGGCATTCCTAATCATTAGGAGTATGCAAAGTAAAATCACAATCAGATACCACTGCACACTTATTAAAATGGCTGAAATGAAAAAGCCTGACCATACCATGCTGGCAAAGACCTGGAGGAATTGGAACTTTCTTAAAATCTAATTACACTCAGTAAAAGAAACTAGACCAAAAGTTCATACATTTATATAAAATTCCACAGAATGCATACTCACTTACAGTATAGCAAATCTGTGGTTACCTAGGGACTAGAAGTTGGGGTAGGAGGAGTGAGGGGGGATTATAACCTTTTGGAGGTGGGGACTATATTCATTACCTTGATCGTGATGACAGCTTCACAGGTGTATATATAGGTCACAATTTATCAAGTTTCATACTTCAGAACAAAATATTGCAAAAGGAAATACTGGTCTCTATATCATATCTCTCCTACTGTGTTAGATTAGATTACTATTCAAAAATATTCTCTATATCCATGAAAGAATAAACTTCCCCAATTCCTGATCTGAGCTTTGTTATATGACTTTCTTTGGCCAGTGAATACTGGCAGGTGTAACACTAGGAGGAGCTTAAAATGTGGTTATGTATTTGGATTCCCCCTCTCTTGACTTTGTGAGAATGGCTTCATGAGAAGGGCTTCCCCTGGGTCACTGTTGGTCCTTCATCTCAGGCACCAGAATGAACAGATGAGGAGCAGACCCATCCCCAACCCTCAAGAGGCCCATTGGAACCACCCAGCCAAGAATGTCCTAGATCAGCTGATGCCTGTTTGTCAATATCATGAAGGTGACTTGTACACGTGCGAGAAGTAAATCCTTGTTATACCAGGCCACTAAGATTCTGTGGTTGTTTATTAGAACAGCTACAGCTGACTGACACATCCACTAAAGATAACCTTGTCAAAATTGAACTTTGGGGCCAGCAATACACACCTTTAAATCTGGGCTTCCCAAGATGATCAGTTTCTCTTGTTGGACTTGAGCTAAAGTCACTTAGATCACCTGAGAATGGAATATAATAAACAGTTTTGGCAAAAGGTAAAGCTTCATGATACAATAAAAAGTAGTAAAGACTTTAAGTATTTAATATGTCTCCTAGACAATTGCTCAACCTTTGATTTTCATTTTTATTACTATTCATATTACCTGCAATTTGTGTCCTGCTATAGGTGTTCTGCAGTGTAACAAGTAATGATTTAAAGATTACAACTAAGTAGGTAATAGTTATTAATAAAATAAGGTATGTGCAATTAGTAACGACGTGTGATTTAGTAAGAAGCATTGGAAATCTAGATCTTTTCAGGAAGACTTTCCTAAAAAGCGTAGGCACATTCCTCTCTGCCTGTGAAAGGAAGGAACATGTTCTATATGAAACATTAAAAATAAGCATCATTTAAAAATTAAAACAACTCATATTAATCATAAAATTGAGTAAAACAGATGACCCAGAGCTGAGACTCTTTTCCCCCTAATTTGAAATCTTTTAGTACTTTGTAGCTAAGCGTCCAGTGGCAAGTGACTGACACACTAACCAAGATCTTCTCCTGAGGCCGGAGCTGTTGGTTGCTTTTTATCTATCTCTGTCCTGTCTGAGGGGGCCCCGGTAGGCCTGAGGGCTGTCTTCGAGGGCGGGGATGTTCTGAAGCCTGATGAAATGATTCCTGAAATGCAGAGACAAAGCAGTCAAGCTTTACAGGAGCACTGCCAAGTTCCCCATTCATTTGTTCAATAAATATTTATTAAGCACTTACCATGTAGCTTGGCACTATATGCCAGGCTTGGGGAGAAAAGACCTGGTATCCTTGATAGAGACAGCTGTGCGAGGCAGTTATACTGAATCATTATAGATATTATGAAAGAACTGGCTAAGGTTGCAGAGAGGGCAATGGGAGGGAATAGTAATGTCTATGGGGAAGGATGAAGGGTTTTGTGTGGGGGGAAGGGGCAAATAAATACCTTCAAAGAGGATGTGGCAGTAAAGAGAAGTGATCAGTAGCTGGGTATGAGAGCTGAATCCTAATTAGAGGTTGCAAGAAGAACCAAGTCAGGGAAGAATGTAACCATGTGGTGTTTTTAACTTGAAGGGTGAGAGCCAATAGTGCTGCTGGGCACCATACGAGCTGAGAGTGGAGGGGCAGGGAAGGGCAGCTCGGGGAGAACTGTGCACACCATGGATTTGAATATTATTTTAGGCAGCAAGGAGACATTGAAAGGTTTTCAACAGGGAAGCAACAGGATCAGTTGACAAGAGAACGGATGGTTAGGATGGTTAGGCTGGCGGCAGAGGGAGAAGAGAGGAGGCTTGTGCCGGCGAGGGCAGGTGGCCCAACGGCAGCCTCAGAGTGCTCACAGGCACGCTTGAGAGAGGACATGTGCTCAGGGCGCCCCTGGAACATTTTGTTGACTCCTGAATTCAGGATGCACTTTCTGTAGTCAGGCCAGAATTGTACAGCTGCCCTTCTTGTGTCTGGCTCCTCCATGTAGCCACTTCCTTTGAGTGAGATGTGGCTAGCAAGAAGGGGGTGGGGTGGGGAACCACAGTTAACCTCAGAAGTGGAATGTGATTGTGGTTCTTCCTCAGGAGGGGCAGGCTGTACGAGAGCCACGCTTACTGACGAGGGAGAACAAGGGTCTCATGAGGCAGGGGTCGAGGCCATGGCCTCCCAAGTTTTCTATGGGGGGCACTCCCAGTTTGACCCAGGTCACAATCAGTGAGGAGAACCAGATGTCCTCACTAGAGTCCTGTCCCTGGGCCTTGACTTGGGCAGGCACTGGAAACACACACAAGAAACTGAGTCCTCCTTCAGCTGACGGGAAAAGTGACCTGGAGCTCTCTGTGCACGTGACACATCAGAAAAGCTTCTCCATCACTATACCCTCTTACCCTGTGAAAAGAGTGACATCCATTCCCTTTCATGTAAACCATTAACACTTCCATCACTCATGGCTGCCTATTTAACACTTTCTTCCTGATTCCACCTACAGAAGAATATTTGGGAAGTTGAAATGGGGGAAAGAGGGAGAGGTGATGGGGGACATGCTGCGGTTTGTTGGAAAGTGCAGTGAAGGGCCCTTAAGAGAAACGCGGTAAAGCTTTGCTCTGAACCAGGTCACTTTTCACTGACTCTTAATTTCTTTCATTTATTCAGCCAGTGATAACTTATAACATATTCTCTAGGTGCCAAGCACTGGATTTGGCTCTGGGAATTTAGAAAAAAGGCACCAGGGACTCTGTCCCCACAAAACTCCTAGTCTAGTAGGGGAAGAAAAGTACACACACAGATAGAGAAAAACTTGCTCTTTGTTCTAACAGAGGTATGTATCAAGGACAAGTTGAACAGAGAAGAAATGCAAGACTACTTTGGGGAGTTAGAGAAGGCTTCTTCAAGAAAAGAGTAAAATATGATTATCTCAGGTGACCAGGAGGGGGTTGTTCTACAGGAAGGAGACAATACACGCCAAGGCACAGAGTGAGAGGCAGCTTGACTTCTAAAGTATGTTCCCGTCTTGTTGTATGGCACAGCACTACTAATATTTTAGTCCCTGGTCTTTCCCCTACTCCCACAATGCTGAGGCCAGCAGAAAGGCTGGTGGACAGGAGAACTCCGACGAGATGTAGAAGCTTTCACGTCGGAAAATACACTGATGACAGGGCATCACGCTGTCTATTATTACACCTGGTGGGATGGCAGTGTATTGGGTTGGCCAAAATGTTCATTTAGTTTTTTCCTTAAGATGGTTCTCATAGTGCTTAGTTGCCTTTAACTTCATTTGAAACAATTTTGTTAAATTGTATTGTGACAGCTGTCATTATCAGCCTGCATTTAAAACAATTTATCAAAATTGGTGAATGTTTGTGCAGCCATTTTAATATTGAAGATGGAAGAAGATACACAACATTTTCAGTGTATTGTGCTTTGTTATTTCAAGGAAGGTAAAACACAACTGAAACACAAAAAAGGATTTGTGCAGTTTATGGAGAAGGTGCTGTGACTGATCAAATGTGTCAAAAGTGGTTTGCGAAGTTTCTTGGTACCATGGACATTTTGGGCAAGTAATTCTTTGCTCTGGGGCTGTCTTATGCATTGGAAGATGTTTAGCAGCACCCCTGGCCTCTACCCACTAGAAGCCAATAGTGGGAGATAGCCAAAATACTCAAAATACTCAAATCAATAAAGTTGTCAGTGGAAATGAATAATGTGTCTTTTATTTTACAGAAAAAACTAAGTAGACTTTTTGGCCAACCCAATACAATGTCTTGCCCCAAATAATCCACTTCTAGGAGCGACTGAGTTGGCTTCTGTCTTCATTCTAAGCAGACACACTGGCTCGGATGCTCAAGGATGGGTTTCTTTCAACCCACCCACCCACCCACCCAGAATCAGGATATGAGACCCCGAAGCTATTTACAATGTCCAGTCTTCAGGGCCAAGACAGGCATGTATCATATACACCACGGGCTTGTCCACTGCCTGAGTCAGTATACCAAGAACAACTTGTGGTTGGATAGGACAGCAGAAGTCACGGAGGGAGAAGGAAATGTGTGTGACTGACATACCTGCACTTCCTGGCTTCCCAGTGACGTTGTTTGGTGGTAAAGGTTTTCTTCGTGGGGGTGTAGGCCTAAGTGGCCAGGGTGGGCGGCGGGTCCCTGGAATAGTGGCTGGAAGATTATAATACAGATAAAGCTGTCATAAGGATTCACACTGTGAAAATGACAGGTTTAAAAAATATAATGTTTGATAAGTAGTAATTGAATGAAAGAGAATAGATTCTACAGAAAAGTGCTTATTTCTGATATTCCTTTAAAGTAATGATTGTAAAGTACCAAGGGATAATGAAGCACATTAGTATAAGAAAAAAACCCTCTAGTTACGGATAAAAATGTATAGGTATATTTGTACAGGTGTAGAGAGTGCAACATCTTTAGTTTCCCATATAGCACAGGTGGCAAACACAAGGCCTATGGGCTGAATCTGGCCCTCCACCTTGTTTTATTTGGCCCAGCACCTTGTTTCTACCCATCGGCAGCGCTGAGCTCCTTGCCCCTAGTTAAGGAGTAGTTACATTTATACAGTCCTAACATTACATTCGTCCCTTTGAAGGCAACCACAAGGCTGATGTGGCCCCTGGTGAAAAAGAGTCTGACACCCCTGCCATATAGTCTTAACAGCAGCATTTCTGAGCTTCATTGCCTCCAATAGCATTTGATTTTGAGAATACAATTCTTACACCATTTAGTTTGAAATTGTTAGTGCATAATTTCTCCTTTAGTAGGTGATCTGCCCCATTCCCAAATCTATTGTGTAATTATAATTAAACGAACACTTTCAGAATTTACAGCAAAGGAGCTCTGATGGCGGAAGCTATAAGCTGGTGCTCACAGAGAGCAGGGTCATTGTGAATGGCTGTGCACTGTACAATGGCACCTGGCCAGCGGTGTGTAAGTGGGAGCCAAAGTTTAACACTCACTCTGCTACCACTCATGAGCCCTGGTGCAAAGTTGCCAGCCCAGAGGAAGGGTACATTTTTGTAAATAGCTTACCTAAAGGAAGGAGGGAAGAGGTAGCATTTAAAAATTGCACAAAGTGTCTACTTTGCTCAAAGGCTGGCTAGAGATGCCTGAAGCAGCTTACCTTAACCCAAATTTTCTTTTAAATCTGTGTTACAGCTTAAAAATTCATCTTCAACTTCTGGTCAAGATGGAGGCATGGGTAGACATTCTTTGCCTCCTCACACAACTTTTAAGAAGGATCACAACTAACTTCAAAACTAAAAACAACTAGACTTGCCAGAAAATCAAACTGTATGGAAATCCAACAACCAAGGATTTAAAGAAGAAATATTCATCCAGATGGGTAGGACGGGCAGAGACAAGGAGCCAGGGTGGAGAGGAAGTGGTGTGGCAGTGGCAAGGCAGCAGCAGCAGGGGCCAGTGGAACAGGCAGTCCCACATTCATGTGCGGTGGATAAAAACCGGGGGCGGGGGGCGGGGGAACCTGGGGAGCAAGTGATCCCAGCCCCAGGCCAGACTGCACAGCCAGAGTTCCAGCACGAGGAAAATAAAGCTTTATAACTTCTGGCTGCAAAACCAGTGGGGGTTGGGGTGGTAGAAGAAACTGCCTGTCTGTCAGGAGAGTCAATTTAAAGGACCTGCATGGTCCTAGAATGTATGGAAACCCACCTCCTCTGGGATTCAGCACCAGGGCAGCAGCTATAAGGGTGCAGTTGCATATGGGAAGTGAGGGAAGTGACTGATAATGGGGCAAGAGGTGAGCAAGCAGCATTGTTTCCTCTCCAATCCCTCTACCACATACAGTGCCACAAAATGGGAAAGCAGGTTGTTTCACCCAGGCAAATACCTAAGTCTCTGCCCCTTACAATGTAACAGGTGCACCAAGAAGGGAGTCAAAGCAGCTCTACCTAATACACAGAAACAAACACAAGGAGGCTGCCAAATTAAAGAGACAAAGAAATATGACCCAACTGAAAGAAACAGATCAAAACTCCAGAAAAAGAATTAAATAAAATGGAGATGACCAACCTATGAGATGCAGAGTTCAAAACACTGGTGATAAGGATGCTCAGAGATCTCATTAAGTATGGGAAACACATAAGGGAATAACACACTAAATGGAATAAAGAAAAATCCACAGGGAACCAACAGTGAAGGTAAGGAAGCTGGGGTTCCAATCAATGATTTGGAACATAAAGAAGAAATAAACAGTCAACCAATATAGAATGAAGAAATAAAAATTTAAAAAAAAACTGAGAAGGGAATAAGAAGATTCTGGGACATCTCCAAACATGCCAACATCCAAATCATAGGAATGCCAGAAGGAGAAGAGGAAAAGTCAGAAATTAACAGCTTATTTGAAAGAATAATGAAAGAAAACTTCCCTACTTGGTAAGGGAAATAGACATACAAGTTCAGGAAGCACAGAGTCCCAAACAATTTGGACCCATAGAGAGCCACACTGAGACACATCATAATTAAAATGCCAAAGACTAAAGACAAAGAGGGAATCTTAAAAGCATCAAGAGAAAAGGAGAGAGTTACCTACAAAGGAGCTCCCATAAGAAACTTTGCAGGCAAGAAGGGACTGGCAAGAAGTATTCAAAGTGATGAAAAGTAAGGACCTACAACCAAGATTACCTTATCCAGAAAGCTTAGAATTCCAGAGCACATAAAATGCTTTCCAGACAAGGTAAAGCTAAAGGAGTTCATCATCACCAAGCCCTTATTATATGAAATATTAAAGGGACTTACTTAAGAAAAAGATCAAAATTATGAACAGACACATGACAACAAAGCCACAACTATCAACACCTGAACCTAAAAACAACAAAGACAAAAACAAACTAAGCAAGCAACTAGAAAAGAAACAGAATCATAGAAATGGAGATCACATGGAGGGTTATCAGCAGGGAGGGGGCAGGAGGAAGATGGGGAAAAAGATACAGAGATTAAGAAGCATAAATGGTAGGTACAAAATAAACAGGGGCATGTTAAGAACAGTATAAGAAATGGAAAAGCCAAAGACTTATATGCATGACCCATGGACATGAACTAAAGGGGGGATTGCTGGAGGGAAGGGGGGTAACCAGGCAAAGGGAGGCAAAGGGGAAAATAATAGGACAACTGTAATAGCCTAATCAATAAAATATACTTAAAAATTCATTTCTTTCTAGGCATAATGATGTTGACTTAAAAATCATCATGTATAACTGGCAATATCAGAAAATGCCCTGTGGCTTTAAGTACTTCTTAGGAGAGGAGGAAGAGTATGTGTGAGGGGGTCCATGGTGCTCACAGAACAAAGATCTGTAGTCCAGACATCAATACACCACAGTAGGTTTCACAGTATCTTTTCAAAAAGCACGGAGTTCTTATTCAATGCAAAGGTATTCCAAGTAACCAGTTACTACATAATTTGGGCCTAAAATATACAGCATATTTGTCAACTAGAAACATAAGTCATTTCAGGCAAAAGAATATTGTAATAAATCACACAAGAGTAAAACTTGAACACGATGAAGGTTAGAACGCACAGTGACTCATTGGCATTTGTGTATTGTGGCTCACTGGAACATTAAACAAAGGAATTATTCAATTGGTACCCCATTAGAGGTTCTTATTAATGTTTAATTGTGCACAGGGCACTTTTCCTTCCCCCTAATATAAGATTTGGGAATGCTTTCCTAGCAATCCCCATGTCCTGATAGCATGGCTCTGATGCTTTGGGGTCATGCAGATGCTGCTGTTGCTGCAACCAATGGTATTGCCGTTATTGCCCATGTTCCAGCCCAGAGCTGAGTAAAGGAGTCAGCATCCTTTCCCTTACCTGGTTTCTTTGTGAAGTGGGTAAAGTTCATGGACATATTTCTATCAGCACTCAATGGCATTTCCTTGACCCCTATGGGCAGAGATAAGTAAAGGGCATAAATATATAGCAAAAATATACTAAATGTTCTTATTCATGGAAACTTGGTGGCGTCATCAGTGATAATGTGCATTCTTTATAGAGCAGGGACACTGGTGATTTTGTGTCCAGACAAATTAATTAGCTTCTCCCAACTGTAAATAGAAAAATATCAAAGGGCTACCTTCATTGGTTGTGATATTTTCCCTGAAGAGTTAACATTTGATTGTGGATTGTGGTTTTTGTCTTAACTTTCCATGTTGCCTGCACTGCCCTCCTGGGCAGTACTGCCTCAGCAGGAGGTTCACCCACAGTGATGGGCCATTCTTTTCCAATATTCATGGGTGCATTTTGTGGTTTTGAAAATTTCCCTCCAATCCCTTTACTCCCATTAAAAAAACCCCTAAAATTCCAATGTGTTTGGGTTTATACTTAATGAATTGACTTTTAAAATATTGTGGAGAGGACTTGGCTCTCACACTGGTTAGGCCACAAACTGGATCTGTACCTTTGAGACTTGTAGATTAATCCTGGGCAGGCCTAGAACTCCAAATAGCAATTTGAAAGAAACTAATCTGAAAATTACTTTGTGTGATATTTTGTCTCCTAAATTTTTCCAACATAATCTGGTGGTTATTACTCAACCATTCATCTAAATACCCATGGCCTGGAGTTTGGGCGGCTACCCTAATGGTTGAGAACACCAATTTAGGTTTCATCCTATTATTATTCCTATTCTTATTCTTAATCTTTTACATATAAAATAGTCTTCCCTGATGTGGCTGACTGTCTTCATTAAGAAAGAATAGAGAAGTTCTGGCCAAGATGGAGGCGTAGGTAGAAACTCTTTGTGTCCTCGCACAACCAAAAAGGAGAATAACAACCAATCTAAAAACCATAAACAACCAGAAGTGCCAGAAAATCAAACTGCATGGAACTCTGACAACCAAAGAATTAAGGAAAAAATCAACCAGAACAACCAGATCAGTAGGTGGTGAACAGAGAGGAACTCGTGAGGCTGCAGACCATGGGGGTGGGGCTGGCTTAAGGGGAAACTGAGACTCAGAGCTGACTGTGGACTACAGTGGTTGCCTCTGTGGGAGAAACTCCCTGTCTCACATGAGAGTTCATTGAAAAGTAGGCTAGAGATGAGCAGGGGAGCTGCATTGTTCCCTCTGTGGCCCCTCTCCCACAGGCAGCACCAAGCGCAGCAAAGAGGGTTGCCCTGACCGGGTGAATACCTAAAGCCCTGCCCCCTTACAACTTAACAGGTGCCCCGAACAAAGAAATAGGGTCCAAATGAAAGAACGGAGCAAAACCTCAGAAAGAGAGCTAAAGCAAGAGGAGATAGCTAACCTATTTGGTGGAGAATTTAAAGCCCTGGTAATCAAAATGCTCACAGAACTGATTGAATTTGGTTGAAAAATGAAAGAACAAATGAAAGATACCCAAAATGATGAACAGGGAACTAACAGTGACAGGAAGGAAACCAGGACTCAAATCAATGATTTGGAACAAAAGGAAGAAATAAACATCCAACAGAAACAGAATAAAGAAACAGGAATTCAAAAAAGTGAAGAGAGGCTTTTAAACCTCTGGGACAGCCTGAAATGTTCCAATATCTGAATTATAGAGGTGCCAGAAGAAGAACAGCAAGAAATTGAAAACTTATTTGAACAAATAATGAAGGAAAACGTCCCCAGTCTGGCAAAGGAAATACACTTTCAGGAAGTCCAGGAAGCCCAGAAAAGCCCAAAGAAGTTGGACCCAAAGAGGAACACACCAAGGCACATCATCATTAAGTTACCCAAGATTAAAGACAAAGAGAGAATCTTAAAAGCAGCAAGAGAAAAGGAAAGAATTACTTACAAAGGAATGCCCATAAAGCTATCAGCTGATTTCTCAAAAGAAAACTTACAGGCAAGAACGGGCTGGAAAGAAACATTTGAAGTCATGAAGGCAAGGACCTACATCCAAGAATATTCTATCCAGCAAAGCTGTCATTTAGAGTGGAAGGGCAGATAAAGTGCTTCCTAGATAAGGTCAAGTTAAAGGAGTTCATCATCACCAAGACATTCTTACATGAAATGTTAAAGGGACTTATCTAAGAAAAGGAAGATCAAAAATATGAACAGTAAAATGACAACAAACTCACAACTATCGACAAATGAACCTAAAAATAATAAAAGAAAGAAAAACAACAAAAACAAAAACTAAGCAAACAACTAGAACAGGAACAGAATCAGAGAAATGGACATCACATGGAGGGTTTTCAGTGGGGAGGGGGAAGGAAGGAATCGTGGGGAAAAGGTACAGGGAAGAAGAAGCATAATTCGTAGGCATTAAATAGACGGAGAGAGGTCAAAAATGGCATAGGAAACAGAGGACTCAAAGAACTTCTATGCACAACCCATGGATATGAACTAAGGGAGGGGGAATGCTGGAGGGTTGGGGGGTACAGGGTGGAGGGGGAATAAAGGAGGAAAAATTGGGAAAACTGTAATAACATAATCAATAAAATATACTTTAAAGAAGAAGAAAGAACAGAAACAGGTATTTTTAAATCTAAAATGCAAATATCACATTAGATATAATGGTTCATCCTAAAAGAAGAAACCATACTTTCAGGATTTTATAATAATTCACCCATTAAAAAATAAGAACATTTAGCCCTGGCTGGCGTAGCTCAGTGGATTGAGCGTGGGCTGCGAACCAAAGTGTCGCAGGTTTGATTCCCAGTCAGGGCACATGCCTGGGTTGCAGGCCACGGCCCCCAGCAACCGCACATTGATGTTTCTCTCTCTCTCTCTTTCTCCCTCCCTTCCCTCTCTAAAAATAAATAAATAAAAAATCTTTTAAAAAAAAAAGAACATTTAATTGATATACTAGTTAGTATATCAACGACAAATACAACCAAAAACACATCTCATTAAATTAAATATGCCACAAGAGCTTTGCTTGCCAAAAACTGGATGACATTCCCATTCATTTATGAAATTATATTAACTATAAGTATTATAGTATAAATTAACCTTATAATTAGTATTAATGTTATAATTATTAACATTATAATTACAATGATACCATTAATTTAAAAACCTAATGTTACTACCTATACTCTCTGATGTCTTAATAAAAGAAATATATAAAATCATGGTGAATGTTTATATGGAGCCATGAATTAATTGGTGCCTTTTTGTGGTAGGAAAAGAAATGTTTCTGGGGTCAATGACTATTTTGTGGCTAACCCCACAGGCATGGTGACAAGAAACAGATCATTAGTTTCCTTCCTCTGCCCTGCTGTCAGTGGTAAGGGGGCCAGGGAAATGACTCATGTGGGTGGTTACTCTGGGCACAGCACAGGGAAACGGAAAATACTTCCATCTGTGTCACTGGGATAACCTGGCTTGGTGAGATTTGATTTGCCACTATTGTTCAAAGGTAAAAAAAAATGTATTCTATACTGTGGAAGGCTAGTAGGCTGTGTGCGTCTGCAGTATACTTCTTCACAGCCTTTCCTCAAATTTTTCTACCCTTAAAAAAATTGAAGTATTTTGATTCGATACTGTTCAGGCACTGTTCATGTTCTTTATCTGATTTGATCCTTCTAAACCTTCTGTGTGGGCGACACCACCCAGGTACCACTGATGAAGAAATCCAAGGCAAGAGCAGATGAAGCACTGGCCCACGGCCTCACAGCTAGAGGTGGTGGGATTCAGACCCACATGTGTCTGGCTCTTAAGCCTATCTCTTAAGCCCTAAGTGGGCTAGTACAGAGTACTATCTCTCTTGTCATTTTCTTCCTTCTTTTATTCCTTAAAATAAAGTGATGTTAGCCCTAGAGTCCTATACTCTGTCTTTTGGGTGGTTTAAAATGCCACCACTGTGTAAGGGCTCAGTGCAATGACTGGTAGGCATGCATCATCCAGCCACACCACAAGGCTGACAGCGGCCCACCCACCCCAGGCACACACCAGATTCACCAAGCCATGGGCTGGTAAAATGCAGATCTAGGAAGGAACCAAAAATTCTGCAGCCATTACTTTATGAATAAGACCATCTACATGAACTCCTCTGGCTTCTAATTAAGGGAGAAATCAGCAGAAGCCAGGCATTTTCTCTTACTTTCTGTATATGTAGAGACAGAAACATCATACTGTTATGATCCTTAAAAGTAAATACCCAAATTAATAAAGTCTCAGCTGACAAACTGGGTCTTTTCTAGCCTGTAAAACAGATACAAGCTGGTGGTAGGTGAGAATGTTGGTAAAAGCCCTGCAAAAGACAGCCCCAGGACTCAGGGACAGCATGTTGAACTGGGGACAGGAAAGTGAACTCCAGTTCTGGCCTGGCCTCCACCTAGCTGCAGTTTGCATGCCAGCTAGGCAGCAATGTGAGCACAGAGCTGGGGACCAGTGAACTTCTGTTTCCCTGAATCAGATGAGAGCAAGTGAAGGCCAAAGGTAGCTGAAAGGAAATGGGAGGGAACGGAGGAAGCCAGTAAGAGATAGACTATAGAGAAAGCATCCTCTGGAATTGGCACACAATCAGCCATTCTGGCCCAGGCTGTGACCTAAATTCTTTTTCTCTCAGGCAGGATTAATCCACATATTTTCTAAAGTGCAGAGTTGGATTTGGAAGCACCAACACTCGAGCTTCACCATGAGCTCTATGGCCTAATGCGAGTTCTCCAAAAATTTCTGGATTTACATAGTTCACCTCTTAGGAATTTATTGTAAAAAATGAATAACAATTCAGGTATTTTTAACCATGGTAACAAAAACTTTGCAAGAAACCTAGTAAACTAGACATCAGTTTCCAAATATATCAGAGACTTTATTTCCTATAACCAAAATGTGGTAGTATATATGGATAATTGCTCTCCTCACATTTGTCCCCAAATCTTAGCACCTAGCTAAAAAGTCAGGGGTGATGAGCCAGCAGACTGGAAGTTTAGCCACAGCTCAAACACATTTCTCACCCAGGAGTCTGGGTTCTGGATGTCAAGCACACTCCATGTGGGGGCAGTGAGGTACAGCTTATTAGGATGTAGAGAAGGAAGTCTGGGGTCCAGATATTGAACATATATGCCAAACCACATATGCCAACATGGTTTTCAAATTACTTTACCTGGCATATACTGGGCATTCAATAAATGTTAGTTAAATGAAATAATAGCTGCACAACTCAACAGCTGTCTTCTGCAGGGAGAAAGTTGAGAGACTGTCTAGCATAGGGTCAGCAAACTTTTTGTCAAGAGTCAGACAGTAACTATTTTCAGCTTTGTGGGCCATAGGTCTGTGTCACAACTACTCAACTCTGCCACATTGTGAAATCAAGCTATGTTTTGTAAATAAAGAAATCTTTATTTACAAAAGTAAAGAGTGAGCTGGATTTGGCCTGTGGGCTGAGGTTATGTGATCCTCCGATCTAGTGCATGCTTGCTGCATCTCTGAAATCAGACTTCAAGTTGCTTATAATATGTAGAACACATCAGCAGAAACCATGAAAAAAGAGATGCTGGAACAATGGCCTACCTAAAGTCCCAACCTCTTGGTACTTTCTAACTTTAAAATGGAGAATATTTATGCATATAGGTATGGAATCCACATAAAGCAGGATCAATATCTGTAATGATGTTATGAAATAAGACACTCAGCTCAAGATGGTTTAAAGATTTCTGTGGTTTATGGAATCACTGCAAAATTTTTACAGAGGTCCAAGTAATCAAAGGTGGATATTTTTGAAGCCTTAGAATCTTTCTTCTCTAGTCTTCCAAGAGCACAACCTTAAGAGACTTAAGACCATGAAGAACAAGTCCTATAAATCCTCAATGCTTCTTTATCAACTAATTTTTTTAATAAAGTATCTGGGCTGAAAACTTCAGCATGGAAAACTGTAGAAAATGCACGTGAGATGGATAGTAAAGATAAACATTCTGGGCAACATGTCAAAAGTTGAATAAGGAATTAGGTGACACAGAAATGCTGTCTCATTAAGACTTAATGGAGGATAGAGGTGAGTATGGATGAGAGAGTGGGCCACAGAAGAAAATAAACTAAATGTGAATACTTGCATTTCTGTAAACAGATCAAAACTATGCAGAATCAAAGAAAGGTAAACTCATATAAATCTATAACCTGGAGAAAATATATATTTAAACTTTCTTTTTCTTATCAATTTTTCAAAACATTATTCCCTCGGCTAATAGTCTGAGAACTACTAAATTTTCCTTTCAAAGGTGCTAAATAATGTCAACTGTGATTCCCAATTTTTATACAACTTACTTCTTTTCTTGCCCTATTGCACTGGCTACCCACTCCCTTACTACTTTTGATAGATGTGGTATAAATAGGAATCCTTGCTTGTATTCTTGATGTTAGGAGAAAAATATTTCGACTTTCACTGTTAAGTATGATGTTAACTGTAAGTTTTCCATGGATGCCCTTTATCAGTGAGGAAAATTTTTTCTAGTTCTAGTTTTCTGAGAATTCATCATGAATAAATTTTGAATTTTGTCTAATGGTTGTTTTTTGTATTTATTGAGATGATCATATGATTTTTCTCCTTTGCTCTGTTAATTTGGTAAACTGCACTAATTTGTTTGACTGTTGAACCAACCTTGTACTCTTGTGGTAAGCATCACTTGGTTATGTACTATTGTGGCTGACAAGGAAATGTACCACCCAGTGAGGTTAGCACAGTTGAATACTATATGCTAACCTCACTCCCCATAGGTGGGGAGCAAGTGTTTCCCTGAAGGGAAATCCTAATAGACAGACTTTAGAACATAGAATAGGTGCAACACAGGTTTGTTGGGGATGGAGGTGGAGGAAGGGTAGGGCAAGAGTGAGCTCAGCTTTGTTTACCTGTGCCCACCAGCCCCTTTCTACCAGCAACCAACTAATTAAATCGAAGAAACCCTGACTAGGGGTCATCCAAGGGTAATTAGATTAGTTATTTTTACATAGTTGACTTCATCTACAAAAGAGGGTAAATATATATCAGTTTGTGTTACAAGTGGCACTGAAAAAATGTTTATATTGCTGATAAACTAAAATATAATGACTCTCTATTTCCCTCTGAAGAACAATTAGTATTTTCCTAGTGAGAATCAATGCTTGATCGTATTGAAGGCTTCTGAAGGCTTTCAAGTTTGATCATAGCTACTTGTTCTTTCATTTGCTTTGTTGACATAAATACTTTCATCTATTTTTACTTAGACAAACTTGAGGGAATTACTTTGAATATTAAGAATATTGGCTCTGTTTAGAACCAGATTGTTTATGTCAATTTGAGAAACTATGCATTGCCTAATCCCACAGTTGGGAAAAATTAAAGGAGCAGTTGAACACAAATAGATACCAGAATCCTTTCTTACTTTTTATGACTCAGGAATTTATAGAAGGTGTCTCATTCCTTGGTTTGAAGGGAAGCAAATTCCTAGAACTTCAGACATTGTAACAATCTAGTACAAAAAATGCATTCTAAAACAAAACTGAATGATTTCACACTGAAATAGTTTCAGGTATGATTCACATCTTTTTCTCATTCAAAAACCATCATGGGTTGATTAAATATATATCATTAAGTATATTCTAATTTTTATGCTTTTTTTATACAAACACAAATTTTATGGTATTTAAAAAATATTGAAAGGGAATAATGCAATCCTATATTAAGTCCCTGAAACTATCATTTACCCACTTAGTGAGCTGGGTGTTAGACCTTCTATCGGACAGTTGTCCTGGTTATCTGTGTGACCCCCACTCCCAGAGAAGAGACTGGGCTAGGGCAGTGGCGCTTCATTAAGCTGAATGATATGGAAATATTAATATGACTATAATGAGGGTGATCAACTGCCAATTCTTATTCTTATTTAAATACTATATTCCAGATTTCTAACTGATTTAGGTCTTTTAAAAAGTTATAATCATATTCGTGACATTATAACCTTGAAAGCCAAATGATTTCAGTCTCAAAGACCAAGGTTCTGTATGGAAAGTGTTTTGAAATTAAGGAAGACAGCTACTTTGATATTTTAATTCAATAATTTATATGTACAATCAGGATCTTTTAAAGAATCAAGATTATGTGTGGTAGCTTATTTAGTGGACTGGATTTAGAAAAATGATAAATCCTTCTTTAAGATTTATTTACAGAGACATTTGAAGCTTTGATATTTGGAATGCATCACAATTTTCAATTTGTTATGTTAAGAACTTCCAATACTGGTAAAAAAAAAAACCTGAAGTGAGAATTCAACAAAATTATAAAAATTGAATGAAAAATCATAGTGTTGGTAACATCAAAAGGAAATAAATTTGTGATCATTACCTGTTCCCATTCCATTCCCTTTGGGCATCCCACTGGGTCTGGGTCTACCAGGTCTTGTAGTTGTCTTATTCAGAACTATAATAGAGTGAGAAGAAAATAGTTCAGACATTTTCTTGTGAAAATTTGCAGCCATGGAAAACAAAACTTCCCAGAGAATTGTAAATCATTTAACCAGGCAATAAAATAATGTCTTACTAAAGAGTATTCAAAATATAAAAACCACAATTCTGGTATAAAAATCATAGGCTTGAACTTGGAAATAGAGACATGAGTCTGTACTCTGATCTGATCACTTGACTTGGAAAAAAATAACTGGCAAAGGAATTTATATTCCTAAATGGGAAATATCTTGCTTCAATTATAAGCACTAGATCCATTCCAAAATGGGAATGAAGAACAATCAGGACTACCTATGGTAATCAAAAACCAAAACTTGAAGTGTATTTATTTGTCAAGGCCTAAATTCGTAACTCATAAATTGATGGTCCTTTTGAATGAATTTCTAGGTACAGATGGTCCTTGATAATTCTGGCAGAAGCTATCACTGAACCCAGAGCTGTAATAAAATTATTGGAGTCTCCCTTCTGCTCTGCTGACAGCCATAGCATTACTACAACTTTAAGAGGTCACCTATCTTATAAAACTCTTTAAGGAAAAGCACTAACTGTACTTGTGGTTAAGAGAGCAAAGACTGGAGCCTGATTGCTTGACTTTGAGTCTGCTTTCTAGCTTTTCTCATGTCTCCCTTAACTCTGCCTAACAGGACACATGGCAAGCACTCAGTCAATGTTAGCCATTATTGCTACTATTTATTATTTTGTAGAAGCATTTAATATAACCAGCTTTCAACAGCTATCATGATACAAAAGTCACATGGAGATATATTTGTTTATAAAAGACTTCTGTGCCTAACTATCTTTAGGATTTGGAGGATACTCCAAAACTTATGGGCTTTCCATAAATCAAAGGATAGAAATAGTTATTTGTTTTTTCTTCCATGTGCCTGGAGAGATATCAACCAAGAACATTAATTTATAAGCCAGATTCATCATTTAGAACTTCAAGAAGACTTTTATAAACACAGTGGGGAGAGGGCAGAAAAATCCAGTCTTTGGTCCAACTTATGCTTTAGCATAGAAGTGATTTACATGGACCAAATCAACCCCTTTAGCTAACTCTTCCCAAACAAGCTCCAGTAAGGGAAATACTAGAACCTTTGGAGAACTTAGTAAATTTAAAGTATTTTCCAGTGTGTAATTATCATTTTATTTTTGCTATTTATAACCTGTAAAATGAGTCTGCTTTTTATTTTTTTCACATTTTTTTATTGTTGTTCAAATACAGTTGTCTTCATTTTCCCCCCACCACTACCCCCCACCCCAGCCATCCTCACAATTCACCCTTGATGCTACCCACCTTTGGCTTTGTCCATGTTTCCTTTATACATGTTTCTGATAACCCTTCCCCCTTTCCCCCCCAGTATCCCCTCCCACCTCCCCGCTGTATTTATTTTATTTTTAGACAGAGGGGAAGGGAGGGAGAAAGAGAGGGAAAGAAATATTAAAGTGTGGTTGTCTCTTGTGTGCCCCCTACTGGGGACGCAGCCTGCAACCCAGGCACGTGCCCTGACTGGGAGTTGAACCGGTGACCCTTTGGTTCATAGGCCAGTGCTTAATCCACTGATCCATACCAGCCAGGGATGGGTTTACTTTTTAATCATTATAAGAAATCAAGTAAAAATATTCTCTCAGATATGAGCTTTTTATACTGAACAGACTACCTTTTTTTAAAAGATAAATAACATTTGAAAGCAATTAATATGTCACAGAGAATGCTAATGCTTTGTATAAGTGCCATGGAAGACTGAAGGAGTGTGCATGTGTGATTTATACACAAATACTATTTAAAATTTATATTGATGAAGGTCCATAGTGGTCTCTGAATCTCATCCTCCTTAAAAACTTCAGTCAAATCTTTTCAGCTCTGTGGATTCAGCCTTACCTCCTTACTTCCCTGCAAAGATCAGAATTTCTGTATATCTTTTATTTCAATTCAAGTATATAGCTCTTCTGCGGTGTATCTGACTGTTTCAATACATTTTATATCTTCTCAGATGTACTGGTTGTTTAGGTTATCAGAAAAATCACTCACCAGGTCTGGAGTGTGGTCTGTCTGGTACTCTGGGCCTCACAGGAGCCGTGTGCAATCTGTGTGGTGCTGAAACACAGGAAACACTTTGTGTTTAATATCCCATACTCCAAAGCCCACTGCATGGAGGTTTAGAATCCTAGGGACTGACAACTTGCATACTTTGCATGAAAGCACAAAGAATGTTCTGCAACCTCTAATTATGCATCACAACATTGATGCTAAAGGAAAATAAAACAAGTGAAACTATTCATGAGTGGATACTAAAGATACACATTGTCAGAATGAGGTAGGTCATTTCTAATGTGTGTTAAGGGTGTCGTCATTTAGTCCATGTTTTTCAAGGGCATTTATTTTACCAGATGGTTGCTTAACATGGTAAACATTTAAGGCAGCCAACCATCCATCCATCCATTCATTCATCATTTGTGTGTCCATCTACATGCCCATCCATTCATCTATCCATCTATCCACATCATTCAGTTAGGTAGTCACTGTGTAATGTTATTTTGCCAAAAAAGGCAAGTAATTTTAAAGGCAAAATGTAAAATATTTTGAGGTAGGTAAGAAGAAAAGAGTAAAAACATGATGTCTATCAAAATGTATTAACTCATGGACCCTGAAATGAATAGTCAGTACCATTGTTTACAGTCTCAGGATGAGAGAAAATAAGCTCCAGTGTCCTGCCCCATCGAGAGAGGGAGAGCAGGGAGTGAGAACTCCCAGCAGCCCTGGGACCGACGCATCACCTTGTCACTTCCTGCTCCTGTAATTCAGGACCTGGCACAGTGAGGACTCCTACTGAAGCCTTTTTGAACAAATTAAAAAATGAGTGACTCCTGTAAACAGGCAAATTCACGAGAAACTCAGCTAAAATATTCTTGCTTCCTAAGGTTTTAAAGCATGCATTCATCCTGGCATTTGTCCATTCTTCCCTTCCCTCCTCAGCTCCCTCGACACAGCATGCTGCCTTCTTACTCCAACTTTCTTGGTAACACGTTAGCTAGGGATGGAGACACATTTTCTTGCAAACTTGTAAACAAATTACATGTTTACATTGGTTTTGCTCTCACCTTGAGTGGGTATTTATGTAACCATAAATCAGCAATGCCTTACCTAACATTAAAAAAATACACCTGCAAAACAGATTATAATGTAGCTCATTTATAAGCTTCCAGTGATGAGCAGATTTTTGCCATACTTCTAGCCAAAAACAGCAGACACATACTGCAATTCTCTGAAGATTCAGTGTGGGCCTTTCAAAGTGGAATAACTAGAGTGAACAGAGATACTGATGTTGTAAAATATAAATTCTCAACACCCTGCATGTGTGATGATGACCAGCCAATGCTTTTCTTTAATTTTCTTTGACAGTAATAGGATTCTCTGTCAAATTAGCATATTTTAGCTTTTCATGTTAATTTCTTCCATATTAGATTGCTTTCACTTAAAGAACTACAACCATCATGTTCTTACTAGTCCCATTTTAGAAAAAAATATAAATTTTAAAACTTTATTCAGAAAAGAGACAGAGCTGAACACAAAAATAATCAGCACTATATTCATTATTTCAAAGCCGCAGGATCAGAATTTTCAAAAATTTTTTCACAATCACTACTTAAATCTAAAAGGAACTTTTATAAAAGAACTGAAATATAATTTAAATTTAGGCCATGAATTACTCATATAGCTCATCACCAGATAACACATAGTCTTGAGAAAGTTACTCTAGAGTTTTAATCATAAACTAAAACAAACAAATGAACAAACAAAATGATGACAAAGGAGCTTTGTGACAATGTAATTATGTAAACATCATCTCCATGTAGTTTTTGATGACCAATAATATAAAACTAATTTTAAAAGATGACTTCACAACTGTTTAAAAAGTCTATGTAAAATGAACGTTAAAAATGTTGTATGATGATAACATCAAAACTAAACAAACAGGGATTATGGGAGAAACACTTTGAATGATGTATGATCTGCCCAGTATAGGGAGAGGGAGAGGGAGAGGGAAAGGGAAGGAGTGTTCAACTTTGCTTGGGTGGGGTAAGTATCAGAGGGCTGCAAGGAGTAAAATAATCAAAATAGTCTCCAAATGCCCCCGGCCACGTGGATTTCTGCTATGGATAGAGATGAGCTAATAATTGGAAAGGTAATAAAGTAAATAATAAAATAAGCATTTAAAACATAATAAAAGTTAAACCAAACAAGTAAAAGTGACAGAAAATTTACAAGAACTGTCCTATGTCATAGTGCTCAGTCACATTTATTTAATAAGTACTGCACTATTTACTATAAAATATACACCATAAAATTAGTTTTCTTTTAGTATCACTTCCTCTTATAATTTTAAATTTCTTCCACTAAATTCTCTCCACTCTCAAATTATAACTGACAGTGAATACATCTGTCTCCCAACTCTTCAAAAAATGTTTGCTTTGGTCTTATGGGCTTCCTTCCCTGTGAAAGAGGCAGAGCTGGGCAAAAGGGGTCAGTTAGAAAAAAAAGAAAGAAAACACAAAGACACTGGAAATCCACAATGATTATAACCCAAACAGGGTAAAAAAATTCTTCTGAGAGAAAGCAGATGAGACAGAGTTTGTGCAGGTGAGTTTACTTCCTGAGGCCACAACAGCAGTATGTCCCTCAAGTTGGGAGACACAGGAAGAAAAAGGAAAAAAAAAGGGAGGGGGGAGGAGGGTAATAAAGATTCCTATTTACCAGATGTAGAAAATTAGGTGAATGAAGGTCAGTTAAGAAATAGCAAAAGAGAGTTTTCATTGTTAGTTATCAGCATCACGAGGTCAACCATACATTCAAAGGCAAAGCTCTGACTAAAAAACTTATTTCCCTACATTCAACTGATAGTCATATGGATATTCATATGTGGCTGCACCTATGAAATGAAAAACATCAAGTAATTCACTGTGATGAGAAATTACATTCTGTATTATTTCCTAATTAAAAATGAAGAAAGAAGAGTTACCGTCCAGAGGTAGAAAAACAGTATTTACCCTGAGTTGTCTTTGCCATTTCAGTTGTTTGTGGAATCTTAGCTGTGAAGTGTTCTTGAGTGGATTGGTCTATTTCTGCCAGGGATTAAAGCACAGTAAGCTTGCTTTAAAGAATTATCATTATGAACATATCAAAAAAAATTCTTTACTGCCCCCAAGCAATAATAAAAGGGTAATTTGAATTTATAAGTGTGCTCAGTACTCATAATAATTCAAAGATAATGGTACATTTTAATAACTCTCACTTATTATATTTTCCCTCTTCCTGCACTAGTTATTTTAATGATCCTTTTTAGGATGTCCAAAGCTTTGAGCTCAGGATCAATGTTTCATGATGCGGGAGGTGGGTATGCTTGGATGTGCCTCTTAGCTGCCTTCATGTCTCGTGCATACCACGTAAATTCCACAAGTTGTTTAGGTGAGCAGGAAAAGAAACAGGTCAGATATAGATGGTATCTACACCATGTAAGAATAAATATTCTTTTATTTTCCTCATGCAAAAACAAAGTTTATGTTTACTGACCTATAGGTACATTTCTTGTGACAAAATAAAAACTAAGCATGGCAACAGGTCCATGCTTAATAGTATCTTGGATTCATTACCACATCACACAGAGACAGAAAATTATGCTGTTCTCTTTGACATATACTGGAGCCAAGGAAATACTTGGTACAAATAATATATTGTCATCTTTTTCTCCTGTTCTACTTTAAAATCTGGATTTGGCTCACAAGAGAGATACTTGAGATAAATAGCAGGTGATGGTTCTTGTGTCAATAAACCAAGATATATTTTTAAAAAGTAGGGAGTAGAAGTTAAATAATTAGCATATCTGGCAGTGGTTCTTGAAAGCACTTTTGACTCCACCATCACAGGGGATGTTGACCCTGTGGGCCTAGACTAAAACAAACAACTACTTGATAATCAGTGTATATTCGCTCAGTTTTCAATTTATTCTCCAAAAAGAATTTTATTTTAAAATGTGATCAGTAACGTCACTTTAGCATATACAAAGAGTGGGTTCTTTTGAAGAGGGATTAAGGGAGAGAAATAAGGCCACTGATTTAAATATGGCCATGTGTGATGTGGCACAGACAGGGCCGAGCAGCCAAAACTCACAAGCTGGGGACGTTTTTCTGGTTCATTCTCAGCCAAGAGTCAGGCAAACTGGGATTTCCTGCCCAACAAACTCCTTGAAACTCTCCCAGGGCCTCCCTAACAACTGTCCTGGCTAATCCATCCTCATTTCTGCAGGTGACCTGCCTGCTCATCAGATTTGTTTGGCCACCAGCCTCTGCCCTGTGCCTCCTTCCCACCAGCCATTAACCTGAAAGGACATTTGCATCTTTAACTTTAACTGTCACTCCACCTCGAAGACCCAGTGTAAATGTCACCTCCTCTGTGAAGCCCTCCCTGATGGCTACAGGTATTGTTCTTGTTCAGTATGTTGCTCATTCCTCTGTCATACTCATTATAAAGTAGAACACTGGGGTGAATCCCAGCAGCTCTGGTAACTGAGTGTGTGGGTTCCAATCTCATGCTGACATTAGCTGTGGACTTGGCCCACATTTCAAATCTCTCCATGACTCAATTCTCTAATCTGTAAAATGAGAGAATTTGGAGAATTAGAAATTTAGAGAATTAGAAAATTAGAGAATTGGAACAAGTAATAGAACCTACCTCACAAAGTTGTTATGTGGCTGAAATTAAGAATTACATGTAGCACGTTGGGTGGCACTCAGGAAGCACCACAGTCACTAAGTTCTGCCTTCGATACATGGTGAGCTCTCAAGTGTAAGGGCCCATTTTAAAACAGTTTTACCTGGAAACTCCCATTGCTGAGCATTATGCTTAGTACCCATAAAATACTAAAAAAATACTAGATTCAATTTTTTTTCCCAATGCAGTTTCAAATACAGAAAAAGCAATAAAAAAAAACAGAGCATTAACACATATTGAGAATATTCTGCTTTTTGGGATACTTAAAATTTTGTCAAGATGCTTTGTAATATTCTCATTTTACCTTAAAAATCACCATAAATATTAGGACAAATACACAATTACTGTAAAAAAATCAAGTGAAATGCAGATTTTGCATAATGGCAAAAAGAGACCCTCAGTTGCTTGGAAACAACCCATGGACACAAGGTACACATGGCTTCTTTAAGGGCAATCCATAAAAAATAGACCCCCATTGGACTGAAATATCAAAACAAAATTTACCCAGAGTGCTTTGTAGCTCCTCTTGACTAGGACTTGGTGAAATCATAGGAATGAGAGGGCTGCCTCGGGTCTCTAAAGGAGCTGCAAAGATAAGCACCAGTTTTCAATCTCTCGATTCAAAAGCCAAGCACCAGACCAGAATATTATATGAGATTCTTTCATTGGAAAGAGAAAATAGAAAACACTGAGTCATGGAGAAGAACGTGAAGTATGCACAGAACCTTCAGGAAAATGACAGGAATACTGGAATAATGGTTCTCAACTGTTTTTTCCACTAGGATAGATAATAAATGGCATTCAATGCTCGACATGCTCCATGACCATACCTGGCAAGATGGTGTGTGGGCCAGACACAGTCCTGAGTCTGTCGGCTGTAGGTCTCCCACCCAAGACAGCACACAGGATTACAAAATGAATGCGAATATCATCGTTGTGTTTGCTATGATCACCTGAAGTCTGCTCAAGTTTATTTTCTAGATGAGATCAAGTGTATTCAGGGTGGCATGGCTGTCGACTCGAGTTTATTTTTTAAAATAAACCATTGGCAAATTTCAGTATTTTGACCAATATGAATGATAATGACTTGACAGTACCTTTTACAGCTTGCTAGTATATGATAACAGTACAGCTGAGAACAATTAGACCAGCAGAAAATGTTGACTGGATGGATATGAGAAAGGTGGAATCATTTTGAACACAGATAAATGAGGTAGGTGAGGATGGGCTTGGTGATGAGTGTCTTAAGCTGATCTTCAGAGAAAAGCTTTTACAACAGTGACACCATTACCCTCCTACTTGGGAAAGAGTAAAAATGAGAATGAAGTGATGGAATGATTTTAGAAGAGATGACATTCGATATGATTGTTTGAGAAAGACCTGTAATCCTGATAGTGGCAAAAGAAACAATTAGAGCTGGTCAACATGGGAAAACCATTACCTATTGTTGCCTCTGGTAGATCAATTCTAAAGGTAACAGGCTGCAGAACTAGGCCAAAAGCAAACCAAAGAAACATATTCGTGAGAATTACTACCTGGTGAAGTAAAAATAGTTTGTGTTTCTACATGCATTCATTTGAACCTTTAAGCATTTTCTAAGAATCATAATAAATATCAGAAAACTCTATATATTAGATGCCACTCAGGAAACTTAGTTTAGTTAAAATATTAAAGTTTGCATTCACTGTCACTTTAATGAAATTTTTGAGTAGGCTCCTCCATGTTTTACTTAAAATTATACCCACAGTTGGAACACAACAATATTTACATTTTGAAAGAAGGTAAAAATGGTTGGCTTAGTTAACAATGATCTCTTTTAATTTTAGCATGATCTCCCATTCAATGAAAACACTTCAGGAAAAAGTAAAGTAATCATCCATTATTCCTAGTGTTAACCAGGGGAAAAATTCAAACAGATTATATGATTGAAACTTCCCCAAAAGAAATGTACACTTTATATCCATAATTTTCTTCAAACTTCTACATCACAATCATTAAAAAATTATTCACTTCAAGAATATTTTTTGAAAAATATACTTCCTAATTGGGAAAATAAAGTAGTTGATTTACCAGGTTCGCTCTGAGAGACTTGGTGGTCTGGTTTATGGGGAAGGAGCACCTCTGGAACTGGAAGGAAAGGTGAGGAAATGTTATATACATACTTTCAAAGTCACACCTGAGTGAAGCAGTCCACAGACACACAATCCTGGAAAGCAAGAATGAAGTAAAGGTACTTTCACAGTGAGTGGCTAAAGAGCAAAGCCGAGAAGACACCGTTCTTTTCAAAAGGGAAAAATGTTTGTGTCTAGGGAAGATTCTAGTGGGAGTAAAACAGCATTGGTCACAGTTCATTGTGAAGGCTCCCTCATTGCAGGGTGGCGGGGAGGAGGAAATTACTAATGTAATTAAACAGAAGGTAGGTCTCCCTCAAGTTGACTTTAAAATAGAAAGTCAGATTTTGTCTGAAGTGGTTAGGTGCTATTTGATACTTGTGCTAAAATTCCACTGATAGCAATAGAACATACGTTATCTTAGATAAAGCATGCAAATGGGCCTACAAATTGATGAAAGTACCAAGAAAGGCAAGGACAGAGTTTTATTCTAAAAGACACTAACAGTTAATATGGGGAGAAAACAGAGCAAAAGAAATCAGCTGCTTAGTAGAAGATACCACAGGAAAAGTTGATGGAGTGTTTGTTACAGAGTAAATCCTAGACAAATGTTGCCATTTTTGTCATTCTTAGTGATGTGGCTTCTAGTATTTAGGTGTCAGGGCCTCCTGACATGTGAGAATATGAAAACAAAGAACAAAATGTCAGCTGAACAATAAGCCTATTCATTTTCAGTCCCTGAAGTCCAGTATATTTTTAATGCCTGTGTCCAGTTCTACTTTGGCAAAATAAAACAGTAAGCTGAGAATTTGATACCTTGAGGCAAATATCAAGGTGATTTGCCTACGGTTAGTACCAGGTTTCTGTGGCAAAGTCTTCTTCCAAGAACAAGACAATGTGCTTCTTTGACTCAGTTTCCCCATAGGGAGGTCCTTCTCAGCCCTACTTTCTTACAGAAAGGTGTTCCTACCACTCTGAACGTTTCATAAATCCCTTTGGTAGGCAGTGTGAATTTCTTGCATTTTACATGAAGCTTGGGAAAAATAATTAGAATTCAGGATAGAACTATGCCTCAGAGAAAGATAAAAAAAAAAACAAACTTTTGCATCAGGTGGCCAACCACCACTTTACCATTAGTATAAATATAGGTTATATAAAACAGACATTCTCATTTTATTGCTTTTGGGGATCATATTAAAGGTACATATCACATCTGTTCTTAGTGTAGGCCACTAAGTACCAGTGAAATTGCAGTCGTGGAATTTGGTACATTGAAAAGAAATGTGACTCAATTAGAACTTCTATGAGGTAAAAGGTTCCAGGGGAACTTAAAAATTTGGACTTTTCTTTTAAAGGAAAAAGATAACTTCAAAAAGATCAGTGGTTGACAACATTAGAGAAAACCCATCACAACAGTGAATATTTCACCTTTGCTGTGTAGTATTTGGGGGAGTTCAAATAGTAAAATATGAGGAATTTCCAGTTTTAAATCAAACTAATTGTTTATCAGGTGGGTGGACTGTGCACTTTGATTTGGCTCTGTGAAGGTCACGGCCATATGAAGCACCAGTAGCTCATAAACAACCTAACTGGTTACAGTGCTAGACTACACATAGAGGAGGCAGGAGCAAGGAAAGGAGAAAGAGAAGAAATGTGCAACCGATAAACCCACCATCCTGTAAATACATTACTTGCTGCCTGTGTTAGTGGACTGAGGAATTCAGGCTGAGATAATGTGGATTCCTGCTGCTGTGACTGGCACTTTTTAACCACAAAGTGATGATTTAATAAACTGCAACAGCAGGCTTTCTAAAGCAGCTAAAATCAGTGGAAAGAAAAAAAGGACATATTCACAGGAAAGGGTAATGAATCATTCTCTTGCTTGGTCAACTGCAGTTTCAAGAAATGTGAGGTTTTTTCTTTTCCTCTGTATGTGGCATGCCTGTGTGTATTAAATGAGAGCATGATTCCTAAAACCTGTATCTTCCATGCTGGAGGAAACAATATAAATAATGACAGTTTTAGTGCGAAAGCCCTTTTGGTTTCCTTATAAGTATTTACCATTATTATATTTTAGACTCAATTATATTAACCAGCTTACCATGTATATTAACAAACCAATCAATGAAATTAACTATCTTTTTGAATAAAGGGCATTACTCTGAAGAAAAGCTCAACACAAGACAATTATGAGTAAAAATATCTAATGTGGCCAACTGAAAATGAATGAGCGTGAATATTTTGCTTGATGAGAGAATCAACATGTTATCCCTTGACAAAGATGGGAAAATATGAAGTCTGCAAAAAGGTTTACCCCTGCAAAAGCCTACAAAGAGACAGATTTTTTGGCAAAGTAATACATGTAGACTACATACACTTTTCACCTCCAGTACCCTATTCCTTGATTCTAACCCTGTACCCTTAGGTCCAGTCAGAGAGGAAGCTGGTCTCCCGCCCTTTCGGAGGCCACTTTCCAAGCTTAACCTGGGCTCTCAAACCACCCTCCCTCTCATCTCTTCTGGGACCTTGTACTTTCTATTATTTCTGTTATCTTATAATTTTCTCCATTAGTCCATATTTTCATTTATCCACAAGGTTCTTCCCCTCCACCTATAAAACAGCTCAAATGCCCTGATATCTTTAAAAAAAAGTATCATTCCCTTGACGTGGCTTCTTTCCCACACCATCCCTCTCCTGCTGTGGTTTCTTTAATCACAAATCTGTCTGTCTCTCAATTATATCTTCTTTATCCACTGTGGTCGGGCTCCCACTTCACTGACCTTCTGCAACTGTGGATCCATGGTTCTTTATCCATAGCTCTAGAGTCCACAACGTTTGGAAACTGAAAGTTTTTTTTTTAACTCATTTGGCAACAAAACCTGACTAAAACTGGCCTATTTACATATATGTAATTTACCTGTGTTTCAGGGGAAATAACCTACAGAAGCCAGTAAGCAAGGTCTTGGACTCATTAGGAAGCAAACCTGAGCCTGGACACAAACCACTGTTTGAACACAACAGGTTGTTTAAACACTTGTTGGACACACAGTGACACTTGCCTTATTGATTATTCTTATAGGCATCACACCCCTGGAGCAACAGGGGAACGCTGATGAATACAGATCATAGTGGAACTAATACCAGATTTAGAGACAGAATTACACCGAACATTTGGAACTGGGGAGTCAATCGAATAAGCCCAATGGAGGCTCCAGGACAAGTGTGTGTGCTGTTGTTTCACTGCTCACAGTGAATTCTGGTTAGAATTCTTTTTTTTTTTTTTTAAAGAAAGAGAAGGAGAGAAACATCAATGTGTGGTTGCCTTTTGCACACCCGCTACTGGAGACTTGGCAGGCAACCCAGGCACGTGCCCTGCCTGGGAATTGAACTAGTGACCCTTTGGTTTGCAGGCCCATGCTCAGTCCACTGAGCCACACCAGCCTAGACTACAGGTTAGAATTTCTGTGAAAACTAAGGTGTTGATGGAATTATGGCAAATACGAGACATTTAAAAAGAATAGAAATGTTTCACTATTAGATACGGTAGTTTAATGAGATTAAGTAACATCAAGACAAATGGTATTTCTTTCTCTGATGAAAAAAAGGTAAATAAAATCACTCAAATCTACTGTTGTTTTCTGTAATTCAATCTCTGTTACAATTTTTCACAATTGAAAATAGGAGGTTGATCTTTTGTAAGTCGGAAGATCAGCATTTATAATATTGGCTGTTGGTTTAGTGATCCAAATTTAAATTCTAGGCTTCAGGGTGGAGTTGCCTGTCCCTAGCCTACCACCACCTGCGACAACCTGGCCATTCCACAGCAGTACAACACCTCCTCCCCGCTCCTTCCCAATCTGGAAAACGCTACAGAGAGTGAATTCAGACTTGCTTTCAAAGTGCCATCATTTCACCCTGGCTAGGTGGCTCAGCTGGCTGGAATATTGTTCTGCACCCCAAAAAGGTTGTGGGTTTGATCCCCAGTTGGGGCCCATACATACTGTGTTTTGCCGTGTACAATGTACACCCATATTTTGGGTCTAAACTTTCAGGAAAAAAATCTTTCATTTTAATTTTTTAATTCAATTTTTATTTATATTTAGAAATAAAACCAGTTATTATATTCCAGAGTATCACTTTGCATATGGATATTGATACTGCTTTCTGGAGTTACACTTTTAACCCATTAGCATAAATAAAAGAATTAAAAACATCTAGACAGACACAGACTTAGTACTACCTAAGTATAATATGCATATTTTTTGGGTAAAAAAGTACGCATTATACACGGAAAGATACAGTATGTTGCAGGTTGATCCTTGGTTGGGGCACATACAGGAGGCAACTGATCAATGTTTCTCTCTCAGATGGATATTTCTCTCTCTCTCTCTCTTTTCCTCTCTCTCTAAAATCTATAAAAACTTACCCTTGGGTTAGGATTTTAGAAAATGTCATCATTTTAAGCTACCAGTTAGAAATACTTTTGGTTCTGGGAATGTTTTATATGCTTCTAACAGTACTAGGAATTTATAATAACTGGACCTTTAAAAAGAAAGAGGAAAAAAAACCTGATAGTATTTTTCAGAAACTCCAGTTACAAACATGCTTGGTTTTGCTTATAGAACTGTTTAGCTAATGGTGTCTTAACGTCACTTGAAGACCTACAGCATTGGTGGCAAGACCCAGAAAAGATCTGGTCCTTGTAGCCCCCACCACCACTCCCACATACATGGGATTATTCCTGCCCCATAAGTGGACAAAAGGCCTTCTCAGATGATAAACAAGATTATCTATTATCTATCTATCTATCTATCTATCTATCTATCTATCATCTATATTTGTAGCTAAAGAAATCATTTTTTTGTGAAGTAAATTTCTTACTTCTTAATCCAAGCTGTTGTTCCATGAACTGGTAAAATAAAGTTTGACAGGAAAAAACAAACAAACCCTCAATGTTGGATAATGTAAAATTTCTAAGCCTAAGAAAATAGTTAAACATCATTTCCTCTGTTTGTAAAAACACCATTTTATAATTTTTGTGGAAAAATCCTGAATTCTTTATCTTATTTTGGTGAAACATTGGAGCACAGCAGAGTTAGCACTGGTAGGTCACTTTTTATAAGTCAGAAGATAGGGGAATTTTAGTTCTAAAAGAAACATTCTGTTCTTGGCATAAGTCTCTGCCTTTCTGTTGTATCAGTTGCTCATCCAGCGAGCACTGAGATAACTCTATGACACCTTCGATATGATCATGCCCTGTATGATACAACACGGTATCTGAATGTCAGTGAAACATGGACCTCACATCCATCAGCTCTCCTGTTTCATTGCAGCAGAGTGTGACAGGAGAATGCATTTGACTAAAAAATGAAACAAAACATTTACCAGGTGGAGTATATGACACTTCTGGCTTTGGTGACATTTTTGGCTTTGAAGTAACACGCTGGAGCACCTTAGCCGCTGAAAGAGAGAACTCAGGTCATGAGTCATTTGGTGTCTGCATACAGGCAAAAGATGTGACAAAGTGTAAGCTTAGTGACTGATAATATAAAAGGTGTAAACTGGAAGGTACATAGAGAAATAAACTTTAAGCTCTAAAAATAGATCAGTTAGATTTCCAGATGCTTTTAGAAAAATGAAATCTGAGAAACATGGTATTTGACTAAGCATAAGGGTAGGATGGAGAATCTTCATTTCAGAAGAGATTACCAATTAAATTAACACAAAAATGCTTTTCTTGTCTGGACGTTTGCTTGACTTCTCCTTAAATCACTCCCCACACCCCCCAAGTCTCTCTCTGACGATGAGTTCAGTGAGTCAGAGTAGAAGCCCATGAAGCATGGATGTGATGAGTTCAGTGAGTCAGAGTAGAAGCCCATGAAGCATGGATGTGAGAAGCTCCGAGTCAGATCAGGCAGCAGCAGGAAGGGAGGTGAGCGTGGAATGGAATGCAGTGGGTGGGCTGGCATTTACTCTCCCTGCAGTTCTCAGGCCCCAGATAAACCTTTAAATGAACATGTTTGCAAACTAAAATGTGTTTCTGCAACTGTTCCTTTAGAGTAACAGGTGCTAATGGAATACATACTGGGAAAAAAAAAGATCTACTTTATTTAGATCTCGTTTAACAATTTCAAAAATGCTTTCATCTCATCAAAATGCTGAGAGGAAGGAATCATCGGCTTCACTTTAAAGGTCTGGGCTGGTGACTGTCCACCTGAGGTCACACAGTTACTAAGAACCAGAGACAAGACTTGAGCTGAAGCTGAGGTCCTGATGTTATCACTAGGTCCAAACATGTGGGTGCTCTATCTCCAAGCAGGTCACATTTTAACTTGTTTTTCATGTTTTAGGAGGAAATAATTAAACCTGTCTTATCTCAAAGGGTAGTTGTCACAATTAAATGTGAAATGTCAAAATGGTGTGAAAACTATAAAATTTTTTTCATTTCTAGAAAATTGTGACAAAGTTGACATTGAGGGATCTGAGAATATTATAATTTTCACTTTGTTCCTACAAAAACTAGGAGAACCTATAAATGGATGATTATAAGATTTCTAGGTATAAAGTTAATTTTGGGATTGTTAAGTGTTACCTGTGACCACAGAAATCTAAAAATCACAACTTTATTTAATGACAAACTATTCTTGATGATTTGTTCCACATTTTTTATCCCACATTGCCTTCAGTGGCAAATCTAGAGGTAAATTTTGCCATCTAACTCATACACATAGTTTAAGAAGAAAGGTGGCATGCCCGGTCATAAAATCTCACCCTGGAAAAAGTGACAGGTGAACGCCCTGTGCTACAGTTTGAGGCACAGATGCTGTTTGCAGGTGAGAGCCATCTAGTCCAATAATATGATTTGTATCTGGTATCACTCATGTGAACAGAACATCCTCCCATCCCAAAAGCCTTTTCAAGTTCCTAAAGAGCTAGCCAAGGGTTAGAGGGGAAGTACTAGGATTTGAATATCTGCCTCTGAAATATTTAGTACTATATATCTCTACATACACAAGCATTCTTGAAAGACTATAAAAACCCAGGATATTAGTGGGATCTATTAGGTAAGATTATGCTCTCTTGGGTAAGAGAGATCCTAAGGCCACTTTTAAGAGGGATAATTAGAGTATATTTTGTTCTTCATGATCAATTTTCCAAATTGTTGCCTTGCATTAAGTAGCACCGACAAAGCCAGAAGTATTTGGGTTGCAGCTATTTTCCACAGGAGATGCCGATGGGCTGTGAGTTAGTTGCCTGAGTTGAGCTACCAGGAGGCTCTCTTGCTCCTTTGGCAGCCAGCCAAGGGTTTCAGATTTGGAGTGAAATGCATTGAGCACACTAATCTGTCCATTCTGAAGCTGCATATCTTGTGGAGAAAGGTTGGCTAAAGGTCTAAATGAAACAAATTTGAAACTTTAAATATAGCATAATAATGGAAATTTAGAGTAAGCTGCTGATTTATTCTGTATTTTTATATGGAAAGAGTACAATTCAAAAAGAAAATTATGAATGTCTTCCTTGTTATTTTATATCTCTTTTACTTTTTAAAATTTTACTAACCAGGAATTTATATTTCCAATGTCTTAACTCCAAGCACTTATTTTTCATCTCTACTCTTATTTTTCCAACATTCATTAGCTTTATGCTTTATTTATTTCCATTTCTCCTTTTCTGCTACTTTTGTCCTATGCTTTACATCCAAATAAAAAGTTGAGACCATCTTCATGTGATTTTGATCTGTTGATTTAATTTTTAAAGTTCGAGTTTAGTTTTCTATCCACAAATTTAATATAATTGCTTTGGTTTTATTATTCCTATTCTATTCATTAATCATTATATTATTTTTCCCAGTATTGTTTATATATTGTTTCACATGTATTTATTGTTATTATTTTAAATGCCTCTATCAGGGGAGTACCCCTATCTACTTACATATCATACCCATATTATTTTCATAACAAGGTTTTAGTAATTAAATAATACACATTTTAAAGTACATTAAAGCACATTTAAAATAATTAGATATGGAACATATAACTGTCTTTTAAGGAATTTCCCTTTAAGCAAACAAAAAAAAATAACAGGCAAAATTTCTCTCAGAATCAGTCATTAAAGATCATGCCCAAATATATAGGTTTTTCTTTCAAAAGGGATACTGAGATATGTTTTATAAATTTGTAGTGGGAATCCAGAACCACTACTTGCTAACATTTTTCTTTCCCCAGACCATTAGTGATAGCAAAGGTTCCTTTCCTAATAAATGGTAGGTGTACCTCATATACTTTTTGGAAGTAGACCATGTATAAATGATAAATTTAAATTTAGGTGATTGGTCTAGACTGTCACTTCCTTGACTGCAAAGGATTCAGTTTTGTTTCACATTCCTAAAGTCCAGTGTATTGCCTGGCACCTAGTCAGAATGCAATAAATATTTGTTGAATGACTGATTGAATGAATTAGTTAAACAATCACTTAAGCATCAAGGGTGATACACTTTGAAACGGGGAGAGAAGAGAGACAGGAGGTCAGCTAATTGATGACAATAGACTAAGTGTGACTGGGTAGATGCTGGGAGTAACCACCAGAGCTGGGATGTCCCATACTTAGTAACAAATGAACTGCAGAGGCTGGATGAGGAAGACAGGTAAAAACCAGATGTAAAATGCTGAGAACCTGCCACAGATGTAAATTGAAAGGGGAAAAAACAATAGGCTTTCTTTGAGGCATGTCAAGTTTATGATAGCCCAGAATGGAGATTGGCTAAGGCAGCTGGAGAAATCAGACAAGAATTTGGTTAAGAAGTCAGGATTGGAGTTAATCGTTCAAATGAGAGCTCCTTCAACAGAATAAAAATAAGTTTATAATGAATCTGGTTTGGGTCCTTTACAGCAAAACAATATACAATTGTTATATTATAGGACAGGGTATATACATACATACATATTATACATAGGGGAGGATATATATGTATGTATAATATTAGATATCTAATATATCATATATATAAGATATATATCTTTTATATCTACATCTTATGTATATGTAAATGTCATAAAGATTCTATATCTATATCTTATGTATATGTAAATGTCATAAAGATTCTATATGTATATCTTATGTATATAAGATATACATATATCTTATATACATATCTATATTAGATATTTTAATATCTAATATCTATAGATAGTTTCTATCTATAGCTTATATACATAAGATATAGCTATAGAATCTTTATGACATTTGTGTTATATAAAATCTACTGAAGGGTATAAAAAAATTAGGTGATTAGTCCATGCAAGAACTAGGGATTCTCAAGGTGGGAGAGGCAAAGAAATTCCATTCTTCTCCATCCTCTTGTTCAAAATAATCTAACAATAGGGAAGCTTTCAGGAATAAGCTATTCTAATAATATACTTTGCAGTTTAAAAGTAAATGTAAATATTTATTAGGCTGCAAAAGAAGAGTTGTTTCATGAAGGTTAAAACCCAACTTGCTATAATTCAACAGAATAACTTCAATAACATCAAACTTGTCAAGCCAGAATATAAAACATGTATTTACCTTGCTGTGTCTGTGGGACTCGTGGACGTGGAGATGTTTTTGGCTTGGGAGGAATGAGTGGTATTTGCTTGGGAGCTAAAAAAAAGGATACAAGGTTTGGATCTCTAGAGCTCTTCAGAGTCACAGTACTTAATAGCCTCTAGGTTCTCAGAGATGTTTGTGTAGTGACTAATGACTTAAATACACAGCAATTAATGCAATTAAAGCTTCTAAACAGCTACAAAGTATGGAAAAATAATTTCTTGTTATAACAGAAAACAAACAAGAAGGCACATTAAACAATATCCAAGATATTCAGCTGGCAAAGGAAACTGTTGAAATTCCAGAAACATCTACTTCAAATACCTTTTAAATGGGTTAAAATAAATGTTCTAATAACAAGTATTCATCCTTAGTATTTAATGCAAGTTCAAACCATTTTATCAGATTATTCCAGTATAAAATTTGATTGCAAACAGGTACAATGGCTTCTAAAAAAAGTTAGCATGTCATATTCCAAATATACCTAGAAAATGAATGTATTTCAATAGCAAGTGCTGATGGAAAAATTAATCTTATTAAACAGAATAATTTTTATTGATCATACTGAAGAAGAGAACTTGGACAGACATTAAAAGGGTATATTACTGAAGAAAGTTATTCCTTTGCTAGGCAATTCCCAAAGTAGTGCTAGGACATTCAGTATAAAAACCAATTAGTTCTTCACCAAGAAAATTAAAAGTATATCCTGCTGGAGAAAAGGAATTATCAAATGAAAAGTTGCAGTTTGTGGAAACACCTCACGTGATTGGATTAAAGTATAATCAGGGGATGAGAGAGGTAAGAAGAAACAAAATGTTCTCCAAGGTCATGGAGTTTCAGCCACCTTAAGAAAAGATTGCTGCAAATGAGTGCTATTAGACATTAGAAGTGATTTCTAAAGAGTCTGCAGAGACTTCCTCTTGATGCTAAATTCAAATATGCAAGGCATGCAGTGGTTTCAGTGGAATCTTCTCACCTGTGAAAGAGATGAACACCAAGGTATTTTGGAGGTTACACTGGTTTAGGAACCTGGAACCTGGAGATTGAGAGCTCCCTTTGCTCGTCACTGGGTGACAGCTGCAGGGTTTCCATCAAAAGTTATAGAAGTTTTCAAGAGCCCTCCAATTCTAAAATTCTCTGATTCCAGAGTTTCTTTCAGTCTCATGATTCCCTGACTCCCAACTTACTACTTGCTGAGGAGGTTCCTACTGACAGGCTAGTTGCTTCCCCCAGGGTGTAGGAGAGACGATTTGCAGGTCAAGGCATATCATAGGCAAGTTCAAGGAAATGATTCAGAAAGAGATAAGAATCGCTAATAGCATTCACAATTAAACATTTTGATAATATTGCTTATTATAGCTATTAAAAACAATGAACTTTGAAGAGTTAGTGATAACTGACACAGATTCAGTTAATGCAGTCAATGCAGAATTTTGGCAATAATTAAACCATAGAGTTTAATAGGCAACATTTAATAGGATATTTCCAAGGACATGGAGTAAAATTAGTATCTCTATTCCCTGTGGAAATAGAGTCATATAAAAAAGTTCAATGGCATTCGAAACACAAGTTTGGACTTATTTATAGTAAACTCCTATTTCAAGAGAGCCTATAGATATCTAGAGGATTTTTCCTCATAAAAGGCAGCATCTTTAGTTATCCATGTTAATGACATGTTTTCCTTCGTTTCTAACTCCGCCATCAAGTTAACCTTTTATGACTTGTCCAAGTAACTGGTTTGAGTTTAGTTTCTCTTATTTTATGTGCAGTGAAATGGTCAAACCACTGCAGGACAGAGTGGAAAGAAGTAAAGGACCTGCATAATGACAAAGTAACTGTGGTCAGTTATGCCTTTTTATAGGGCTTGCACAGTAAGGTAAGTGACACCTGTTTCTGTTAACCTCAAACACAAATTAGGTACCTTAAAATACTTTTTACATGAAGATAGAACTTGTAAAACTAGTCAAGATGATAAAGTATTTAAAATTCCATTTCAATGGAATATAAATGTTCTTCCCCAGAAACATTACCATTTCCTATGTTAAACACTTGCATGGCAGCTGAGAGGTGTTTGCAGTCATACCCTGAAGACCGTTCGTGACACTGCCACCTGACGGCCTGCAACGGCGCGTGGAGGAAGTGGGGCGGCAGAGACTGTGCGCTGAGTGATTAAGGCGGAGCTTCCGACGTCGAGTATTGCCCATGCTTTCTGTCCATTCTTACATTTTGCAAACACTCACCTTCTACATGAAGTACAAAATAATGTATTTACCCGGTCCAGTGTGAGGCTCATTTGGGTTGGGTAGGATCATAGTTTGGGAAGGTAGAATGGATGCTTCTATGGTAACTGAAGGAGAATAACCAAGGTAACCATGGTGCTTCCCACACTTTGAGTACAGATGATAGAAATGATGGTAACAAGTATATTTTTTTAAAAGAAAGAAAACTGCAAGTCTGCAGCAAAATAGCATTCCTCCTTCTTCATAATGCATATATTTTTAAAAATGCTTAGAGATGCCAGGTTACAAAAATACTTTCCAAGTAAGCAATGTCCTTACTTTTTAAACCTTCACTCCACACTAGTACCTCCTCAACAATGCTAGAAAGATATATTCAGTAGGAACCATAAAGGAAAAAAACAAAAAAGTGTTAAAGCATAAACTGATTCAAGAAGCACTGAATTCCATTTAAATAATGGAAAAAACATCAAACATATAAATGAATGTGATGGCACGAGTGTTAATGGGAAGTATGTTGCCAGGGTAGAAAGTACAACATCAAGCTGGCTGAGTATGAAGTGTTAGGGAAAAAGATGCTTTGCATTGGACAGTTCCACTGACTTAGGTAGAGAAAGAGTCCAGGACTAGATACAAAACTGAATGGAAGAAGAGACTTATTGGACAATGGTTATGCACAGGAGAACCTAGGAAGAAAATTAACTGCTGTGACAAAGAATGAGGTTGCAGCATGACTTCACAATGAGAGAGAACCCGAGGTTCTCAGATGATGGTGGCAATGAGGACAAAAGCTGCTGGGGTGTGTCATTACCTAATGTGGTCTCAGGTGGTTCAGACACATTTGTAATAGATTCCACAACTGTATCAAAACAAAGGAAAAAAATTTAACACATTGTAAGATATTAAGCTACAGTCAAGTACTTTTCTTTAATATCAACACAACTTATTCTCCTAAGACTTTGCAGAACAATGAATTTAGAGAAGAAAAAAAGAGAACCAAGAGTGGAAATTCTACCCTATAAAACTAACACTCCAAGTAATATTTATGTTTTAACTTTCATTAACTAGTTGTCAAATATTATGACTTAATATTTAGATACCACAGAGAAACTGAAATTTATTTCTATATTCAGAGAGTCAATTATCATTTTGAGAATCCAAGAATTTGGGAAGCTATCAGCTCTTCAAATCTATTTACTTGCAGAACAAGTACCAAAGCTTGAACTTTCATGTTCCATGGACATAATATACACTAATTAAGAGGTTGCTGAATTACATGAATCAAAGCATGAAAACCTTTACCACCTTCGGTGTTTGGCTCCCCTGGCCTGAGTGGTGCTTTGGCAGTGGGATATACATAGTCTGTTTCTGCCGAGGCTAGGGAGGAAACAGGGAACGCCTGGTTAGTGGTGAGCAGCCCGCAACGCTCTGTAACGGAACACTGTTTACTTGAAAACAAAGGTTAGTTACCTTAAGTAGATGCATTCATGAGAATAACATTTAGGTGACTGATGAAGATGACTACAGTCTAAGATGGCAGACATGAAAGCAGGAAATAAAGGCAGTGTGCTGTGTGGGATCTCACACACACATACATGCACATGCACATGAGAACTGAGGGTCTAAGCAATTTCTGCCTGGAGCAAAGCAGATCTTTCACTTCCTTCCATTTTTAAAAAGCACTCTAGTGAGAAAAAGACATAGTGTGAGTCTTTGGAGAGCATGGGGATGAGTACTACAAATGATATTCACATGAAGAATAACATGTGGGTATTCCATTGAAAGAGTGATCAGAACATAAAAATATTAATATTTCATTCAGACCGAGAGGACACTAAATAAGGAAAGTATGAAACTTGCATGGAAATACAGCAGACACTAGCACATGTGCTGAATATGATATTTGGCTCTCAAGAGTCACTGGATGAGCACAGACAAGGTGTGAGAAGCTATGAAATGTCATGGCGTGAGGGCATTCAAAGAGGATTTCCATCATGAGGTGGGAAAAAGCACATATACTGACTTCCCATTAAGAAACATTTTTACCCACAGCTTCCTCTGATAGCCCAGTGTTAAATGTAACAGATTCCTGGACTTCAGAAACTAGTAAGAAAAAAACAAACAAACAGACAGGCAAACAAACCCTAAACACATGATGATACAATTGATCAAGGATGGGTTACTGTGAGCATTGAATGAATGAAGACAAACCAAGTGTTTAGAAAAGTACCTTGTACCTATACCTGCTCTATGCTGGCCAATAGGATAATATGTTATTAACACTAAAAGAAGCTCTAATAACTGAAATGAACTCACAATTTTCTAAGTATTATAGGTTGCCAATAACAACCATACCTTGTACTGTCAATGTGAGCTCCAAATGCCATTAGCTAACTAAAAGATGCACAAAAGAGATGAAAAAGATTATAATCTTATGCTACAAAAAATTAAGATGCAGTGTTTCAAAATAAATGTTAGGGTGTAGCAACAGCATTGCTAAGAATAATGAAAAAATTTTGTTTTGAACTTGAAAGGCCAACATGCTCAGGCTCATATTGTATAAGGTAAAGTTTTTTCATCTTTACTAAAGGGAGAACCTCCTTCTTCCTTGATGGTCACAACTGAACTAGCGTTCTTTTCGTGTGGCAGAGCACAAACTGAACTGACTACTGAACAGTGCCACAAATTCATAACTGTTAGTGAAAAGCAAGGATAAAGAATAAAATCATTCTTCTAAGTGGTTTTGCTGAATACTTAACCACATACATATTATCTAAAACGAAACAGAGCAAACAGTAGAATGATGTTTTTCTACACTGTTGAGTAGCAATTAATATAAACATGACACATTACTAATTTAACATCAATATGCAATCATGGAAAGAGCATTGTACCATATGTAAAAAGAGTTGTTCAATGTGTATTCTTTTGTGCTTTTATATTTGGAAATACAGCACTTGGAGTTTGTCCCCTGAAGTTCAGTGTACCTGACAGACTAAGCAATCTATTTACCAGGTTGATGTTGTGCCATTTCTAGGCTTGGTGGTGTCACTGGTCTCAAAGTAAGAGTTTGCAGTTCAGTGAGAGCTGAAGAAAGAGGGTCTAAGTTGTCAGTTATGTATGACTTATTTCACAAGTTTAGACAAATGTAGCAATGAGTTGAAATACACAGACCCTCAAAACAGCAGGAAGATGGAGAGTTCCATGCAGAGTACCATTATTTAAAGCAGAAATTGGCAAACTATGGCCCTCCCTCTGCTTAGCCGGTGAGCTAAGAATGTTTTTTCTACATTGTTAAATTATGGGAAAATACTTAAAAGAAGAGTAATATTTCATAATGTAAAAATAGTATGAAATTAAAATAAAATGTTATTGGAACAAAAATATATCCACAAATGAAGGTAATTCAAGCCATATTTACATATCATTTACATATTGGCTTTGGTTGACTTTAGGCTGAAGTGAGTCGTTGTGACAGAGACTGCCTAGCCTGCAAAGCCTAAAAGAATCACTATCTAATTCTCCCTGTAAAAAATTTTGCTGGCCACTGACCTTAAGCATCCTCCTAGAAAAAGTGAGAGTCTATTTGAAAAAATTAGGTTCTCATTGATTATTGCATCTGAATCTGAATTCTCACAAGGGCTTTAAAGAGCTTCCTATAGCTGATTTCCTGACTGTATTGTTAACAAAATACTCAGTATCATCTAGGAGTGTGGTGCTCTACATTCCTGTTTGCTCTCTTGTGTACCCTCAGTAGTAGTCAGGATTTTGCTATATTTTTGCTGTTCCCACCCTTCCATCTACTAATTCAAACCCTAAAGTTATTGAAGTCCAACTATTTTCCGATAGCCCACACAGACCCTTGACTCCTTTAAATATGTTCTCTCTATTTTACCAATTACATAAGCTGCTTCTGTATAAGCAGATTGCCTGACATGTAAGAAAAACTGAAGAACAGGGTTTTCCACGACTGCATTGGCATCTGTTCAAAAGGTAAAGCACAGCCTTACATCAGACCTCCATCTCCCTTCAGCACCCCACCCACCGCACTCAATGGCTAATACAGTGCTGGGAATCCAGGGGGCAAGGAAGTGTTTGTTTGCATGAGCTAAAAAAGCAGCACTTTAACAAAGAAATGAGTAAAATATGATAATAAGAGAATTGAGTAAGATACATCTTTTGTCAGAGACAACCTTTATGCAGGGCACATGAAGAATTCGGCTACACAGAGTGCTCCCCAACCATGAGCCCTCTGGTCAGCCCTGTAGTGAGAGACATGCTATTCACTATTTCTGCCCGTCTCTTAGAAGGCACAGGTGTGAGAAGTTCAAGTTAGCAAGCCGCATCATTTTCTCTCCTGGGACCCAACTGCAATGGCCTGGAAGGACTCTTTAAACCAGAAACTATAGATTTTCTTGGTTTCAACAGAGAAGCTTCAGGAAGCTTTGAGTTTGGGAGAAGGGTGGGATTTTTTTTCCCATTGCTTTGAAATTAAAGAAAAAAATCTTGGGTTACTATAGTGTTTGTAGGTCAAGAAACCACCAACAACGCTGTATACTGACCTATGTTTTCTAAACCATAGTAGATTTTCTTGAGTTTATTTCCTAAGTTTGAAAAGTTTTACTATACTAATATAATTTGTTCCTTATCTTAACTGAGGGTCCTTTAGAGACCAAAATAATACATAAAATTTATTGATTTATTAAAGAAATAAATATTAACATGCATAATTAGATACTCAGAGAGATTTCTACTTAGTAAAGATAAAGAACAATTGCTAAACTTTGGTGGAGAATAAGGAAGCAACTTTTTTTGATAATTTATTACAATGAGGAACGCTTATTCCTTAAAACAGGAAGAGAGTAATGAGAATATGACACAGATCTCATAGAAAGTAAAGTTATGCAGAGAAAGTTCATGATACTTAATTGACAGTGTTCTATAAATCTAAACATCAAACAGGAGAGCAATTTGAGCTTCAGACTCTTCACTGAATCATATAATAAAATGTTAAAGGGGTTTCATACCAGTTACATTTCCTCAACTGGACCTAAGGATATTTGTTACAAACAATAAGTAACACATGAATTAAAGTCCTGACTATTTATATGCTGAACTGTGAAATGGAATGACAACAGCAGTGGAAGAAAGCAAGAGCAACTCTCGCCATGGCAGTGATGGAGTAAATTTTAATGAGCAAGAAAGTACTTAATGAGGTCATAAAAATTATTACTTAGTGTTTCTGGGGCCTCAGAACTATGAATAAAAAGTTCAAAGCCTGTAGAAGGAACTAACCAAAAGCAACAACATGAAAATGAGAAAGTTTAAACACACAGAGTCTTAATTTTTCTTTCAAAACATTAGTTTCAAATGACAAACAATATTTTTAAATTTCTGAATTGAGCCCTGACTGCTCGGCTCAGTCAGCTAGACATTGTACTGCAAACAGATAGGTCACTGGTTCGATGCCCAGTCAGGGCATTGCCTGAGTTGCAGGCTAGGTCCCTCGCTGGGGGCATGTGTGGGGCAACTGATCAATGTTTCTCCCCCTCTCTTTCTCCCTCCCTTCCTCTCTTTCTCAAAATAAATAGATAAAATATAAAAAAAACTTTTGAAATGACAGGAAGTGAATGGCTCCTTTTTGAAGATTTGGTAAACTGTAGCTAGGAATAATTTATTGCAGAAGGTAGTCACAACTTTTGAACTCTGATAAGCATTTTATTATGGTCAACATGAGGTTTTCTGAGGTGTTTGATTTTCTGACTCTAATATGAAAGCTTGCTTTGGAAAATCTGTTTGGGATGGGGCCCATGGGACCATGGTGATGTTTTAGGAGCTGAAGGAAGAAATGTTGGATTACTTAGTGAAGGTGGTTTTGGAAATAAACTCTTGATTTTCTAAAATATGCTATATTTTCTTGATATTTTAGGTATATAATTTTTAAGATTGCAATATTTTCTCCTATTTTGTTAATTTTTTTTATCACTGAAGGCTCTTGAGAGATAAGACACATAAGGTTAAGACAAAGAGTGAAGATCCTTATATATCCCTAACTTCAAAGAAAGGTAAGGGCTATAGACAAACTAGGTTGTGTGGTCTTAGATTCACATCAAGAAATTTAAATAGGCCAAGGAATCCATGGCACTAGATCAATTATTGTATCTGTGGTTAGGTGGTCTAGAAAAGACAGAGACATTGCCCACTGAATTTGAAACTCAGCTTTAAGTGTGACCGCTGTTTAGACAAAAGTGCACGACAAAAACTCAGATAACACAGACATTCTGATCTAGGCTCATGCATAGCTTTTAAAAATAGGTAACTTCTGTTAAGAATCTGCAATACTCTTAAGAAGGAGAAAAATAAAGTTGAAAGAGAGCAGACGATGACAAGACAGTCCTTTGAAGCTGATGGCAATGAGATTATGATGATGATGGAGTGGGTTGACAATGGGCATACAAAATTAATGAGAAACAGATTATCATTACCTAATGTTGTTTCTGGAGCCTTGGTTCTAAGACCAATGGGTTCAAGGACTGTAGGTAGAACTGGCCAAAAAAAAATAAAATAAGCCAAAGAAATTTTAAAAATTCACTTGATGACTAATTTTAGAAGTCAATTTTTAAGCTTCAGAACTGAGAGAAAAGAGACACTTGTTCTTTGCAGATTGACCAAATGGCCAAGTACTCATTAATCTCATAAGATGGATATAGTATTGCACTCAGCTAAAACTGTTGTTAACAATAAGTTCTCCCATATGCCTCTTGTTATTATGGAAGACACTGCTGAAAAGGTTTTTACACATTTGTATCATATATACTTTTCTAACTCTATGAAAGTAAGCATTCATCATTCTTCTTGCCCTCTGTTCAAGTTGAAATAAATGTTATTTTTACCTCGTATTTAAATAATCACAGTGATGAGTTTATATGTTTGAAAACATAAGAATGAATACTCATCAAAATTTGAAAGTGGTCCTTGATTCAATAAAAGTTAAGAAACATTTAAAAACCCTATTAGAAAAGGAAAAAGAGCCAGCCTACTCTATCATATATACCTATCATTTAAACTTTCAAGTCTTAGCACATTTAAAATTTTGACAATTAACTAAAAACATTATTTATTGAAATAATACATCCACCAGTATAACCACACAGATCCTCATACAATAAGATAAAAAGTAATATGAGCAAAGAAATATGGTATTTCTACAATTGATGAGACATAAGCAGTGTAAGTAAAGGATGGATGGAAATTCATGCTTGAAATGAAGCTTAAACTAATCAGTGCTGTTTAAACAAATGCATATGATCACATGACACATTGTTGAAAAGTTACATGACAGGTTGATATCCTGAAATTAGTTTATGCACATCTCTTAAATTCAACAGATAACTTGACATAGAGCTTGGCATAATTTCAAGATAAAGACTGTAATGGATTAACAACAGAGGATGCTGAGATGGTTTAAGATGCAGGAGAACCTGTAGCTACAATAGTATGACAATGAGTAGGAAATACACTATTTGAGGACACATATTCTCATTACCTATGATTTCTGGAACTTCAGTTCTAGGAGTACCAGGCTCAAGATCTGTAATAGGAACTAATGAAAAGCAATGAAATAAACACTTTTGAAAGTCAGCAAATTAAATCTTACAAGTATAATATTGCTTCACTAGGTGTACAGTAGTTTTTAAATTTTTTTCTGAAATTAAACACTTGTTATTTTAAAGATTATTTAAAAGCCAGGTAAATGTTCTTTTATAAAACAGTCGGTAATAGCCTAGATAGATCTGATAAGTACCTCAATAAAGTCAACACAATACTGCTAAGTACCTAATTCCAACTATTATTAAAGACGGTCATTGGAAACTTGTTTAAATGTTTTACTAAACTTGTACTTAGGTAACTGGCCTGGCAATTGTTGGTTTATCTGTGAAAGCTTTTAGAAAACAGCATGTCTAAATAATTACAGGCATAAGAGATAATGTTTGTGTGTGAAAGAAGGCACAGCAAAGTGAACCATGTTCATCTTGAGAACTCCTATTTGGAAGGAGTCTGAAATCTCAGTTAATGCAAGGCACTCAGCAAATCAGAATAAGGAACATTCACTCAGCATGTGCTGCCTGGTAAAGCACCTCTCTGATCACAAAAATGTGGCATCCTGTAAAGGTGGGAGAGACCACTGATGCTTCTAGGGTCAGATCCAAATGTCTGAGTTATACATTCAAGGATTTCTCTTGAACTGTTCTTAGGGATTCTTCCAAACATAGCACTATTATAACTTCTTAGAAGCAGGACGTCTTTTTCCAGAAGTCTGTGCCCTCTGGTTGGCCTCTATAGCCCTTTCTTTCTGACTCTGTTCATTTTCAAGATTTTAAGACCCAACTTCTTTCCAACTCCTTATTCCTGTCCTTCACAAACTTGTCTCTCTCTAAGCTCATAGATGGTTATGGCCCCTGCAAACATCAAGCCAGATTTCTGCCACCTTGGTTCAATCTTTGAAAGTTTCATATCGGGCAGGTTTTGACTTTGACTGTACTGTAGACTGGGAAGTGAAAACGAGCTGTCTGCTTCTGCAATGCCCTCACAGTGTCTGTAGGGGGATGGAAGGCACTCACTGTTTGTTTCTGGAATTAAAAATGCTTTGTTCTATTTAAGATATTTTGTCCTTAATAAAAGAACATACTGAAATAAGAAAAAGTAAATAAAATGCCTATTAAAAGAGAAGATCTTTATGCAGAAAGTACAAGGAATTCAGGTGCCACACAGGTTTGCCCCAACCATGAATTTCTTTGCTAGCTCAACAGTGGGAGCAGCAGCAGTAAGTGGTGTCTTTACCCACAGAGGGCTCACAGGGGCTCTCGCTCTCACCTGGGACTCTAATCCCAGGCTCCCCAAAGCTGCTAGGACTCAGCCCCTTAACCAGAAACCCACATTTACCCAGTTTGGTTTGAGGAGCCTCAGTAGTTGTTGTGGTTTTAGGTTTGGGACGTGGACGACGGGTCCGTTTTGATGGTTTAGGAGCTGAAGAAAGAAAACCTTCAGTTACTACAGAGTCTGCAGTTCAGAAGCTACGCAGAGCATGATCCATGGCTCCAGATTTCCTAAAACTTGTTAGATTTCCTTACAGCTTAGGAAATATGTCTTTTAAACTTTTTAATCTGAAACTTTCACCCCCTAATATATATTGTTTTTTACAATAGAAAATTCATTGGAAATGAATCATATATAAAATTAAGTTACTAGTTCAAGAAGTGAAAAATTATTTCTAGGTCTCTTGTGCTGAATAAGAAGCAGAAGAATCACTGGTAAAATAGGGGGGGTGGTGACACCCACATACAAATTTTGAGAGTTAACTAAATAAGCCCACGTGATTAACTCAAATGTCAATCAAAGAACAACTATTACATAGTTAAAAGAAAGTAGACTTTTAGAAACATAAAGAAATTCCTGGACACAATAATAGTTGTTAGAATCAAGAGAATTACTTTTTAAACCCAGATTTAACAAAACATTTGTTAAAAAGCACACAAAATGATAAGATTTCAGATGGTTAAATGCATAACAGATAAAGGATAACTTGTTTTAAGAATTAGATCATCAGTACTTTTATGATGAAGAATATAATGGAGTGACAACAAAGGATATGATGTAGCCTTAAGAAGCAAAGGAGCCTGCAGCTATGATGTGGATGGAATGGGTCTGACGATGAGAAAGGAAGCACTGAGGATCATGACATGCTATTACCTTGTGTTGTTACCCAAGGCTCAGTCCTGAATGTAACCGGTTCAAAGTCTGCAGTAGAAACTGACCAAAAGTATTAACAATAAACTGAACAGTTTTGAATGAAAGAAAACACAAATATTTACTCCAAAATGATTCTTAGTAGCATGACATAGCTTTTGGAACTATATAGCAACTTTTAAAAATGATTAAACTAGACAAGAATACAGTTTATTTTCTAAAATGTAGCCATACCTAAGTCTGGAACTTATTGCCTTATTTCTCTTCTTCAATTAACTAATTCTAAAGTGGGATGTGTGGATTTGCTGAGAACTTATCTTTGGAAAGACTCTGAGGCCTCAGCATGCTGAACTGAATAGGGTATTCGTCTATTCTAAGCTACGAAAGAGCATGTCTTCATGTGCAAAGAAGAGCTTGCTGTACACTGGATCAAATTTCAACTCCTCTATCAGTTGCTTAAGGATCACCACCATGAAAATTCATGGACCAATCTAGACCCAGAAAAGCTTTGACTTTCACCTTGAAGTCAGGCATCCTTTATACTAGTACTGTGGTTAGGCTTTTTCTTCTGGTTAGTCCCTACTTTTATTTACTTTTTCTGCTTTTATTCCTTATCATCTTTCTACTCATCCATGTACAATGGTGATTTCAAGGCTCCAGTCTTTCTTAATCTATCTTTCTCTACTCCAAATGTTATTCTTGAGACCCTGCTGGGTTAGGCTACTGGGACTCTAAACCAGGGACATATGTTTACCTGGTTTGGACTCGGGTGTTTCAGGAGGTGGTGTGGTTTTTGGTCTGGGACATGGGCGACCTGTGCGTTGTGACGGTTTGGAAGCTGAAGGAAGAAAACCTTGGGTTACTACATAATTACATTGTCTGTGCTTCTGGAAGCTATTGGAGGCCAGAACATAACTCTACAGATTTTCTACTCTAAATATTTGCCTTTTTCATTTGAAATTCTTCTCATATATACTCCTTTTATATCTTCTTTTATCATAGAAGATTCTTTAAAAACAAAAATACTTTTTAATTAAATAAATACAAATTATTAATTATAATCAGTCCCACAGGACATCTGGATTAGGCAACAAAAAGCTTAAGAACTGTTGCTAAATGTTAATGGATAGTGAAGGTTATACTATATCTGGGATTTACTGCTTAATCTTTCAATTTTGCAGGTATTTTCTACATGACTATTAAAATAAGAACAACTAGCCTTGGCTGGCGTAGCTCAGTGGATTGAGCGCGGGCTGGGAACCAAAGTGTCCCAGGTTCGATTCCCAGCCAGGGTACATTCCTGGGTTGCAGGCCATAACCCCCAGCAACTGCACATTGATGTTTCTCTCTCTCTCTCTCTATCTCCCTCCCTTCCCTCTCTAAAAATAAATAAATAAAATTAAAAAAAAATAAGAACAACTAAATAGTATACAAATAGAAAAAAAGTAGAAATGTAGATAGGCAGTAATGAATCCTTTTGGCCCTATGATGGCTGTTAATGGCTTTATCTTACAAGGTAAGGGGTAGAGATCCGTTTTAAAACCAGTTTTGTTACAAATGCTGCTTAAACAAAACACAGAATGTTGTGACAGAACTTTAAGTAGGCTGCATGGCAAATAAATGTAATGAACCTCTAATAAATAAACCACTAATGTGGTTCATGTATGACTGGTTCTATTGAAAACAAAAGGTAATTTGTTTTACTAGTTTCTGTAATTTTAAGAATAGTGTAAATGGATGACCACAAAGGATGACACAATGACACTGTTACGAAGTGAGATGAAACTCTGGATTTTACAATAATCAGAATAAGACTTGTTGAAAACACAGGGTACCATTACCTAATGTTGTTCCTGGGGCCTGCGGTCTAAGAGTGACAGGTTCAAGGACAGTAGCAGGAACTGACCAAAAAATACAGTAACCCAGAGAGATTTTAAAATACATGAAGAATTAGAACATTCACATCCCAACAATCTTACTTGTATACAATCCTTCTATAGAAACAAAGAAACAAAAATAACTGAGAAAAAGAGTAGGTGTTTGTTCTTTGAAGATTTAGCCAAATTACATTCAGTTTTAGGATTAGCTTTTAAACTATTTTAGTATCTTAAAGAAGTCAGCATTAAATTCTCCTAGGTTTTAACTCATGGATTCTAACTGGTATGAAAAACTCTTAAGTTTATTTTCTAATCTACACATAGAAAAGAAACTGCCTACTTAAAAAATCTGATCAATCTGTACCTCTATGGCAGCTGAACATGAATACTTACTATGTTTAAGTCAACATGGATAAATAGACTTTATAAATTTGAAATGGATACAAAAAGTAATCATTGAAGTGGACTATGTTGATCTTGCCAAGAAATAAACCATGGCACATAAGAGAGCAGAATAAAGATAATCACTTTATCTGCAGAGCATATATCTGGTCTAAGCCCAGAAAAGGTGGAGAGAGAGTTGATGTCTCTGAATCAAATCTAAGCTCGAGTCAGGTTCTCAAAATCCTCTTTCAGCTCTGCAGATGGACCCTTCCAAATGGGGCAGCATCCACAGCCATGTTTTGATAATCTAGAAGCAGGACAGTCTGTTCCAGACTGGACTGCCTTTACCCAGCCCCGACCCCATCCACATGTCCAGTCCTTCTGTTGGTTCACTTTTCCCTCCATTCATTCATATCCTGTAGTGGGTCCAGGTCCAAGGTCCAAGTCCAACATATACCTTGATCTTTTCCTTCGTAAGATCAATATTTAAAACTTGTATTATCATGCAAACATGTACTCAACTTTACTGTTTTAGAAATAAAATAGTTTTCCTACAACTGACATATCACCCATGGCTGCCAATACTGACCCAGGAATATTTATTTACTTGCACTGAATATTGGCTATACTAAAAGAGTTTTAAGATTTGAATGAAATTTGATAGCAAGAAATAGGCTACATGCATATCAAAGAAGATTCTCACATAGAAATAACAAGGTATTCTGGCACCCACTGTATCTCACAAAGTCATATCCTCCTTGACACCTGGAAAGAGGTGACCTTACTGACAAAGCCTCGTGATCTCATGCTTAGAGAACATAAAAGCTTGGCACCGCTTTGGGTCCTCATTAGGCTACTAGGGCTCATTCTTTACCCAAGGAATCTTTACCCAGTTTGGTCTGAGGTACTTGAGGGCTCGGTGTGGTTTTAGGTCTGGGACGTGGACGACGGGGCCTTTTTGGTGCTTTGGTAGCTGAAGAAAGAAAAGTCTTGTGTTACTCTGGGTCTTATGGCTCTTGACACTAAGGGGAGGTTTTTCCAAAACTGTTAGATTTCCTAAAGTTCCAGGAAATTGTCTGTAGTTTTAAAAGTTTGCTCATTTCATGCTAATGTGTTTTCTTTTATCATTGAGGATATGTTGGGGCAAACTCATAAGTACAGTGAAATCACTCATTCAAGTCATGAGGATTAGCGTTTATAATCCGATACTCAGAGCATTTTCTCAGTGGGGACTGAATGATGGAGAAGAAGAGCTCGACTCTGGTGCAAGGGAAGAGGAAGTTATGATCATACTAAGGAAGAGGTCTGTAATTTAAATTTTCAGATTTGGGTAATTCTTTATTTGTTAAATTAATAATAAAACATTACTTAAAGTACTAAGAAACAACATAACATGTAAATAGTTTTTTAAAAAAACTCTAGAAACTTAGATGTGCAAAGGAACATAAGAGTGGCTGTTACTGAAAATCAGCTTAGATAAGAAACAGATCCCAATTTGTTTTAAACTTAGCTTTAACACAAAACACTATTCAAGGAAGCACAAGATGGCATGACAATTTCAAATGCAGTACAAAACAGGTAAATGTTGTCGACTAAGCTCATGCTTGCTCTTCTAAAAACAATAAGAAACTTGTTTTTAAGAGGCTTCTGTGCTCTTGAGATGAAGGAAGTGATTGAATGGCAATGGAGGATGATGGTGGCTGTCGCATAAAGAAGAAAAAGCCGTGTTAAGGGAATGGAGACTGAATGGACTATATAACGAGAAGTAAAAACCTTGCTGAAAGGCAGAGAGGGGGTCATTACCTAATGTTGTCCCAGAGGTCTCAGTTGTAAAAGTAACAGGTTCAATATCTGTAACAGGAACTGAAGGAATAAGAGTTTTTAAAAATGAATTTTGCCAGTGTACTACCACTTCTAGAGTAATTTAAAAAAAAAATCTGGGTGAAGGAGGGGTTATGGACTTAATTGTGTCTCCCTAAATTCACATGAAACCTTAACTCCCAATGTGACTGTATTTGGAGATGGGGCCTTTGATAAGATAGTTAAGGCTAAATGAGGTGTCAAAGGTATGGCCCTAACCAATAGGACTGATGTCCTTATAAGAAGTGAGAGAGAGATGAGGGAACTTTGTGCACAGAGAACAGACCATGTGAGGACATAGCAAGATGGCAGCCATCTCCAAGCCAAGGAGGAGGCCTTGGTAGAAATTAAACCTGTTGACACCTTGGTCTTAGACTTCTAGCCCTCAGAGTTGTAAGAAATAGATTTCTGTTGTGTAAGCCACCCAGTCTGTAGTATTTTGCCCTGACTGCTCTAGCAAACTAACACAAAAGGAAATCAATTGGTTTGTCTAGATTTGGCTAAACTAGTTTTGAACTTCTTTATCTCACAAGACTGTCATTACTTTTGGTCACTGTTTAGTGCCCATCCACTCTCAGAACAGGAAAACTTGATTCAGTGTGTGAAAAGGAGATATCTCATGCCCATGAGAATATCAGCCTCCTTCAACTTCCCATGGTGTCATCCAATGCAGAATCATCAAATAAAATACTTTAACTGACAGAAGAAGCAGGTTCTCTTCCCCCTCTGGTTGTCTCTACACCTTTCCTGCTTTTTCACCTTTGTTCACTCTCACCTCTCTGTTTGTGTACATTCTGTTATCACATCAAGGCCCAAACTCTGCCCCTACCTTACTGAAGCCCAAATAGATTTTTTACTTTTTTAAGACCTCAAATGATGCATCTAACACTTAATGTTTATGCACTCAAGAAAAATCTTGAATTTGCAAAAACACCCTGCCTTATTTTCATTCTCTATGCTTTTCACACAGGAACAGACTTTGTGTTCAATTAGCCTACAGACTGAGAAGTAAAACACATCTCCTGGTACTCAGAGTTAGAGGGCTGATTATGTCTTCTCCAAATATAAACTCCCTGCCAACCCTGAGGGGGGAAGGATTTTTCATGACTCCCTCACTGGGGGTTATGTGGATTTACATCCTCAATCAGTAACTGGCTCCTAGGCTCTTCTAATCATGGACTCTGCCTTTAGCTGGTGCAGTTTCAGGTGCATCTGGACATGGAGTGGTTTTAAGTTTGTGTGTTAATGATGTGCCCCTTTGGATGTTTTTGGAGGTGGAAAAAGATAACTTTTGGTTACTTTAAACTGTATGTTTCTGTGAATTTATAGGGTTTAAAAATCTTTAAGTTTTCCAAAGCTTTGAGAGATTTTATTGAGTTTTAGGAAACGGATCTTTCTAGTATGAAAAATCTGTCCCCACTATGCTACTGTATCTTATTTGTTATTGAAGATATGGGGGGTATTGATATAAAAATAAAATTATTAATTCAGAGAGTCAGATATGTATTTTTTACACTATCCTAGAGATACCTGACTGCATTTAAAAAGTTAGGAATCATTTCGCAACTAAGGTGGAGAGTCAGTTTAACCCTAAGGATGGGGCTTTCTATTTAAACTTACCAGCCTTGATCACATTATCTGTTAGGCAAATCACTAAAAACATATTACCCAAATGTCACCAAAACAACCAAAAAAACAGGAAGATGAAAAAGTAGATGTACAAAGAACATATAATGAAACTCTCCAATTACAGAATGGTTAACATAGATCAAGACCAGGCACTCCTATAGTTATATGTAATTTACCTTAACAGAGAGCACTCTGGTTAATCTAAAAACATAGTGGCTGGGGTTGGGGGGAGTAATGGGGGGATGGAGACAACTACACTTGAACAAAAATTTTTAAAAAGTTAAAAAACAACATAAGGTGGCATGAAAAAAATTTAAAGTAAGTTACAAGGTAAGAAGCTATCCCAAATGAGATTTAGGTATGACTCTCTTAAGAACAAGAAGTAACTTGTTTCATGCATGTTCAACTGATAAAATGAAGAATGGAATTAAATGGAAACAGAGTGGAATGGATTTGACAATGAACAAAAAAGGCACTTGCTGAAGGTCAGAAAGTGGTATTACCAAATGCTGTCACTGGAGCCTCTTTTACAGGTGTAACAGGTTCAAGGACTGTAGCAGGAGCTGACCAAAAACATTAATAAAAATCATTGAAATGGTAAACATTTGTATTGTTTCAGAACATTCACTTCAAAAAGAATTATACCAAAGTAATAATGTGTCACGGGTACAAAGTAAACACTATTAACCCCCTAAGCTGAAAACATGGTGTCTCTGCACTCAGGTACCAATTTCTCCCTTGGAGACTATCTTTGTACTCAGACAGCTATTCCTCAGAAATGCCTTGAAGTTTCTCACTCACTTCAATGATCCTAGTGTAGGTAATGCAGCAAAGTCAACCACACCCATCTTGCTGAAAACTCATCTTTGGAAAGAGAACACAGGGGTACTTAAGAGGACCGTCAGTCTGGGGTATCTGTGGGACAGCAGGGTATCTATCCCTCTGCCCAGTGCTTAGGGAAAGCCTGACCATGTATGGATAGTTGTGTTTCTAACATGAAATCCAAACTCCTAAGTCTAATATTCAAAATCCCTTTTTGACTTGTTGCACTGCCCCATTAAACTGCAGCAACCTCAAACAAAATGCTCTGATCAACACTTAGAAGCCTGGCAGCCTCCATCAGTCAGAGAAGCCTCTGCCTTCTCTCATTGGCTTCTACACATGTCCTTCCTTTTTGTGCTTCTTCACTCCCTTCCCCCTATAAACTATGGCCCATGCACCAAATCTTTCACAAAGCTTGTTTTCAAACAGCCCATGAGAGCAAAGAATGCTTTTTATTTTCTACTTTAAGTGGTTGTTTAAAAAAAGGATAAAACAAAAACCTACAACAGAGACTAAATGACTCCCAAAGCCCCCAAATATTTACTATCTAGTCCTTTATAGAAAATTTTGGCCAATTCTGGCCTTTGGTCCTTACTTTGTTTACACAACTTTTATAGTTACCAAGAAATAATTTCCTATTTACTCAAACACACATCATTCTGTATTTGTTTCAGTCCATAATAAATATTCAATATTTAAAGCATGAGTACAAAGGGAGAGATTGACAGTAATATAGTCATAATAGGGCTATATTTAACACCACATTGACATCAATGGATAGATGTTCCATGTAGAAAATCAACAAAAAGACAGTGGCCTTAAAGGACACACTAGATCAGATGGATTTAATTGACACTTTCAGAACATTTAACCCCAAAGCAGCAGAATAAATGATGTTGAGAATCAAATAAGAAGTCAATGAAATAGACAGAGGGAAGATTCCAGCTCACCAAGTACAAAAATTTGGCTACCACCTAATGCCTCTCCAACCGTGTTCTCAAGCCCACTGTGGAGTGTCAGCAGCTGCTGATGCTGACTTGTCCCTTCACTTTGTCTGGCCCCCACTGGGATGGGTTGCCAGGATTACTTTTCCAAGACGTACACATTTACCTAGTTCAGTCTGAGGTGCTTCAGGATTTGGTGTGGTGTTAGGTTTGGGACGTGAGTGGTGAGTTCATTCAGGTATTGGGGAGTCAAAGGATGAAAATCTCTGGTTAATAGTGTCTTAGTTCCGGAAGCTGTAAATAGGATTATACTTGTTGTACTTGTTTTTCTTAAAGCAAATGAGGTGTTTTAATACTCTTCAACATATTAAGAAGTAGTGGACAATAGAGGATGACACAGAAGTCGTGTGAAGTGGGAGGAGCTGTAGTTAGGAAAGTGATGAAATGGGTGTGAAATGAGCAGGAAAAGAAGATGCTGATGAACGTAATGTGTCGTTACCTAGTGTCATCCCTGGAGCCTCGGTTGTAAGGATAACTGGTTCAAAGATTGTGGCAGGAGCTGACCAAAAATAATAAAAAGAAACCAAAGAGATTTTTGTGAATGCATGAAATGTCAGAAAATTCATCTTGCCACTAAAAACAAGGCTTCTAAGGGAGAAGGGGAAAGGGAGGGAAAAGATGGATTGCACAGAAGTTTTAACACCAAGAGGCAGGAACTATGGGGGTAGGAGGTGAAATGGGGTGGGGAGTAGGGGGTCACCCTGGGGTCTGTCAACCACACTTACAACAGACAGCCAAAAGGAAGCTGAGACTATACTCACTAAGAGACTAATCCTTAGTGAAAACAGTGGCATTTAATATATTGGTTTGGCCAAACAGCTCATATGTTTTTTTCTGTAAAATAAAAGACACATTTTTCATTTTCACCAATAAGTTTATTGATTCAGATATTTTGAGTAGGCTGGCTATCTCCTGGTATTGGCTTCCAGTGGGTAGAGGCCAGGGGCGCTGCTAAACATCTTCCAATGCATAAAACAGCCCCACAGCAAAGAATTATTTGCCAAAAATATCAATAGTATCAAGAAACTTCACAAACCGCTTTTGACACATTTGATTAGTCATGGCACCTTCTCCATACACTGCATAAATCTTTTGTGCGTGTGTGTGTGTGTGTGTTTCAGTTGCATTTTTACCTTTCTAGAAATTATAAAGCATTATAACACTGAAAATATTGCATATCTTCTTCCATCTTCAATATTAAAATGGCTGTACAAAAATTCACCAATTTTGATGTTTTCTTTTTTAATGCACACTAAGATGACAGCTGTCACAATACAAAATTGTGACACAATCGCAAAATTGTTTCATCTGAAGTTAAAGACAACTAGGCATTACTAGAGCCACTGTACAGAAAAAACTTAACAAACTTTTTGGCCAACCCAATAACAAGGTGAGCAACAACCTCTCAGTTGTTCCTGTGGTATCACATTATACTAGGCATCTTCAGTTCTAAAAATAGAAAAAGCATGATATGGTGCAGGAAAAGACACTAAGTCCACTGGATCAAATTTAAATCTTGAGTAGACACCTCAGACTCGCCCCGACTCCTTTAATTCATCCTATGAGTCCATTTAATAGGATGGCAGCATCAATCCTCCTCTGTCTGCGATGACAGCTTCGACACACTCCCTGCTCTGTCCTCCACTAGTCCAAATTCTGTACTGATTTCTTTCTAATTATCCTCGATTTTTTTTCCCTACTCTTGGCAAATATTTACTGTACTCCTAGCATACAGCAATGGTACCATTTGAGAACTTGTTTTACATTCATATAAGGCAGCATATTTACATGCTGCTTTATGTTATTTTCTACTTGTTTAATGCAGAAGCAGCTTTTGTTTACAATTATAGTACAAACTGACTGGGAAATAATACATACTTCCTGCTTCTGATGTATCTTACAGCTGCTAATATGGTAATGGGAATTTAGAAGGAATTAATAAAAGTACTCGACTTGATTGCGTAGGCTTAATGCTTTACTGAGCAAGCTTTATCTTGGAGACATGAATGGAATCAAATAATAAGAAAAGTAAGTAAAAGGAACATTTTGGGGGAGATTCCCAATAGAAGCATGGGTACTCAGATATCTCATGTTCTCCTAACTAGTAACTTTTACTCTTAATGGACATATAGGGAATGTACAAATTATGTGCCTAGAATTTAGGGTCCCAACTTAGGTAGAATACTTGGATTTCTCAAAGCAGAAACCACCTATTTACCCAGTGTAGCCTGAGGTACTTCTGGACGGGGTGTGGTTTTAGGTTTGAGACGTGGACGACGGGGTCTCTTTGTTGTTGTTGTTGGAGCTGGAGGAAGAAAATTCTGTATTAATATAGTGCTGATGCCTCCATGACCTGTGAATTGGATGATGGAACATGGCTGGAAGCTTTCTAACACTTCTCAGAGTTTCTTTAAGTGGAGAAAAGTTTGACACTTTGGTTTGAAATTTTCTCCTTTAGTATATTAATAGGCTTTCATTTATAATTAAGAGTTTTCCTGAGATTAAGAATTACATTACAGTTATGGTTAAGAAATAAAGATGAAAAACTCTCATTTTCTTGGAAATGTCCTTAATCCAACGCTGATTATGAGTCACTGCTAAACTTTGATGGTGTGAGAAAAGTTCACAACACTGTATAGTTAGTATTCACTTATAATTTAAAATGACTAGGTTTGGGCAAATTTTCCACTTAGTAATTTGCTAGGATACAGTATACAAAATTAGCTGAAACAGCAACAAAGTAAAAAAACGTTATGGAGAACTTGGAAGACAGAAAGTGAGCTACTTAAGAAACTTCATGGTATTATCATTGAGACTGTACTAGTGGTCTAAGAAAGGGATTTATAGATAATCACATTTGGACCTCAGTTCTTACATACAGTGCTGTTTAAACAGACTCATTTCAATGCGATGCAATTTCCAACTGGGATATGGAACAGACAGCTGTCCTGAATCAAGTCCATAGCCATTTCTGTTAGAAAGAAAGCCTTTTATATTTTAAGATGAATACTTTAAATAGGATGATAAATTATGACCTCATCATCTATATAGCACCACAGATGGGTTTGAGAATGAATATGAAACAGCTCTTGCTGAAGGACATAAAGAATCATTACCTAAAGATGTCCCAGGAGTAACAGGTTCAATGTCTGTAGTAAGAAATGATCAAAAGTAAATTTTAAAAGAAATGTTCAACACATGACAGAAGTCATCAAATTCTCTTGAAAATGAATTTTGCAAGAATCAGAGAGAAAAATGTAATTTGATAGTCAAAGAAGCAAAGAAAATACGTAAGTATCAAGAAGATACCAAGCAGTGTGAGAAAGTCACAGGTATTGACTAGGGCCTTCACTCTTAAGGGGAACAGGGTTTAATTAGGTGCCAAGTTAAACTGCCACCCCAGTACCACACCTGACACAGTTCCACAGGCACAGGAACCATATATTTACCTAGTACTGTCTGCGGTGCCTCTGGGCTTGGCGTGGTTTTACGTTTGGAGGGTTTTGGAATTGGGGGACGTGGACGACGTGTTCTTGGTCGTCGTGATGTTTTTGGAGCTGAAGAAAGGAAACTGGTTAATATCATATATATCCAGAAACTAAAAAAGGATTTATAGATAGCTCTAAGTTTTCTAAAATTTTGCTAGAGTTTGAGTCTTCAGAAATTTATCTCTTTATTTCAAAGTTTTCTTTGTCATCCATAGGCCAAAGAGATTTTTGGGGGGGTTCCTAACAGTTCTTCTGATAAAGAGTCTATAACATTATTTGAATAACATAATGTTATATATAATATAATCTGAAAGCATTACTATTATTGCTGGCATCAGATTTTCAGAGGCGACACTGACCCAAAAGAAGTCAGAAGCACAGCATGTACATGTGATGTCAGAGAGGGACCCAGGCGCACCAGCTACGGGGAGACTGTACTGAGATAATACTTCAGCAGGCATCCATCCCATTCAATGTTATCAGAAAAAGCACATTTCAGTTCTTAATATCCCTGGTAGACAACAAAAACACACTATATATCTTAAAACAATTTTCTGTTGATGGACACAGAGTTATAGATGATGTTTATGGGGCAAACACTCCTAATTGCATTTTAAATTCAGCTTTACCACAGAACACTGAGCAGAATCATAGGCTCTGTAAAGTAGGGAGAAAGCTGGATAGTATGGGAGATAGGTGCTCTGCACTGGCTGCATACGGTCTTATATTTTAGCTAAGTAGCTTGTTTTAGACATCTTCAATCCATTCAAAGCGAAGAATCTGGTTGAATGACAAGAGAGGATGATGGGAAAATCTTAGGAAAGAGAAAAGTCCTTGACCAAGATAGTAATGGCAATGACTGGGCAATGAGCAGAAAACGCACTTGCTTAAATACATAGAAGGTCATTACCTATTGTTGTCCAGGGAGCCTCAGTTCTCAGAGTTACAGGTTCAATGTCTGTGGCAGGAACTGACCAAAAGCAATACAATAAGCAATGGAGATTTAAGAAACATAGGAAAAAAATTACCTTGAAAATAAATCTTCTGAACCTTATAATGTTTAAAAAGCAGCTCTGAACTCTGGAAAAATAGTACTTGTTCTCTATACCTACCTGTACTCTGACACCCATCTGTCTCACAAAACAGCCGTGCTCTTTGCGTCCATATGAGGCCAATGAAAAGCTTTCCCCTCCCCATGTTTAATGATCTGATTCCAACTATATTGGAAACTTGGCACCAAAATATCAGACAATTAGTTTTATAACATGTATTTTAAATTACTCTGAAAATTAATGAAAGTCTCTGTTAGTATCTGACAGCCTTTTACTATCATTATTAATATTTGTTTTAAGGAATGTTGGTGGTCAGGAGAGTTTTTACAAATCTTAATCAGTTTCCTTATTGGAGATCTGTGACATTTATATGAAAGATAAACTTTTGCCTTTCTCCAGGATAAATGTGATACTCTTTCTTACTATTTCTTATTTATATACTTATTTCAAATGGATAATTAGATAATTATTCAAGCAAGAAACAGAGATGGTTAAGAAAAAGGCCTGAAAAGCAATAATTTAACTTTTTTGTCTGGATAAAGAGGATTCCTGTAATTCTATAGTATTCTGCAATGATTAAGTTATGTAAAACAAGCAAGCAAACAAAATATAACCAGAGACATTGAAACAAAGAACAAACAGACAGTGACCAGAGGTGAGTGGGGAGGGAGATAACAGGAGAAACAAGGGGAAGGGTTGTCAAGGAACATGTATAAAGGACCCATGGACAAAGCCAAAGGGGGATAGGATCAAGGGTGGGAGGTGGGGGGGATACGGCAGGGGAGATTGTGGGGGAGACATGGAGACAACTGTACTTGAACAACAATAAAAAATTATGCATGAAATTAAAATCTAACTCACTTTAAATGTTTCTTTAAATTCAGAAAATTAAATGTAACATAAAAACATTTTTATTGCCAAAACCCCTGTGAGCAATTACATAAAGATTGCCTTTCACTGACTATCCAAGACATACAGCACAGAGTTGGCTTAAGCCACTTCTGAGAGCATCTTCAGAACTAATGGAGATATGGCAGACAGAAAAGAGGGAGAAAGTGAGGACAACAGGATGAAAATATTTAAAAAACTGACTGCCTTCAAACACAAAAAGGGGAATGAATCCCTATTTTGTTTGGAATTCAGTATCATAAGATGAATTTGTCAACAGAAAGTTGACATTCATTACAGTTGTCTTTGAATAGCATGGAATCAAGAGAACAAGAGATTTTTTGAGAAAGAGACAATTCTGTACTGCATCAAACCCTAACCAGCTTTTTATTCCTGCTCTCCCAGATCCATAAATTGTGTACACAAAAACAGAGATCTCAGTAATTTCCTGGTTTGAAGATGGCTGGAGAGAGCACCTGTAACTCAACAGCATCAAGTGCTGGGAGCAAAGGACTGTCTGTGAAGGTGACCAAAGAAAGCTTGTAGCTGAGCAGCAGATGTGAGACTGCCTAACCATCTTAAAAAGGTCCCTAAGAATGTTGGAGATGAATGGAAAGAGTGCTGAATAATTGTTTACACAAGAAAATACAAGTAATGACAGAGGTGAGAGGGGCAAGCTTGAAGAAACACGGACCAAGAAAGAAGACATCCATCATTACCTATGCTTATGGCGGGAGAGTCAGTCTCAACTGTAACAGGCTTAAAGGCTGCATCATAAAAAATAAACAGAGATATAAATAATAAAAGGAAGCCTAAACTTTTAGGTGCTCACTGATGCTTAATTCACAGGATACAGAACCTGGTTGATTCTCAACTGATATAAACTGCCTTCTTGATAGGCTTATTTATTATACAAGATGTTTTCTTAGTAAGTTAGAATTTCATACTAATCAGAATCTTGGGAGAAAATTTCAATTGCAAAACAGTTGACTTTTCAGCACTATTATATAAATATCTCCTCATTTGGTAGGAAATCGCTTAGTAAATTGTTACTGTTTCAAATGTCAGTAAGGAATTTCAGAGGAGGCCAACCTCCAATTATGTGTCTGCAGAGGAAGAACACAGTGTCATTTTCCTGAATGCTCCCTCTTGGTGGCTGTTCCACTCATGTTCAGAAATATTCCAGGTACATAAAAACCAGCTTGTATTCATGACACACCCAAATTCAGAAAACAAAGCCTAAAACATTCTTTAAGAAAACGGAGTCTGTCAGTATCAGTTGTAAAATTTACTAATTTTCCATGCATTGATTTGTTCATTTACCACATAAAACATCGGCGTGACCACTTGGGATGGCCACGAACAAAATTATGGTGCTTGGGTTTCTACGTTTTGTATGATATGATAAATTATAAACATTTTCAGCAACATTCCCAAAGAAAGAGCTTCTTAAACTAAAGCATTGGAAATTATGTTTACCAGCTTTAATTGAAGGCACATCTGGTTTTGCTGTGGTTTGGGGTTTAGGAAGTAATTGCTTTGGTGGTTTTGAATCTGAAGGAGAAAAGGTACTATAATTAGTCCCATAGCAGAGCTGTGAACATCAAGATTAATGTTACTTGTACAATGTTTTCCTAGTTGTAGATCAAGGCACTGAAAGAAGCAGTCACCAGGCTGGATTTGAGGTACATCTGGTCCATGTGTGGTTTTAGCTATTTTGAATGGCTTTGATGCTAAATAAAAAGGTATTAAAATTAGCATAATGGTCACGGCTGCGACTATCAGAATTAGGGACCTACATGCTTGAGGAAAGATACTATATAAATTCAGTGAACACACAAAAATGTTTAACTTCTGAGTTGTGGGAAGGGTGGGAAATGTGTCCATTTCTATACATTTTTCCAAAAGGAAAAACAATTTGGGAAATGCTAAAAATGTGTCTTGGAGCAAAAGTAATAAGAACTATAAGACTTTTTCTCCATAAGTAATTTCAAATGCAATAAGTATAATAGTTCTATTTCTTAATTGATTTTTTCAGTGTAAAAACATGGTAGAAATTTGAAACTAGCTTAGTAGACCTGGGGAATAATCTTTAACACTTGAAATTATAAACAACATTATATGGCTATTGATTTCTGGAATTTTCTAAAGTAAAGCAGTGACAGATTTATTGTAAATGCTGAGAACTTATAATGACCTAATTATCATTAAACAGCATTTTGTACTAAAAACAATAAAACCAGCTTGGGACTTTTAATGTTCTCAAGTTACAAAGACCATACTATTTTTATATTGGACCCTAGAACAAGAACAGTATTTGTGCTTCTAGTTTCAAAACATACTTGAAAACATTTTTTCAAGGAGACAAAAATGCTGAAGAAGCCATTATTTCATGCAGGTTTTTAAAAGGAAGAAAGTCATACAAGTTGAATGAGTAAATCACTGAAATGATAATCATGGCACAGGAATAACATTTTGCCACTTGTCAAGTCCAGGATGAGCAGAGAAGGCCATGTCTGCAAAAGAGTAGATGGTTTTGTCAACACAAGGACACATGTGATGAAAAGACAGAGTTTGTGGAAAACCAGGAAGTTGTGTCCAAGACCACAGACCTTCCTTCAATAAGCACACAGGATTCTCCTAGAAGTTTCCTATCTTCAGGACTTCAGACCCAGTTAGGAAATGAGGAGACACATGGAGTGAAATCATGGCAGTGAGGTAGAGATGCAGTCATGCCTAGGTGGAGAGTGGGAAAAGCAAAAGTGACACTGGGAAAGCAGTGCAGGAGGGTGGAATTACCAATCGTGGGCACCAAGAGCTCCTGTTGTACTGTAGCAGGTTCCAGAGCTATGGAACAAAAAACCAAAAATACTAATTATAAGAAGGAGTGGTATCTTTTTTTTTTTTAAACATAAATTTTTTTTAAAGATTTTTATTTATTTATTTTTAGAGAGGGAAGGGAGGGAGAAAGAGAGAGAGAGAGAAACATTAATGTGCGGTTGCTGGGGGTCATGGCCTGCAACCCAGGCATGTGCCCTGACTGGGAATCGAACCTGCGACACTTTGGTTCGCAGCCCGAGCTCAATCCACTGAGCTATGCCAGCCAGGGCAGGAGTGGTATCTTGAGGAAGGAAACAATATTCCTCAATCTTTACTTAAACTGTGTACTTTTTAAAATGTGATTTTCCTTTTGACTCTCCCCCCCCCATTCCCTATTGGTTTTCCACAGCTCATCTAACATGAATATGCATCCTGCATAAGAGTTTTGGGTGCTCTACTTTAATAATATACTTAGTGAGTCAGCTTATTTCTATGTGTACCTGTAAATAAAAGTATAAATATATTCATATGATATACATATAGAAAGTATAGTTGCTTAAATATAAAAATCAACTATAATGGTCCCTAAAGTCCAGCTATTAAGGTAGTAGGTAGCTACTATATCAGAAGCTAGTGTAGTCTACTTTCTGTGTTAACTGAAACCCTGAACATTCCATTTACCAGGTTTGGACTTGGGCACATCTGGACTAGGAGTGGTTTTAGGGCGGGGTCGACGACCTGGTCGTTTAGTCTTTCGTGGAGCTGAAGAAAAAAAAATCAGCTACTTAACATAGAACAAACAAAAGTGCATACAGCTTAGAAGCACACTTAAGTTCTTCAATTTATTGTGGATATGTACCCTTCTGTTTTGCAACTTTCTATCATTATTTACTGAGTTAAGTGAGGTCTTCAATAATTTTTTTTTGGTCAAATGTTTATAAACAATCACTGTTCAAGAGTTCAAGATGTTCCCCTATTCTTCCACTTTGAGATGGAAAATCCAGAACTTTGTATAGCTTGGAAAAGACAGTCTCACAAAAATTTTTGAAAGTTCTTGTTCAACAGGAACATGAGAAAAGTTACTTCTAAAAAGCCACTACAGACAAAAATTAAAATTGATTTGGCCTAAAATTCAAAAGGAAAAGTTTTGCACTTAGTATTAAAAAAAAAATCTACAAATCAGTGAGATGTGTTAAAAGGCTCTGAATTCAGAAAAGATTTCAGGGATGGCAAATTTTTAAAATGAGATATAGTTTATAAAACTACAGATTTAAAACATTTTCATGAATAGGAACAAAGAACACATGCCCAGATGAATATTAATGAATTAATCCATTAATGTGAGCCTGTTAATAAAGACACCGGCAGTCAGGACAAAGTGTAATGCCCATCGCCCGCTCAGCAACTGTATTACCTAATGTTGTTGCAGGTTTGGCTCCCCGTGTTCCAGGTTCTGAGACTGCATGAAACATCATTAAGAAGGAATCAAAATCAAAGGAAAAATGATAAAATCTACTTAAATATGAAAATGCTGAATTTTTAATTACTAAATTGAGCAAATGTAAATGATGAAAGTTTTATCCACATAAGAAACTCCTTTATTTAAGCCAATGCCTGTGTTTTTAAACAAAATGAACAAAAATATAGCCAGTCAGTTAAGTTTGGAAAGAGAAATGGAAAGAAAATGGTATGATTCTTATTTGGAATATGTGAATGCAATAAAGTAACCAACAGTTCATGTTATGAAGGAAAATAGGGGTAATTGGCTAAGATGGTATGAGCAGAACACACTATTTACTCTCTTGAAGAAAAAGAAACTATAAAGATTGGGGTTATTTTTTATTTTTCTCTCTGTTAATGAACTTCCTAGTGACACAGCAGAATATTTAGATTCAGAAAGACCATAAGGTTTTTCAAGAAAATCTGCAAATGTTGGAATTTTGAAACTAAGAAAAACACCTTCAAAAGTGAAAGCACAAATATGTCCTAAAGAAGCCACAGTCCTGCAGTGGAATTACCAGACCAAAAGCAGTTCAGGACACAGTCCTCCAATGTGAAGAGGGACAATAAAGAGTGTGTCAAATCAAAGTCACTGTGGCTTGCATGCTGTCTCAGAACCTCTGTGTCAAAGAGCATAGGCAGAGAGTTGAACTTCTGGCAAAAATGGCTGACAGAAACATCTGAAGGACAATGAAGAAATAAGTTTTTAAAAAGCCAAAGTTAAGGATGACGTTGAGGGTGTAAAGGGAGAGATAATTCTTTTTCACTAACTAAAGTGAGAAAATTTCATTACCTATTGCCGACCGCGATGGTGTTGGAGTCTGAGGTTCCGGGGCTGCAACAAGAGCAAGCATTATCAGAGGCAATGAGGAAGAGCACCATCTAGGGCAGAAACTAAACATCTGTTAGCATAAAAAGTGTTCTCTCATTGATGACCCACCAGGTTCTACTGGCTCAACAACAGAACGCTCAACACCCACATCTTCTCCACAAACCACAATAAAAGTAAGAATTGAGATTTCTAATTTTTTGGTAGATTTTGAGCTATTTTCTCCACTACCTAATATTCTGAATACTGCTCCTAGTGCTTGAGGAAACACCCCATTAGAGGGAGGTTGAGGCAGCCTCTCCAAGGTTGCCTGGAGCTCCTGTCCACCTGCATTTTGTTTCATGCAAGACAGTCAGGTGTGTTCAAGGCAGTGGGAACAGGCAGCAGACCCATCAGACCTGTTGCTGTGCCTGAGTTCTGTTAGTTGTGAATGAGTTTTGGTCTGGCTGGATTTGATATTATTTAATGAAAAAGAGTTGAACTTATAGTCTAAAAAATGCCAGGAGGGTTCACATGCTGTTCTCCAAATTTACTAGCATTTATTGCTGGTGAACAAATTGGTTTACATATAAAATTTAGTCCATTTTCGTTAGTAGATCAACAGGAGCCAAGAAGCAGTCTCAGATTTCATGAAATGCTAAATAAATTGAATAACAATATTATTTAAATATTCTAACAGATAACAAAACCTCCAATTTCATTCAAATGTTAGGAGTGATGCACCACATCTGAGAGTAACAAACAACAAAAATTCTTTTGAAACTTTGAGGTTGCAGTTCATGTTTTAATTTCTATAATGTTGCCTCTAAAAGTATGAAAAAGTAAGTAAAATTTGCTACTGAGCATTGGTAGCCTTTACATAAATTAAAGAATACTGACTTTTTAATTTTATAAAGAAAAATCTGCATTTAAAAAAAAATTCCTGACAGACCAAGACCACATAGATATGGACTCCATCGGTTAAGCTTCCAATTCACCTGCATATGAAAATATTAAAGTCAGTGTTTACTAAAGTGAATCTGTGTTCTGAAGACTCCCTCTATTGACAATTTTAAGGTCTTATAGATAAAGGTATAAAAATATTCCATAAAAAGGCTGAGTGACATGCCAATAACTACACCACTCACCTCAGCACAAAACAAAGAAAAACACAACTTGCTCATCGTGGATTCATGACTAGCAGTGAGAACAACACACAATTCCATCTACCACACATAAAATTAATTGGAAGACTCTCCCTTTTTCTTTTTAGTGTGTTAAAAGTTGAAGAGCTAAAAGTCATTGCACTCTTAAAGATGAACTATGAAAGAAATAATTCTTATTGGATGAGGCAGACAAATACAGTCATAGTAAGTAGATGGCTGGGATTTTCAAGAAAGCACTGGATTCTGCTTATAAAACAAGCCAAAACCATTGGTGGTTTTTACTTGTTAGTTTAACCACAGAGGAAAACCAGAGGAAAAGCAGCCTGTGTGGAAAGTGAAGTGGAAAAAAAAAGGGAGTGTGAGGAGAGGGCTGGGAAAGGCAATGAATTACTCAAATCAAAAAGCTTTTGGTGGTTTGTTTGCTCTTCTGAACCTTGGCTAGAAACAGAAATCTTCAGCAGAGCTATAATGGTGGCCTGCCCTAAAATAAAAATAAATGGTTTGCAGAGATTCAGTCATTACTCTGTGTTGCCTTGATGTCAACTTGAGTTGGCATAAATTTAGCTGCAGATTCTGAAGCGGCTATATTTGCTGTTAGAGAAAGAAGTGTGGATATTCTTAAGTGGTTAAAAGGTAGAAATCAAAGGAATATAAATGCATTAAGCTTCCCAATAATATTCTACACTTTAAAAGGAAAATGTCAAATTAAGAAGTCTCTGCTCAAGCACCTTAGAATAATAAAAACACACCTTCCAACTCTTATTTGTATTAATGAACTCCTTCTCAGAAAATTTTTTAGAAAGTGCTGAAAATTAATAATGAGTCTTCTGTAAATTGCAATTAACATCTAGAGACATTTTTTGATGTTTCCAAATTTTATCATGTAATAACAGAAATAACTAGATTGGAGAAATATTTAAATTTGGTGAACCAAATATACAGTAGTATTTCTCAATCTGCTTGGTAATAGCCCTCTGTTCAAAATATAACATAAATATAATAGTTACTACCTTATTCCAAAGTCCCCAAGCATGATTTAAAAGTAAATGTGCATTAAACCCTTCTCTCATATAGCTCACTGTCACTGTGTTTTGCTTCTAGGGCTGTTGAGTTTTATAAGCTATGCCTCTTTCTCTAAATGGCCTCTCAGAGTAAGAATACATCATTGTATTTCTCTGACTGGGAGACACCACCCCTGCTCACACTTCTCTTGCCTTTCACTGCCTCTTGAAAAGGAGTCATTAGAATTTTTTTCCCTGAGCAGCTACAGTTTCTTCCTTATCCATTTCATTGTAAAAAAAAAAAAATCATGTCCACTGAAGCAGAAACTCTCTTGCTTTGGTAACTGTCCTTTGAAAACATGGATTAATGAAAAATTCATTGAACAGTATAGTGAAAAATACATTCTTCCAAGAGCTAAGGGTTTAAAATTTAGATGAAAATGATGAGTAGTGACAAAGATCCCATATATGTACTATTGAATAAGTCAATATGTAAACTGTTGTATAGATTCTGGATGGAAAAAAACAAAGATTTGGTCCCTTAGTATGTACTACAATCCTTATGTAGGGAATTGTCTCTGTTTTAGATTATATATACAGACTAACTCCTCCCTGCAAAAGAGCCTTCTTTTCTTCAGCAAAACACCATTAATCTCTCCTGAGAAGTATACAGAAATTGGTGCTCAGAAATCAGCCCCGGTACAGAAGGAAGTTATGGAGCCTCAGGAAGATACAACCCTCTGTAATCTTAATTTTTTTTGTCATAAGAAATTTTATACTTTGCCAAATAACACTGAGATTAAAGAATAAATCTATACTCCTACTTAATTATTTCTGTTCTCAATCATTTCCCTAAATTGCTGAGACTTCCCCTGGCACGAATTTTGTTTTATTTTGTTTCAATTTTCTGGCTAGAATTATATTACATAGTAAGATGAAGCAGAAAAGCACTGAAAGAGGGCATTATTGTTGAGAAAACCTGAAAAATTTTTACATTTACTAAACTATGGCAGTTCATGGTTGTAATATTATTCCAAGAATGCATATATTGGTTTATTTGAACTATTTCTATATAATAAAAAAGGATGTACCATAAGTTCAAGCTGTCCTATATGGCATCAAAAATTTCAAATATATCATAAGCATATATGTGGTGGTTTATCCCTTTTCAATGCCTTCCTCAGATGAGTTAAAGACATGACAAAATGCTTGCTAAATATTTAAGCTATAATTTTAAGCTTTTGTACTTTTAATACGTAGTCTTGAATCTTTAGTCTCACAGCCTGAAACTGAGATGCTCCAAACGAGGCAGAGTTGTTAGGGGATGGGAACCCTTCTTCCCTCTCTAGCTGAAAGGCCATTGTTCAGCGTCCCGAGAGTTCCAGTCAACTCTGGCACTGGGAACTATTTCATAGTCCCAGACAAGGGAGTCAGTCCTGGGTACATCGTTCTGTTTCTGTATTTGTTCTCTGGTGGCCATGAGCCTTATGCTCCCCACAGCTCAGAGTGATGCTGTGGTACTATCAGAGGGGCTGGTTACAATGAGATTTCATAGCATTTTTGCATTTTTCATGGCAAAATGTATCAAATACCAAAATACAAATCAGAAGTCCTTGCTCTAAAGAGTGGCATAAAATGACTTTCAACTTAGGTCTTGGAATATTAAATGGAAATTCGGGGTAATTACCAGGTTTGATATGTGTCACTTCTGGGCTGAGAGGGGTTTTAGGTTTCAAAGAAATAAATTGTGTTTTACTGGGAGCTAGAAAAATACAGAAACAAAAGCAATCAACAAATCAATATTTAGACTTTCAGTGTCTAAAACCACAAAAGAAAAATCTATACTTTAAGCGGAATGAACCCTTCATCTTGGGAGAGTTTGGAAATAGTCCATTAAAAGAATATTTCACAGAGCAGCATTTAATGGAAATACAGTGAAACCTTTCTAGAGTATATTTGACCTAACAGAAATAGCATTGCTGTTAAATAGCCATAATAACTACACAAAGACCGTGAATTTAATCTGTGCTTTAAAAAAAACCAGTGTAATCATGCACCATTATTTCATATTCCTCAGCTACATCTGTCTTCAAGCACCAGAAAGAAAAGACATGTTTCAAATAAGTATTTTCTGATAACTACAATGCTGTAATCTGCAGCATAAAGAAATTCTACTAATACCATAATAGTCATTATTCCAACTGTAGCCTGAAGTTGAACTTGAGGGCCTTATGCAAAGAAACAAAAAAGAGAGAGAACTATGTATAAGACCCAACCTCAAATATAATGATTTGGTAGAAGATGACAAAGAAACAATGGTTTAATAGCTTTCCAAGGCATAGAATGATGAATAATGCTGAGTTCAGATCCACTAACTGTGGAGCCAGATATCCAAAACCATGAAAGCCCGAGTCCATGTACTACATGAGATACTCAGTATTGCTGAAATGAGCAATTTAGAATACTGATTGAGACATTACAGGAAAGTGGGGATCCCGGATTTCCCATGGTAAAATGAAGTAACGCATCTACTAAGGACATATCATTTACCCAGTGTTGTCCATGTTGGTTCAGGGCTTTTAGAAATTTTAGATGCTGTTGTTCCAGGACTTTTGGTTCTTTCTGGTGAAAGGAAAAGAGATATTAACATATCCTAGAGACAATAAAAAGATATCTTCCAAAGAAGAACTGAATGGCCTTTCAAATATTCTGCCATCTGTACTAGTCAATGTTTATAAAGTACGCAGTGAGTAAAGTTTTGGAAAAGAATTTTCAAACTCAGTCATAATGGTATAGACTATATAAAAACCTGTATTTATATCACAATGGACTGAGCAAACCCCAACTTGCTGAGTGTGATTCTGAGTGTATTATTTGACAATGAAGAAAATCCCCTCTACACTGATAAGCTACCTCTACCACCCAAACTCTGTGCCTTAAAATATATTGCTCTCATTTTCTTTTTCCTCTGCCCAAATCCTGCACATATTTTAAGGTTACTGCCTCAACTCTTACTCTTCCTGACCTTCTACACACATATCATGGTCTCACAAGTGGATTATATAATCTTTGGTTGCTCTCTCACTATTTGTTACATATTATCTTTTAAAGTTTATAAGAAATTGGGAAGCTGGAATCCTGTCCTTTCCATCTCAGCCATTGTCCCAGGGGAAACTGAAAACATAGTAGGCACCAAACAAATAAGAACTGTCAGCCTAATAAATACTTAAATAGGGACGGCATACCAAGAAATAGAATTGTACTATATATCTCACTTTGTCATGTTGTGGCAGCAAGACTTGTTTCCAGGTTTAAACCAAAGTTCACTTTCAAGAACATCACATGATTTTTAATAAAATCTTATTAGAAATGATTGATTCTTGTTATTTTGGTTTATTAATTACTCATCTTTAGTTAACTTCAAATTTTCTAAAGAAACTTTAACCTATAGAATCATAGCACTTATGTTTATGGCATGGAGATGGATGTTATCTATTTGGAATTAAATATCCTGAAAAGTTAAAGAACCATTTATTTACCAGGTTTGATTCTTGGTGGTTTGGGCCTGAGGCGTTGTTTAGGTGTAGAAGGGATGGATGTAGTTTGCAGGGGAGCTGAAAGAAGATTTGAAGTAGATTTCATAAATGATGCTTCTCAGGGCTCAGTCAGGTTGTGAATGTAAACTTGTAAACTTCTTGAGTTCAAGAACTGCTTTCTGTTTCTTTGTATCCCTAGAATGCCCAGCACCTTGCTTTACTCACAGTAGGTGCTCAATTAATGTGTTGATTGGGCCAAAGGAATTAAATTTCTATAAGAGAACTGAAGGTACATTGTTCAAGTAAATGTACTGCTGGTGAGCACCTCTGAAGAATTTAAGAACACATAGTACCATTAAGGACTCAAAAGATGATTTACCAAACAGAATAGAAAGTTCAGAACTTCTTTAATTCTGTAGTGCTCGACTAACCTCACCAGGAGTTAATGAACTTCATGATTCCAATAATTTTCTACCTTAAAATGTAGGTTGTGTACCTTTCTTTTGCCCATTTTTTTTTTCCTCATGTCCAGGACTGCAGAGCCTACTTGGGACTCTTTATACTGAAACCTACTTTGAGAAAAATATTCTGACCTGGTGGTATCTAAATGTGCTAATTAAAAGTGAATGTATTTTAAAATAATTATCTATAATTCTGCTGCTATTTTCTCATTGGCAAATTTCAAAGAAGAATAGCAACAAAAAAATTCTTCACAATTTATGGGAGGAAATGAAGAGAAATGTTTACTACTAAAAATATTCTTAAAAGGACAATATAATTGATTCCTTTCTGTCACTTCATCTGTTCTTTCAAAGCAAACAACTATACAAATGTCATTAGTTACCAGGTGTTGTAGGTTGCCTTTCAGGATGGGGAATGATTTCCACTTTTTGAGGACCAAATGGTATTTCACTTGGAGCTGAAAACACAAACACCCCATCCCACCAAGTAATTCCAGTTAAAATGAGGTATTTTTTAAGAGTTTTAACATGCTTTTAGATGGTGTTACAAAGCACATGCTACAAGTACATGACTAAGGATAAAAATGCATGTAGTCTTGAAAGATGATGGATGAAATAATAATGTGAAGTGGGGAAAAGGTCAGAGTGATAATTGTTCAGTAGCTGACTCCAGGCAGACTCAATGCATGGGAGACAGTGATATAGGCCACAGGCACGAGATGGGATGATACGGATGATGACAATGTCCATGCAGTTTTCAAAGCTTTTCATTCCTTTAAAGATGGAAAGATATCTTCTATTACAGTACAAAGAAAAGAAGAGACCAAAATGGAACACAGATGCCTGCATTATAGGAAAAAATATGTATATTCAGAAATAGGAAAGAAATAAATAATTAGATTGATGGAAAGAAATGGTCATTTGGAAGAAAGGCATTCACATGGATTTTCTTTTGATGGAAAACAAAGAACAATTTTTCTGTTAAAAACATTACCCAGTGTTGCCTTTGGCTGTTCAAGAGTTCTAGAAGTTTTAGGTGGGACAGAATCCAGAAATGGATCACTTGTTGCTGTTGGAATAAATGTCAACATTTACAAAAGCAGCATAAGGCCCCAGGAATAAAATACAAATTCATGAGTAATAAATTATGCCTCATATAGGGAAAAAATATCAAGAACACTTGAGGGATTTCTGACCAACATTTTTAAATGAGTGATTCATTAGAATTGAAGATGAGCTCACTTTAAAAAATATATCTACTTTCTTTTCTAAAACTTTTAAAGATTGTTAACACTATTACAGATGTCTCCCATTCCCCCACCCTTTGCCCTCTTCATCATATATACTTTAAACTTTAGAAAGCATGATAAACTGTGTCTCATATATTCAACTTATTTTCAACTGGGTTTTTTTTGGCTTCTTCTATTTATTAACTACTGATTGAACCCACCTTTAGAATTCTGTTTTTTTAAAAAAAATTTCTGCAGTTTACACTTATTTGCTTTTATTTAACATGGGACAAATAATGCTGAGATAAGGCTACACATCTAAAAAATATCAGGCATACATGCATGTCTGCAAAGACCAGTCTCACTCACTCTGAATCTCCGCAGTGCCAAGTTCAGTAGGTGCTTAATAAACACTTGCTGAAAGGAAATATTGGACTGGGTTGAACTCACTGTAGTTGTGCCAGTACGTGAATGCCAAAGATTAGACCAACTGATCTTCTACACACTAATGAATGACAGGATCGCTCTGCAGCTGGATTTCTCACCTCAGCACTATTGACATTTAGGGCTGGATCATTCTTTGTTGTAGGGGTCTATCCTTTGTATTATGGGGGTTCAGCAGCATCCCTGGCCACTACTCACTAGATGTGTCAATGGCACCTGCTCCAGCTAGGACAAAAAAAAAGTCTCTAGACATTTCCAAATGCCCCTGGGGGTGGGAGAGACAAAATCACCCCCAACTGGAGAACCACTGCTCCAGAGAAAACTCTGCAGGACTCCAAAACCTTTTTAGAATGATTCTGAGCAATAGAGCAATAGACCATCTCCTTACTTTGCCTCAAGGGCAACCACCTGTCTGCATCTCCCACTTGAGCAGAGTGCATTTACTGAAGGATGGGAACACATGGTCACTCAATGAGAGGAGAGGGTAAAATTCACTTTCGTGACATGATTGCTTTTTTTTCCTGCAAGGCTCTGGAAAGCACACTTTTTCATTCAGTAGAAATGAAAGAGAGAACTAGGTACATAATTGTCAGAACACCTGGAATCTAAGGCAAGAATTGAGAGGTTGGGTATACCTGTGTGGGACTCTGATATTTCAGGCTCATCTGATGATGTAGGGCTGGAGTAAACATCATAAGCTGCTTTAAAAGAAAAGGTAAAAGAGATGTTAATTTTGAGTGAAAAGTTACATGACATATTTTAATGTTAGTCTTGTCACTAAAGTGTAAGCAATCACTAAGATTTGCCTCTAGTCCCTCTTGCCCTGAACTAAACATCTTTATATAGGAAGCCCTGATGCTGGCCTCCAGGAGGATGTGAACACAGTGCTATATATTTACAATAAAGTGGTGCCAGCTCTAAAGCAAAGAGCTTCCAAGAATATAAACATAAATGAAGTCAAATGGGAGAGATTTCCAAAGAAGGAAACAGCAATTACAAAGAGGCTGCACAAAGTCTACTGCTTAGTCTTTCTACTTAGTAAGAGTTACCACCACGCTATCCTAACATTTGGACAGCACTTCAGTTTGCAGAGCACTGTATCATATATCAGCTTATTTAACCCTCCTGAAAAATGGGTGAGGTAGACACTACCCCCACTTTACAGATCAAGGGGCATTATCTCCATTTCCTAGACAATGCATTTGAGATTCACAGTGGTGAAGACATTTGCCAGTGGTCACACACTGGGTTTGTCCAGCTCAGCATATTTTCCATTGCATTCTCAGGTCCAGGAATGGCAAAGCTAAGACCAGTTCTCTTCCTCTCACATTATTCCTTCTGCCACTTTACCTGGTGGCAGCCTTCTTTCTATGTTTCTCCACAATCTAGGTGCACTTAAAGATAACATTCATATTCTACATGAAATAAAGAAATCAGGGTGACCTTTAAAAAAAGGTTGGTTTTAAAATAAGGATAATTTTCATGTTCACATAAGTATTGAATCTGCAAGCAAAAACAGCATCAATATAGAAATGTTCTCTATTGCACCAATGGCTATCAATATTTTGACAGGTGTACAGAAGCTGGAATGTTGTGAAGTAGATGTTACTTTCCTTGCCCATTCAAAATGGCTGTGCAAAATAAACTAGAAAGGTAGAGGGAGCCCCTGGAAAAATTTACTCATTGGGGTTACTTGTGATTCAATGGCAGAGTAATGATTTGAAGCACTGCTAGGTGAAGCTGTAAGAAAGAAACTACCAGCCTGTGATACACTCTGAGAGGCAGATAGGACAGTGTATGTTGTATTACACACCTCAAAGGCAGAAAATACATTTCAGCTTGTAAAGGTGAGTTTACTGCTTTGCAAAATCTTCAAAAAACAGAAAACTATGAGTTAAAATGTGCAAACATCCTGAGAGTAAATCCATTACATTGTAATGTAAAGATTCCTTTAGCCTAGCTACAATTTTAAAGGGTCAGAGGAGAAAGACTAACCTTTTAAAGGACAGAAATTCTGGCAGTTGCTGATCTTAATATTGTTTTAAGCCAATTTCATAGAACCATCAAAGTCAGCTTTGTCTACTACTAGATAAATTAGGAAAACTAACCGACTTTTATTTCACCCTCTCATACTAGGAAAGAAATTATGAATTAATAGCTTGACTTATTTATATTATTAATTTTGAAAACAGCCACAACTGTCTTTAGTTTATCCTAAATCCCACATTTTCCTTCTTATCTATAGTTACACTGGACCACCTTTCTTATTTCTGCATTTTTTGTTCCAAAAGTTGATATTTATTCACTCTTCTTCTATTTCTTTTCCATATCTGCAATTTGCTGCTCTAGTCTAGACTCTCCAAGCCTGGCTGCCATCTTCCTTAGGTTACTCTCAGAAGGTACTCTAGTAAGGAAAGAAACCCTTGTTCCACCATTCTCAAGCAATTGCAGCTCATGTCTGGATTACTGCTTCCAAACATTTTCTCAAACATACTTAAGATTAAAATAACACATTTGCCAGCAGGCTTGGTCCTTGATATTTCTATTTCTGGAGTTCAGACAGTTGAGCAATGAAGAAGAAGAGTGCTAAAAGCACACAAACGTCACTTGGTGGGAGTTTTACAGTGTTTGGGCAGCCTTGATCAGCACTGCCACCTCATTTCGTTCAGGGCTTAAACAAGGTTTTTTTGACTCTGAAGTAAGAGATGTCAGAGGACAGTGTTGAAATGAAGCTCTCTAAAAATCAACAGCTACTGACTTCTTTACAAAACTCTTGTGTATGTACTCCTACCAGAGTAAAATGTACAAAATGGTTAGGTACCTCTGGCTTTTAGAAGGCTATAAAGTTGACAAATAGCTAAGAATTCAGGATGAACCCTTCTGTTTTTCAGACACTTTATGTGCTATCATGCATTATTGTTTAGAGGCAAATATCTTGTCACCATGTGTACTTAGTGGATGAAATGCTCCAGCTATTTGACATGGAGTGCTGTCCCTCACCTTTCATTCACAGAACATCAGTGAGACCAAAACTTAGAGGAGAAAGCTAATGTGAGTTAAATAGGTAGCTCCATTGCACAGTGATAAAAAGCAATAGTTTCATTAATAGTTCTAGTTTTTTTTAAAGCACAGTAATGACACAGGCATAATAACTAAATTTTACTTTTATATTTTTCAGATAAAAATATATGAAATGGGCCATACTACTATTTTCTCATTTGTTCATAACTTCCTAAAACCACATTGCTAAATTGTGTTTTGTTGTTTGTACATTTTATTTTTACTTAAAAAAAAACTGATTAGATGCAAATTCCATAATAAAAATGCTTTGATCTTGCTTTGGAAACCTATGATGGCACACAGACAAGTATTTCCAATGATCAAGAATTTATCAATTTGTTGTATTCCAATGCCATGAATATTAACAACTGTGTGAAAGACTGCCATGTTTAAACATACATTCTTAGAGGAAAGACCCTCATTAGGACAGAAATTGTGACGCCATGCTCATTATGTACTCTGTTTATTCACCCCAAAGCCTGGTGCACAGCAGAGACTAAATAGAATTAATCTACAAGATGCCCACTACAATGAACAAATAACATTGAGTTTGACAGTGTGTAGTTTATGCTCTTAGTAAAGATAAATGAGAATAAATGAACAGGCCTTTAATTATTCTATGATACACATACATGTGGGTAAAATCTGTCTGTACTCCACTATTATTACATGTCATATGCTTATGTGTCCATCACCTGCCATGAAAATAGAACTTAAAAACATACATGAAGGGACAATGGGAAAATACAATGTTATCATCAATAAATAGCTGATAAGAAAAGCATTTATAAACACCACACATGGAGTTCTCAGTGCCATTTACATAAATACATAAATGTCATTTACATAAATGCTTTCTTCAGTTCATGGGAAAATAAAATAACTTTCAGGTTAACCCTGAAGTTTGTGGAAATATTTTCTGCCAAAAAAAATGCTCATTAAGTGAAATCAAAGGCTGAGGTTATATATCTCTAAGAGGCTACAGTAAATCTGTAAACCATCTGCTAAACTCAAATTCTATTTTCCTGCTCTCAGAGCATCAACACCACCACCCATTCCTACTTTTTCTCTTCTCTGGGGCTTAATCCAGTTGGGTGGGCCAGACCCACGCTAATCAACACCTCACGGGCGGGCAATAAGGTCAGATGTGGAGTTCAACCTCTTCTCACCCACCCTGAGCAAACCTCCTGGGCTAGGACTTTCCGGCCAGTGTAGGACTCTTTAGGCACACTGATCAGTTCAGCTTCCAAGTCTTTAAATAATTCATAAGAGTGTGTACAGCAATTTACCTAAGTTCTACAAAGTACTGAAAGAGTTAAACACTGAAAATAATTAGTAATAAATTCTTAAAGGTGGCTCCCTTTAATGGAATCTAATGAAAAGACTGAGGGCTACCATCCTCAGTTATGACTGTCAAGGGAAGTCTAAAGATAACCATTGATTGTCTACGGGGAAATAAGTTTGCCAGAAGGAGTAGTTGTCTTAGTAATACTAAGTCATAGAACAATGGGTGGGAAAAAAACAGTTTGTGTGGACACCCTGTAGAAAGAACAGGTAGGAGAATTTTCCAAAGATGAAACTAAACACATTTAGTCATCTTGGATTATATAAAGAAATAAATCATTTCCTTTATTTTATTTGGGCTTTAAATTCCTCCTGGTACTAAATGGTGCTTTTTTAAGAGGACGATCAAGTGAATTAAGGAGGCTTAACTGATGACATTATCAAGTCAGAAACAGAAAGTTGATTTCCATCTGCCACCTAAAAGCATACAAGAGCGTAAGAATCATGTGTAAACCCCATCTGGGGAATGAGAAACACAAAGCATTGAAGCTGCTTCTCCCAACTCTGATGTCCACAGAAAACACAAAGTTGGTCATGGCATCATTTGGCTGCCTGAGCTGAGGCAGGGCCTGAGCCCAGTTTACAGAATTTGCTAGAGGCTGCCACTTGAACTGAACAGCATGGCAGAGTGAGGTTAACAGGATATTGCCATTCCCATGGGGGTGCAAAGCTTCTTCAAATAATGCAGCACATTCCCTTAAAAATTTTTATACAAGTGAAATTCAGATCCAAAAATCATTTGGTATGCTCATATGTGTACAAGCTTAAGAGTCTTTTTCTTCTCTCTTCCTTTTTATTAATTAAATAATTTATTATTATTATTATTATTGTTAAGCATCTATACTATTTCAGGAAGTTTAGAATGGTGGGAAGAAGATGCATTCAATGCAAGAGCCCACTGTATTAAGAGAGGGCACCCCTTGTGTACTGTGAATTAGATTAAGTGACTTACACGTTGTAAAACATAACAACTCAATAAAAATATATATTATCTCCATTTTATAGATGGGAAAACTGGGGACCTAAGAGGTTAAGTCACTTGTCCAGAGCCACATAAATAGTAAATGGTTAAGCTTGTTGTTAAGTCAGCTCTGTCTCATCCTATAGCTCACAGATCAGTGACCACATTCACAATGAGAATAAACTTCAGGGACTGGCCACCCTTTCTTATGGTCCACTTGTTCTTTCTTAAAAATCTAGAAGACACCTGGCTCTAATTAAAGCATTTGATTTACTCTGTTGCACTATTCTGTGAAAATTTCAAAGGAAGCTATATGACATTATTTCACTTGTAACATGGAGCAGTTTGTAGGAGAGATTCAAAAAGAAATGAATGATCATCTAGTTTTTGCTTCTCTGCCTATTCAAAGGCAAGTGTCTCACATATCTTCTTAAGATAAAATAGAATGATAACTCTCTTTGCCTTTGGAGACTTCAGAAGGATCAATGGTATATGATGGTATAAATGAAACTCTGAACCTATTAATAGAAAACTGCTATGTATATGCAAAGTTATACTATTCCAGTGAAGAGTAATCAACAAATGCATGCATATTTATGCAGTGCACAGTTCTTCAGGGTGGGGGTGGGCTGGAGAGCTTTTTCTGGAACTCACTCTGTGACAACATGGAAATCGTTGTCAGCTGGCCACCTTCCAATAGAATATAAGACCAGTTCTACTTAACATTAGAGAGATTGACTGTTCTGAATGATTGTTACAAGCACTAAAGAATTCCTGAAATCTGGCCAACTTTTTAAAAATATAGACTTTATAAATAAGTTGGCACTCTGGCATGTAATTATAGAGCAGATCGTTGTAATTTCCTTTCTGTACCTTAAGGAGAACTGGATTTGCTGAGAGAATAAAAATCAATCGATCCTACTTAAATGTAATTTGGAGAAAGTTTAATACAAAATACAATTCAAATAATGAGACCGAAAAATGCAGCACTAGTGAAAGATTAGGAAAAATAGGCTGAAAGTGGGGAAGAATATAGTTAATGACTATACTACTAAGATTTCCTGGAATATTCCAAATTCCAAATACCCTGTTCTAGTCTTGTCCTAAACTATTGAAATGACCCAGGGATTTCAACGTTCAGCACACAAATTAGAATTTCCACATGTGTTTTTACATCCAAAAGTAATACAGAAATCCTTTGGAGAGCATGTTCCCTGATGATCTGATACAGAATCTGAAGTAAATGTGGAAACCAAATGTAGTAAATGCCAAAGTAAAATGGGTTTTACAAATGGCATTGATAAATCATGTTTAATGGTTGATAAAGAGAAAAGCAGACCCTGGCATCCACTGCTGGTTTGGCCCCCACAGCTCAGCTTGGTGTTTTCCTGCTGAACATCAACAATTTGAAAGAATACCAATTTCAGCAAGACCACTTGGTGACTAAGATGGATCGAGACAAAATCAAGAGCACTCTGTAATCGTGTACACACAGACAAACGAGTGAACACAAAAACTACTGTCCCCACTGCATAGCTAATGTAACTAACTGCTGCTTCTTTTCCAATCACAACTTGAGCTTCACTCTGTTCTTCTTGTCTTCACGTTAAGAATGATAAAGCTATTCAATCACAAAATTATTCCACTCTCGGACAATATCCCATTGAGAGCAAAGCTTTACTTCCTTGTACCCTCTCCAGAATCACCTATAACACAAGGCCAAGTCCCATAGTAAGTCCTTTCCAACACCGTCTTACTGAAAGTTCCCACAGTTTCTCATGATATGTGTTTTCTATTGTTGCAGTGAGTAAATAAACCTAACTTTGTTCAGATACAGGTGTGTTCCTGCGGGTCTTTGATTGGAAGGAATTGATATAGTAAATATAGATGCACTGTATCCCAACAGAGAAAACAAAATATGCTAATTTTGCTATAATAATGCCATTCATGCCAGCTGAATTATACCATTTCTTAAAAGGATATAACAACTAAATACGGATCAATGTTTTTATAGGCCAGGATTCAAATACTATCTCTGCCTCTTTCTCTTCTTCATTCTCAAAACAATCACATTTGAAAACCATGTATATAATTCGAAAATAAAATAAATAATCATATACATTGAAACTAAATAGGAAATACTTAGTACATGTATAAATTCACACAAAATTGATCACAAGAAATAAGAAAGGCTAAAATCAATGAAAGAATGGCAAGACTATATCAACTCTTTAAATCACAAATAATATATATATAATAGATAATATATATGATAAATTTTAATTTGAAATTTAGCATGTTAGGAAGGTGCCACAGAATTCTTATACAAGAGGTAGATGTAAGCACTACGGGCATTAGCAAAAACAAGAGATAACAAGCACCACTTGGAGAAACCAATCTTATATTGATTTGAGTCCTCTTGTCCTGCAATTAACCGCATTTGATGATTCTATATGCACCATGTGAAATATTACAGACTACAATGATAAGGTAGTGCTTCTCAAACTTTAATGTTCATACAAATCATCCAGAGATCTTGTTGAAAAGCAGATCCTGACTCAATAGATCTGGAGAGCACAGTCCCAGGTTCTGCCTTTTTAACTAACTCCCCAGTGACGCCAGTGCTGCTGGCCAAGGGGCATACTAAGTAGCAGAGGTAGCAAATGAAAGCCAGCAAGAGTGGGCTGGGAAGCTCCCAGGCTACGCTCATGCCTGCAGTCATCACCTGCTGGGCTGTTACCGCCCATGACAATCCCACACTCATCCAGAATGCTGGCAGTTGGAAGTTCTTTGGCAGATGAATAATAAAACTGCTTCCTGCTACATTATCCACTACTTATATTCCAAAAAAAGAACAATCTTTTAAATTCCTGTTATGAAATTAAAGGTAAAAAGAACTCTGCCTGTAATGGGATTTCTAATCTCATCTATCTTTGTCTCTTTGTAACTCTACCACCTTCGCTTCCCAACATATTCTTGTCATTCCCGATGTTTACTTCAATTCAGGCTTCATATAGAATTCACACCCTAGGCATTGAAACTCCATATGGTTTCCTTGAGGCTTTGGTTAGTTTGCCCTTGAATAATCATAGGCACCAAAAGCTAGAGCCTGCTCAAGGGAAACCTTGGGGACCCTGTGTCTCCTATGTTACAACCCAAAAGCAAAGAAACAAAAGGGACCTAAGAGGTCATCTGGTCCAGTAGCCCCACAGGTTTGTTTTGGGAGAAGTGATGCTCATGGACGTGGGAGGCAGGCCGGACCTGTTGCAGCGCAGCAGATAAACCATCACACTGCCCTCAGACTAGCTGCAGTCACACTGCAGCTGTGCCTGCGTGATGCTGATGGAGCGAGAGGCTCGGTATGAACCCTGCTCAGGACCTGGATCTTGGACTCCGGTGAATTGGACTGCTAAATGTATTTCCATACTCATGTTAAATAACCTCACTAAAGTTTCTGGGTCAGTGACTAGGGGAACTGTGGTCTAGAAAGACCCAGTCTGAGGCTTCTCTGGACTGGCTGACAAGTACAGATAAATTTCAAGACTTCTCCCACTTGAGAAAAACTAGGAGAGATTAGCATAATAGACATGCTTACTTTAGTTGATACATCCTTGTATCTTTTGCTGGTATCTGATACCATTACACATATTAGAGAAAAGATAATTTGACTAAGATCTATGTGTCTGAAGGATCATTCTCATCCTTTCCCAAACTGGCCCTCAGTTGGGCTTCTTACTGAAGAATTCACAAAATATCAGTTATATAACTTTATTACCTGAACTGCTAACTACATTATATACTATATGTGCTCAAAAAAATGATGACTAAAAGGTACACAAAACATTTAAATACAAACAAGTAAAACAAAAATCATGGACGTAATCACACTAAGTGGTTTCTGAGGTTTTCTTATAATCCTCATATGATGAATGTCAATTGTCTTTAGTTGACTGCTAGATATCAAAGAAAAGATATGTAGGAAACTTTTTAATTGAGAAAAATCTATTTTAAAAAAGCAGAGCTACCTCCCTTTATCAGTTTTAGTGGTGGAACACAAGAATTCTCAGGGTAAAAAAGCGAATTGCCACAATTTACAAAAAGAGCAAACTAAGACCCAGAAAAGTAGAGAAAATAGCTAAAATATATGACTAGTTGGAAAGCCAGAATTGGAAATAAAGTCCAGTATTAATGCCAAGACTTGTGATCTTCCCTCTACATCACAATATATTCACTGATAGATTTTAAGATTTAACAATACTATCTTGCACATAGTAGGCTCTTAAATATTCATTGTTGACGAACATAAGGTATGGTCTGAGGGGCAGTGGGAGTCACCTACCCTGCCCCACTCAGCTAGATTTGCTGATTGCCATCGTCAGGTTCAGTCAACTTGAGGATACAATACGTAGGGGCTTGGAAGCCTTTTGAAAAGTTGGATCTTGATGCAATGTCCTATCATTGTTCCCTGGGCCCCAAGTCATACAGCTCACTTCCAGGTATCTGGTACCACATTTGGCACATAAAAGGTGCTCAATAAATAGCAATAATTGCCACTAAAAAAAATTCATTGCTGAAAAGGAAGCAAATTATCTATCTGCAAGGGAAACAAATTTATCTGTTAAATCAGACCTGTGATGATGCTTATTTTTGTTACTGCTCTCAGCTATCTAGAAAATCATTGAGCGAATGCGTAGTTTTTCTCCTAGCCAAAGTTCTAATTAGATATCCAGATGTTAAAAAACAGATCTTTAAAACAAATGCAAAAATATTTTACTTTTGTACTGAGGGAAAAAAATAAGACTCATTTAAGTATCAGGAATGATTTATAGCTTTACCATTTACTACAAAGTATATTCATAATCAACTAAGGAACCTATAAAAATAAAAACAAAAAGTTATTTAACACTGTTGTTCCAATCTATTTTTAAAAAAAAGAATGCAATTACCAGTTTGAGGCAGTAGAACTTTGGAGTCTTCAGATGTTTTAGTTATAGGTACAGTCCATGGCTTTTCACTTGAAGCTACAGCAAAAAGAAAGGAAATTTGCTGAAGATTTTGTGGGGAGGACAAAGAAACAGAAATAGGTTACTGTTGTAGCTGACTACCAGAATCCTGCAATGAAAAGCACATACTGATCCAATCAAAAGCCATCATCTATCAAGAAGAAATCAATATGTACTCATCCCAAGAGTGATTAGTGACTAGAGAGAGACCAAAGCTTGGTTTCATATTCTCAACATTTTTTAGGACAAAAAGCTAACTTAATGAGCTATGTAGAATTAATAGACTAATGATTGTTACTGAATTTATAAAAAATCCAATCAAATAGGGTTTGTTTGTTTTTTAAACCAAATCAACCACTTGTTTAGCCAAGTTAATGGAATTTATCAGTTCTTTGAAATTTGCAGAGATGGGACCCAGTAAATGTGTTCTCCAGAATTAAGTAGTCACCACCCACATCTTAACACCAGATTTCAGGTACTGTTATTACCCCAGCTGCCCCCAGGTTTCTCAAAAAGGAAGGGTGTTTTTGCCTGAGGAAATTCTGGAAGTCTTTTCGGAGCTGTAAAGAAACACATAAGAAATGTTATGACTTGAGGTACAAGTAACAGAGAAAAGATTTTGCTAAAACAATCACAAAGAGGCAAATTACTCATGTAAAGTAAGAGACTGTTTATATTTCTTAATCCTGTGTTTCAATACTGGATGATATAATAAAGCTTTTTAAAAAAATAATACAAGCCACTATAATTGAAAATTTTGAGTACTTCTTTTCATTTTTATTAGTTTTTTAATTTCTTCAGCTATGTGTATGTGTGCTCTTAGATATATTTCATTTAGATTCATATTAAGCACCAAACACATCTGAACTGAAAAAAATGTCTATCTACTAGCTATTAAAAATAATGTAGTCACCAGGCTTTATATTTAAGCTTATCCCAACCAACAACTTTATTGATATTGTGCTCAGAAAGAAATTTGAAGAATTCTAAGAAAGAGTCTTCACAAATTATAAATATATTTTCTCTGTGAAGATAATTGAATAAAAGATATTTAGAGAAAATATAGAAAACAATTTATATAGTGACATGATAATTTTGAATTAAAAGAATCAAATATAACATCAAAATATGACCACCAAAAAGAAAAACAATGGAAGGATTTGTTATAGAGAGAAACTCTTTAAGACCTAAATTACAGAACAAAGATTTTTACAACATTTAAAAACTTGGTGTTGGGGAGCTTATGGGTTAAAGCCAAGTGTCTCTTCTTTCCTGTGAGAAGATAAATTTGAATAAATCAGCCTAAGGACTTCTTTCAAATGTGCATAGAATTTCCAAAGTAATAATAAGTAGTAGTGTTTAATAATTTTTACCTAGAGTGCTCAGTGGTAATTCAAACCTAGGTATTAGAATACTTTGGAATCTTTCCGGGGTCTTTTCGCTGAGAACTACAATAAAGAAGAGTTCAGTTAGCAACTGTACGAATCGGGATTGGACATAGTGGCTTAACTACCATCATGTGATACATGCTCGAAACAGAGCGTGCACTGGGCAGCTGATGCCTTTCATGGAAATAGCTGGCTTTGCCCGGAAAAATTTTACATAGCTGTTCAAATTTGAAGGTACACTTTCAAAGGGCCTTGGTGTGGCACGGACGGTCAACATCACAAGTACAGAACAAAATACATGCTGCTCCTTTTCTTCAGAAGAGAACAAAGCAAGTAAGAATCTCTTAGGCCAAGAAGCAACTAACATACATGATGTAAAATTCTTATTAGAAAGCATGACACTTTTGGGGATTCTCCTCATATTTAGTACACACAAGACTTGGAAAAGCCAATCAAAGCAGAAAGCACAGACATAGCCAAGACTTCCAGGTTTCCGCCATCTCTCCAGGCTTTCTGGGTTAAAAGGTTGGCATTCTGCTTTTCTGTACAACCCAAGAGACTGGTGAAAGGGTGTGCACTTAGCATCTAGTCTCCAGAGCTGCCTAAATGTCATTCACCAGGATCAAGGCATGTTGTTAACTCTTTAATGAAACTGGTCTAAGAAATAGGAAGATTAACTACTGCTGGTAAGGAAGGGAGAGAAGAGGAGAAAGGTAAGGTACTGGATTACTTTTCTGTGAGTGTTGGGAGGGTTTTGTTTGTTTTAGAAAAAAACTTCTTAGAATTACCCAGTGTTGTTTCTGAAATGTCTAAGGCACTAGATACAGTGGGTTTAGTGGTTCTTGGAATTGATTCAGGAGACACTGGAAGGTAAAAAAAGACAACTTTACAAATTAAGATAAAATTATGAAACATCCAAAGACCATAAGACACTTATTGCCCTTGAGAATTAATAACTGACACCTAGTGCATTACTTCTCAAGTTCTGTCTGTTAAGGACTCCCTGGCTTGCTCCAAGTTCCTGATCTGACATTGATCCCAGGCTCTCCTTTCTGGGTCTGCTCCATTTCCCATGTGTTACAAAAAGCACACTGAATTGATCTGTGTGAAAGCACTTAGAAGATTACTCATAATTTTTTATTTATCTGCCTTTTCTTTCTCTATCTTCAGGGCTTAGCACGATGTCTGAGATATAGCAAGCCAGTACATGCTAAATGTTTATTAAATAAATGAACTGATGAGGAAATAAAATAATGACCCAGATTTATTTAGAACTATTACATTATATTATTTCTCTCTTTCAAAATGCAGTCAATATGCAAAGGTTGCAACTGCATTGAAATAAGAATTCAAAAGCTCAGCCACAAGGTTGTTCCAAGTGCTATATCAAAGGCAAAGACAACCTCAGCTAAATAATTTTTTTCATGTTATATTGTCTTTTTTAAGATTTTACTTTAATAGTTTTTCAAGTACAGTTTTCTGTCCTTTACTTCATAAACACTTAGTCAAACACCATAACTTGTTATTCAGTGTTACTGTGTTATCACAAGTCCTTACCCTGCAAGAAATTCTGGAGTTGTCTAGCTCACCGTTTGTTCCAGATCTCAGTGATCCTGTATTTCATTTCTTAAAAACTATTGGAGGATTCAACTATTGGAGGGTTCAGCTAAAAACTATTGGAGGATTCAACTATTGGAGGATTCAGCTAAATAGTTTTTAAGAAATGAAATACAGGAACACTGAGATCTGGAACAAACGGTGAGCTAGACAACTCCAGAATTTCTTGCGGGGTAAGGACTTGTGATAACACAGTAACACTGAATAACAAGTTATGGTGTTTGACTAAGTGTTTATGAAGTGGAAAATTCTGAGGTCAATTTGGAAGAGAACTAAAAAATCTGTAGACTCTCCTATGAGACACTGTGCCAAGAGAAGAAGTATAATCGGGTAGAATCTTTGGGGCAGAAAAGAAGTTGGACTCATCCACTGCGTCCTGCCCATGTTTTTACTGGTGTTGAACAATTATAGTGAAATTACAAAACTACCTAGGAATTTCATTCAAATACATTATTTTAGCATCTTAAATAGCTTTTACCTCTGCCCCAACTCCCATGAAGGTGAAGGATGGAAGGTCCATCTCCCTCCTTTAGGCAGAACCACATACTTCTTGCTTAGTCAGAAATATCCCTACCTGTACTGGTTCCTGGAAATCAAGTTATTTTATTTCACCACCAATCTTTATCTTCTCTGGAATAGTTATGAGTTCCAGAATTTAATACAAGGTAAATATCACTAATACTTCAATTAATAGCAATTTTAGGGATTAAAAAATCACTTTAGATTGCAGTTACTTTGATAAATGTGGATTTGGGGAAATTCTTGCCAGATGTTTGCTTTGCCGAGTCCTAGACAAGGTGGTGTCGCCCTGGCAAAGACCCTGTAGTTCAGAGAATAATGAGTCCCCAGTGGGCTGGGCTTGGGCACTTCATTCATGGAAGAAATGCTGAATGTTTGTTAGTAATGGCTGATGAACTGGGGAAAATGTATCCCACATTTATTTTTTAAAGTATTTTTAATGAACTGTTATATATTGTCTGTATTAGGATTGTTAATCTTCTGAAGATATTGTTGCTAAATAATATATATCTTAAATTATGGATTTGTAAAGGGATTGGCATTCCACTCAACTGACCACTTGAGAAAGTGAAGAAATAAAAAATGGTCTCATGTCTCTGCATAAAAGGAAAGCACCATAACCAGGTATTACTTTTTAGTATAAAAACATTTCAGCTCTGGCTGGTGTGGCTCAGTGGATTGCGCACTGGCCTGCAAACCAAAAGGTCGCCAGTTCGATTCCCAGGCAGGGCACATGCCTGGGTTGCAGGCCAGGTCCCCAGCTGGGGGCATATGAGAGGCAATCGATTGATGTTTCTCTGGCACATTCATGTTTTTCTCCTTCTCTTTCTCCCTCCCTTCCCCTCTTTCTAAGAATAAATGAAAAAAAATTCAGAATATTGAGGTAACAACTTTCATTCAGAGTGAACAATACAGTTTCCATATTACATAGCAGTTACATGATTTGACAGTTTATTCTGCACCTGTTGTTTTTTCCAAACATTATATTAAGAACTTAGAATAGCCTATTGCTTTGGGTTTATGATCAAAATCAATTTCCTACTGGTTCTTCACTGAAAAAAATGTACAGGCTTATCCACCATTTGTCATTTGAAAAAAATATTACTTATTCTCTCAAAGTTAATGACACAAAGATCTCATTACCTGTTATGGGCTGTGCTGGGATTTTTTCTACCTTTGGTGTTTTAGATTCAGCTGGTAATGCCAAGGTTTCATTCTTAGCTAAAAAAAAAAATCAGAGAACAAGCAATTTGCCTCACTTCCTATAACACAGTGTCCAAATACAATTCATTCAAAACATAGTCAAATAGTAGACTATTTCCAGAAATCTATTCTGCTCTTATCCCTTCCCACCAGGCAGTCAAAAATTTATTGTGCATTTCTACAAGGGATTAGCATGAATAGATGATAGTCTTCAGAGTTCCTTCCTGTTAACACTCAGTAATTCTCTAAGATCTAAGATGACATTGGAATGAAGAAAAAAATCACAACCCAATACTTGGATAACTCTCAAGTCATTCTGATTCATAGAGTTTCTGGAAGGCCTATGTTGTATTGCAAATACTCACTGGAATTTTATATTCAAGTACTCCTAATTAAAATAAAATCAATGAATAGAAAATTTCCATTACTATGCATAGTGAAACATGTAATAGGTTATGATACTGAAGTTTTAGAAAAGCACAAATAACACACATGGGAAACTGAATTATTTAACAATATTTGTGGCAAACAAACAGTAATTTATTTGAGCCACATGTTAACGAAGACCTTTGTTTTGGTTACTGTGGGGATTCAGTGTAAAGAATAAAATCAAATTTTCCCCATTTTTCCTCACTTCAGACAACTCTCAGGAAATTCCTTTTAAAATGTAGGTATTCTTTTTCAAAGGGATTACATTTCTATACCAGAGACTCCCAGTGATTAAGATATTCCCCATTTAAAAAATGCAAGGATTAACTTGATTCAGCTATTTTACACCCAAAATCAATGACCTACTTGTAATACTTTGAAACAGTCTAGTGGCACAAAAGGATTAATTCATCTTTGTGATACCCTGATCATGTCACCTTGAACTGATTATAATCAGAGGAATTTTTTAGAGACCTAAGGCTGTGCAGAAACTTCTTGGGTTTCTCAACTTTGGCACTATTGACATTTTGGGCTGGATAATTTTTTGTTATGGGGACTTTCCTTGGTTGCGGGATGGTTAGTAGCACCTCTGGCCTTTACCCACTGGATTCCAGGAGCATGTCCATAGTTGTGGCAACTGCAAGTGTCTCCATTTGGACACTCCATTGCCAAGTACCGACTGGGAGACAAAGTTGCTCCCTTTGAGAACTGTTGATCTAACTTGTGCTCTCAAAGCCCTTTGAAGATGCAGATATTGAAATCTTTTGTGGTTCATATCTCTGTTGTAAAGACCATTTTTTTCTTTTTCAGTTGAAAAGGGCATAAAACATTTATTTACCTGTGACGGACAAGGCCATCCCTTTCACAATGTTAATAGAAGCCAATCAATGTTTACTGTGTATTAGAGAAGCGTTCAATAGATTTCTACTAGATTAGCTCTAGATTTCTACTAGAGCTAACTATTTTCAGGAGTGATTTAAAATGCTGCAAATAGGTGCCCCATGTGCCACATACTTGCCATATCTAACAGCCAAGTGTGTTTTGGGTGCATGTGCACCTGAAGTTGCACAGCATGTCTGCACAACAGAAATGATTAATACCTTTTTTCAAGTTAACTTAGCAGGGCATGGAGATAAGGGGCTCTATTTCTGGAATAACTAACTGAAAACACAGATCCAATATAATTTTATTAAAAATTCTATTTTTAAAACTTCTAAATTTGATCAACCTTTTTTCCTGCTTTTTTTGTAGTTATAGTTTTTATTAGAACCACTGTGATTGTTAAAAAAGGAAAAAAACATTCATGTTACACATTTTTATGAGCAAGCTCAGTTCTGTTGTTTTCAGCATGTACCATAGGAAAGCGGATGTTTTTTGTTTGTTTATTTTTTCCCAAATGTAAGGTTATAAGGTTTCTTTAATGGTCTCTTCTTTTTTAGTGTCCTCTAATCCTTTAGGACACATTTGCTAATCCTCCCCTTCCTGAGTAATAATATCCTACGTTCTTCGTGGTTGCCTGGCTGACCAGGACTATTTACTTACTTACTTAATAATTTATTTTTAACTCAGATCCTAGACTTCTATGCAATGCTCTAAATCACTTGGCTTTAGCTTCTTATAGCCTAAACATGCCCTTAACTGGTAATTACCTTAATTTAAAATTAAGCTGAAAAAGGAGAAAGAGGTAAACTGCCTTTCCAAGAGAGAATTTGTATCCTTTACACATCACTAATTTCTTACAAAGTCATATTGTATTTTCAAGTATTGTACTCCATATCAGAGAAACTGGTAGATGGAGAAATGTTTACATGAGGGCTCTTTATGCTTCCTATCAACCCCACGCCTTCACCTGCGCTAGCTCTGTATAAGCGCAGCCTCCGCAGCCTTGGCAACAGTGGAGCAAAGTGCAATCAGCATGACCTACAACCCAGGAAATTCCTCTTCCTGTCTGATTCTTCTGTACCTTTTTTCAACACTGTTGTTTCCTTTACTTTTTGGCAAGCTAAGTCTTGGCTTTGGCAAATGCTTTGTATGTCCTTGGGAGATGTGGGTGTAATACTGGCTTTCTTGTTTATTTCTCTCATTATTCACACCATGTGTTCTTAGAACAAAGGCTAATAATTTCTTGATGTCCCATGATGGGTCCCACTAGAATGAGGATATTATTTTTAGGATTTAGTGTATTAAAAATGGGGCTTTTCTAAACTGTGGTGATAAATAAATCTAGAAAAGTTTATTTCTCCCTTGTTAGTATAAAGAATTATGATCACATTAAAAATACAGTAAATTTAAAATATGATTTTTAAACACAGCCTGTTAAGATGGTACATTTGATGGCCTCATGGGACATTTTCAAACATACTGGCTATCAATATCTTCAATGTGTCAGAAACTCATCAGTGTTAAATTTAACAGGTGTTTTCCCAGAAATACAAGTTAAAAAAGATATTTAAGTATTTGCATTGCATTTTTTCTATTAACATCCCAATCCTAAAGATTTAGTGAACTATATCAGAAAAATAAAATTAAACAAAATATAAAAATCCACTGTTTAATCTATAAAAAAGCAGGGGGGGAATTGGGAATATCACTCAAAACTAAGGACTAAGGAATAAAACATCTTCTAATTCAAAACTGACAGCAGTGGTCTGGGAAAAAAACCGCTATTTTCAGTCTCCTTTGCAAATCCTGGGTTTTGTAGTTTTGAGAGACAGACTAGGAATCCAACCAATCAGAGATTTGCTGTTTTTCCCCCTCTTCCTGAGTAAGTGCTTCCTAGGTGTGGGACAAGGCAATATGCAGGCTCCAGACAGAGACCCTGTGAGTGCAAAAGTCCTGAGCTCTGGCGCCAAATACAAGTTCATGAAGGCATTTCATTTGGAGGCTTCCTGGCTTTTAGCACAGTACATGGATGGTATAGAGTGGAGTGACAGGGTTTTATAGTTCAAAGCTTGTTGATCAAGCCTGATGTACACATTAAGGATCAGAAGCCTTGAGTCACTTATCTACGTTCTTGGAGTTAACTCACCCTAGGACTAAGAGCTATAAATATTTTACAATGAAAATGTAAGGATTGCACAAAATCACAAAGATTTATTGGCAACTATTTTCACAACTCAAGAAAATGGTGATGCATAAGCTTTGAAGATTTTTCTAAAATTGTAAGTCTAATAGTCCACTTATTTAGTGTCCTGCCCACTTAAGGCTTTCTTCCTCCTTGCAGGAGGTTCTCAAAATTAATAGTTAAGAAAATTTAAGGGTTCTCATCTTTTAAAACAGTTAGTCTGATTGCCTCCAATCAAAGAAGCAAAGAGGTTAGGTGTCCAACAAGGGAAAGTAAATCTGAGGTCCCAGTATGGGCAGGTCCTGTGTCTGTGTAACTCACCACAATAGTCCCCAGCAACTTGCTCTCTGGCACAGAGGAGTGCTTAGGAAGCATCTGTTGACTGAATGCTACCAATTCAATTAGGTAAGTGCTGTAGTTCTTAGCTAGTATTGACTTTAGGGAAAATATTCTGCATTTTTAAGTCTTGCTCAATTTCTATCACATCACACCATCTCCTTCCATGTTTATCAATAGCCCAAGACAGTCTCCAGAAACTTTAGAGGGGTGGTTCTCAAACCAGACTAGCGGTATCCATATCACCGTACGAAAAGCAAATCCTCAGTCCCCACCCCAGACCTACTGAATCAGGAAGCCTGGGTGGGCCCAGCAGCCTGTGTGTTCACAAACTCTCCAGGGTGTCTGATGCTTGATAGAGTTTGAAGTCCTCTGCTACAGAGAGAATTAATTTGACACTCAAGTTTAGTAACTAACTTAGCCCAGTGACCACTGCAATTATTCCCTGGGCTCCTTTCAAAAGGTATGGCTGTTTTTTTTCCCTTCAAATTATTGCATTTTGTGTTTGTTAAACACTGAAATCATATTGGGTTCTTTCTAGAAAGAGGAAGCTGTAGCAATCTCAAGTCAATGATAATGCTAACAGTCCTGATCTTTATATCAGTTCTTATTGAAAGCATCTCATGGTCCCTTAATTGTACTAAGTGTAACTTATAACAATTACCCTATTTGAAAATTTTATCTATAATTGTGTGTATTTTCACTAATTTGATCAATGTTCATCCTTCTCTTGTAAGTGTAAATTCATTTATTTTTTATGGAAAATAACTATTTTCCTATAGAATGTGATTTAATAACTTTAATACTTCAACTTCTCTGGAAAAGAAATTTTCCAACTTCTTTGGGAAAAAAATCTTTCCTAATTTTTTTTTCCAATTTTTAATTGTGGTAAAATATACATAACATAAAGTTTATGGCCCTAACCATTTTAAAATGTAAAGCTCTGTAGTATCAAATATATTGATAATGTTGTATGAACATCACCACTATCCATCTCCAGAACTCTTACCATCCAATAAAACTGAAAATCAGTGCCATTAACACTAACTCCCCTCCCTCCAGTCCTTTGCAACCATCATGCAGACAGCATTGGTCTTTTTGTAGTTGGCTTATTTTGCTTAGTATGATATCCTCAAGGTTCATCAACATTGTAGCATATGTCAGGATTTCCTTCCTTTTAAAAGCTGAATAATATTCCATTGTGTGTATAAACCACATATTGCTTATCCATTCGTCTCTCAGACCCTTGAGTTGCTTCCACGTTTTAGCTACTGTGAACAATGGTAATACAAACATGGGTGTACAAGTAACTCTGAGAGCATTTTTCCAATTCTTTTGGTTACATACCCAGAAGTGGAATTGTTGGATCCTATGGTAATTCTATTTTTAATTTTTTGAGGAGTGATCATGCCGTTTCCATTGCAGCTTTACCACTTTACATTCCCATCAACAATGCATATGCCTGTCCCTTACTTTTACTTTGAGATCCCAAACAGCTCATTTTCTAGATTCCTAGGATATTCTAAGAATATCAGCACTAGAAACAGTCACCAAAAAGTTCAATCGTAGAACTTTGCTCCTTACCTAATTGTGTCTTGATTGCATCTGAAATCTCAAACATTATGGATGTAGGAAGTTTTACAGTTGTGTCATTAAGGCCAGGAATAACAAGGTGGACTGCAAGAAAAGAGAGTAAAGATGAGAGGAAGAGAATGCATCATGGCATAAAATAAAGGTCAGAGTGCCAGATACTAGTAACTATGAAGTATAGCTATTCAGAACTGAACTACCAGTATCCTCTGGCTTTTAACCCATGCATGCAAAAAAATTATAAAATGGATGCTTCGGATGTGTGGTGAACAAACAATGCCATTATTAATAATAATTTTTAAAAGAGAAGTTCAATATGACCAAAATTCCCTCATAACTGCAACAATCCTGAGGTGCTCTCATTCCCACAATGCACGAGCCAGAGCTGTTTCTCTAACACACTGTGATAGAGGTGGCAGCTCTTGGCTCCTGGCCCAAAGTAAACACAGCCAGGATCCTAAATGTTGAAATGAAATGAACCAACAATTCAATAGACCTACTTACAGTGCATAATTCCATAGAGGCCCTATTATTTTAAAAAATAGCCTCATTTTCTTAATCTTAAGTATAGAGTTTAAGACAACTCACCTAGTATTGTTCCTCCAATGGGAGACTTATCTGGGGATTTTGTGGAAGCCCTGTGAGTAACATTCTGAATCACTGTTGAAATACAAAAAGATAATGGCAGTTGGGGGGTTGGGGAATAGTCAGAAAACAGTAAAAAGCTAACAGTGTGAAGTCACCTGAACTGAGCCCTGGTCTAACTTTTCAATTAATAGAAAAGAACTCATTGGGTTGACTACACAGCAAACTAAAGAACTAGGAGGCACATCTTAGCATCAAGTAATGAATAATGAAAGGCCATTAACTGTAACACAGAGTGTTCTATTTTAATGAGCTGAAAATTTCTTTTCTGATCCCCACTCCCTGCAGCCTACTCAAGTAAAGAACTAGCACAAAATGAGAAAATGTATAATCTCAAAGCAAAGAATCCTTGGATAATTCCAATACCAACTGACCCTGCTTTCAGAGTACATGGGACATTATTTTCTTAAAATTAAGAACAACTTTAAGTGCCCAATCTCTTCTACTAAGAAACTTTCTGGACATAACAAAGTCAGTTCAATAATTTGGAAAACTGAAAGTCAAAATAAAAACAACCAGATGATGAAATGAAATAAGACATCATAATTCTTAAAGCCAGGGTGTCTTAACTTTCCCTAAAGTGACCGCTACATCAAATTTTTATTTCCTTAACCCAAATATCCTATTAATGATTTTCTTCATGTATGCTAACTTACTACTAAACTAAGCCACACATATTTAACTGACTTTTTAAAACTGAATACTTATGACTGCTTTGTCTCTAGTTGTATAGCCAATGTGACTTGCTGTGACTTGGTTTATTAGTACAAGAGCTAAAATTACCTATTAACTTCTAATTTACTAGACTATGCCAATTTCTTCAAACTTTTTTTCTGAAAAACAATAATCAGAAAAGTTGAGAAGATATGGGCAATATTTAATTATTTCAGTCAAAAAGTATACTAAAAATAATTCTAGCCCTGGCCAGGTGGCTTGGTTGGTTGGAGCACTGTCCTGTCCACCAAAACGTTGCAGGTTCGATTCCTGGTTAGGGCACATGCCTACATTATGAGTTCTATCCCCCAATCAAGGCATGTATGGGAGGCAATAGCTCAATAATTAGGGAAACATTGATGTTTCTCTCTCTCTCATTAATAAACATATCCTCAGGCGAGGAAAAATATATATATAGGGTCTGGCATAGGTAACACTCTTTTTTATTACCAAAGCATAAGCATGTAATTCTGTAACTTAACAATATCACACTCAAGCACACCATATGACATTTTAGGTGAAATGTTCAAAATAAAACTATAAAAACTATTATTACACCCATATTATTATCCTACCAACTATGCTCAAGTAGGTGTTACTTCTGCATGACCCTGTACATGTGTGTATAGTTCTAAACACATATCCAGAAAAGACTCATAAAAGTTACCTTGCTTGATGATTGTTATTGGGATCAGCTTCCTTGGGACATATGCTGGCTGAAAAGGGAGGAAGAGAATCAGTTTTTCAGTGCTAACTTTTTAAAAATAATGAATAAAAAAAACTAAAGTAGCTCTTTCTTGTCTTCCGTGAAGTCTCCTGTGACACAGGTTTAGAGGTTGCTGGAAAGATCTTAGTACATATGTGTCTGCCTCTTTTATTGGACTCACTTTGTTTTTCCTGTAAATGTCCAAAGATTTAACAGAAGCAGTTTCTTCAAAACTCCCACTAGTTTACTTAGAAATTGCAACGGAAAGAAACAAAATCTTCAGTACTGAATACTAGTCTATTTTCACTTCATTTCAGATGTGACCCAAATTCTCTTTACATTCCCTTTCAAATAGATGTTATGCTATGTATTATCTTTCTAAACTGAACAACATCACTTGCTTGAGTGTACCCAATCACTGCTGCTGCTGCTGCTGCGGCTACACGCAACTCAGTCACCATGAGCTCCCGATGCCACGTATTTCCTTGCAGAGAAGGCAGAGCTGGGAATCAGATCCAGACATTTCTATTTCCAAGGTCTGTACTCTTAACCATCCTGTATGCATTTATGCACAAAGGACCTCAGAATTAGAAAGGCCGTTCTCAGAACACTGTATATTTCCCCTTCTCCCAAATTACCTCAGACATCCCTCAGGAAGTTATAAAATCATAGAACTACTTGAACTAGGGGCAGGTATAGCATCACCAGACAGAACTGTGAGCCAAGAATAAGACAGCCATGGGAGAGACATGGAAATAAGGTAAAAGAAAGGCAGCAAACTATGTAGGGAAAAATTAGGTTGAGTTAAAGAGGTAAACATGACATTGATTTCTTGATGTTTTATTTGAAGTGCATACATAATACAGATACTCAAGATCTACCAGATCTGCTGATAATTCAGGATGTGCTGAATAAGATACTTACAACATAATTGTAAGCAAGAGACTAACATGTTACCATATTAATAAATGACATTCCTATGATAAAAGGGCCACAATACCAATCTTACTGATGACTATTTTTCTTTTTGTATTAAGATTATTATGTTTAAAGTAAATAAATAATTACCAAATTATTTTTTTAAAAGGAGCATCTATACTTATTGACCCAGTGCTATAGACTGAATGCCGTGCCCCCCACCAATTCACGTGTTAAAACTTAATCCCCAATGTGATGGCATTAGGAGGTGGAGCATTTGAGGAGTGATTAGGTCATGAGGGTGGAGCCCTCAGAAATGGAATTAGTGCCCTTATAAAAAAGACCCCAGAGAGCTCCCTCCACCCTTCCACCCTGTGAAGACACAGCGAGAAGACGGCTGGCTGGGAGTCAGGAAGTGAGCTCTCACCAAATACCAGTTATGCTGGTGCCTTGATCCTGGATTTCCAAAGCTCCAGAACTGTTAGAAATAAACGTTTACTGTTTAAGCCATCCAGTCTGTGGTATTTTTGTTATAGTAGCCCTAATGGATTAAGATGCCTAGCAACCTAGCCTAAGGGATTAATCAAAGATAGAAATAATCTTTTATGTATAAGGTCATTTATTCCCAAATGTAAAACAACCTTGTTATCCAAAAGCAGAGGTTTTATTAAATAACTCATGGTTTAAATTTTTTATATCTATTTAAGTAGAAAAATATGCATAATACAAAGAATGCAAATTCATATATACAACATAACCTAATTTTATAACAAATATGTATAAATAAAAGTTTGGAGGGAAATAGATTATAGTCTTTTTTAATAGTAGTTACTTTTAGAAGCTGATATTAATTTTATTTTTATACCTTTCTCTGTTTTCCAATTCTTTATGTGGGTGAACTTCATTTATAATTAGAAAAAGTTATTTTAATCAACAGTCCGTTCAGCTACTACATAAGCTTCTGTACTGCATAGTTCATACACTACTGGTAAGAGAGAATGATATAAATAGATAACTATTGTTTGTCCATGATTTTTCCTAGGCGAGAGGAAGGGAAAAGTAGGAATAGAACTATAATCTTCAGCAACAAAGAAAAAAAGTCCCCAGCTTCAATGTTGCTCTGGCAGCAGGATTTCTGTCATTTTGTTTTATAAGAGAATGAAATATGAAAACTTGCACCCAGGATACTGCCCCAGACAGGGACAGTTAGACCCTGGTGCAGCCCCACCTGTCCACCTTACTTCCACCAGTGCTGCTCCGGCGAAAGGGCTGACAGTCCACGGCCTCCATCATTTCTCAGAAATTTAGGTGCCTGCTGTGGCAACCTCCTGTCATGTGGGAGCCACTTGCTACAGGAACCACACCATCTTCGCAGGTGCTAATAATCAGTTTGTTAGGGCTGTGACTCCAGTTCCAAAGATTTTTGAATGCTTTTTTCTACTGAATCCAGTGCCTGTTTTGCTGAATGTGAAGTTTTTCAGAGACACATTATAGCAGAAATGCCTACATGCTGTTGTGTTGAGTCTTTGAATTGCATTATGCCAATCTTAATTTCTTTTGCTATAATGATTTGCTTTAAACAAACAATTTTTTACAAGGACAAATGGAAAATATTTCACCCTTCACATTAATGGAACAAAGTTTCTATTCGTGTTCTTGAGTACAGAGCCATGTTCTAAGATGATGGCAAGACTATATGTACAATATGTGCTGCCAAAAATAAGGAAACCATTTAGCTGCAGAACCGAATTCTTTTTAGACCTCTAATTACCCTCTTGCCTAATCTGCAATCCACAGATGCACCAGAACTGGACCAATGAGCAAGTGGCTGCATCTCTGTAAGCAGGTTTCTAAAGGGCATCAGGAAGGTCCCTCTGCCCAAAATGTCTGCATCAAAGGCTTTAAAATTCCCAAGAAGAAATCCACACTGTGAATCCTTTCCCTGTGTTTTCTATAAAAGTGTAGGGAAATATCTGTTACCTAGACTCATTGGAAAATGAAATATTGTGATAATTTCCAAGTTAACAGTGTTTAACCAATTACAACCCAATTTTAATTATATTGTTTCATGTACAGTATTTATTTTTATTTTTTAATTTTAATTTATTTTAAATTCATAAAACAGACTTTATTTATTTTTAGAGAGAAGGAAAGGGAGGGAGAAAGAGAGAGAACAACATCAATGTGTGGTTGCCTCCCACACGCCCCCTACTGGGAACCTGGCCTGCAACCCACGTGTGTGCCCTGACTGGGAATCGAACCAGAGACTCCTTGGTTCACAGGCCAGCACTCAATCCACTGAGCCACACCAGCCAGAGCCGGTGTGTTTTTGCTTGTTTATTTGTTTGTTTGTTTGTTTTTAAAGGTACCAGTAACCTGCCATCCCAGACTTACCGTTATGAACATTTATCAGTTATTATTATTTTACATTTATGTGTGTAGGAATCTCAGTGTTGCTGCTGTGGAGCATGGGGGTGGGGAACAAGGCGGTGAAAGTCCCACATGCTGCTGCACAGTTTGGCTGATGTGGCCTCAGCAGAACACTGCTCTTTGCACACACTACCCTGGTACCAGTTTTCTTTCTCAGGCCATTAATTTCCTTGTTTACTCTTTTCTCTGCAGCTTGCTGACCCCCCCATTCCTGCTCCAAACCTCCATACCACTTTCTTCCTTCATCCCTCCACTCAGCAACTATTTTTTAAAAGCTTACCATATACCAGGAAGTAAGCATATTTCTCTCCTGCTCTATAAAAGATGCATTGTTGGTTTTTGTTTTTTTTTTTCTGAGTTTCAAGATATTGTCCCTTAGGGACCCAGGTCGTAGTATATCTTGAGCAGGGGGACTCAGTAAGGAAATTTACTTTTACCATTTTTCTGGGCATTGTAGCTAAGTATCCTGTTGGTGAGACTCAGTGAAGAGATTGACCTGAAGTGGTAAAAGGCAATGACCCATGACCAATTCAGCATTTTTTGTAGTCCTGTTTTGGCAAAGGCTCTGCTTATCCAGAAATCATCACAGCAAGTAGTCACCACACAGGATGAGGGGCTTCCTGCATTGTACTAACCTCCTCTTGGTACTGTTTTAAAAATTAGCTTTAATAAAAGTAGTGATGATACCAGGATGGTATACTTTGCAGGTTGTTCTTTACAGATTTGTCCATTTGGTGTTATTATGATATCAAAGTATTCACTGTAAATTAAACTTTGTGTTCAGGCCCTGAGATGAGGAGGAGCTGTCCATTCGGAAAGTGGCTAAGGGCTGCTCACAATCAAATTTCAATGGCTCAAGAGCCAAACCACATGAGAAGACTTGGGCATGTTGCATTCTGGTTTTAATTCATTTGGGGAATGTTCTAATGAAGGTTACGAAACCTACTGATTCAATCTAACATCTGGTTAGAAGTGAATCTAACATTCTACTTGCGAAAGTCTTCATATTTCTGATAAGCTACAGAGGAATCAGACACACACCTTTGGCAATATTGTTGGCATAAACAGAAATTTTTCAAGTTTCTGCTTAGGACAACAATTGCTAATAACAGAAGGGCAGCTAATGTATTTACCATACACCACCAGGGTGTGGGTGGACACCATGAGGTATTTCTCCTCGTTCACTTCATTTGTTTAATAATGGTCACACTCTAAAGATGGGCAATGTTGTTTCTTTTTGCCAACGCAGATGTGGCTTTACAAAAACATGGGTGGATCTCTGATGGACAAAAATTAAGGGTGAAAATAGATATCATATTTTAGGGGAACAGTGATCCTAAGGAGATTTGGGTTAATTAATTAAACTTCTACTTTAAAAATCTTGGTTAATAAATGCTACACACTTCCCAAATTGACTGTTCAGGTGGAGGGACTGACCAAAAAGGAAAAAGGACTCACAGACATGGACAACAGTGTGGTGATTGCAGGAGGAAGGGAGTATATGGGGGCTAAATGGTAATGGAAATATACAATAAAAAATTAAAATTAAAAATTTATTTTTCAGTAAACTAGTTAGGTAACTAATTTAAAAAATATATAGATAATGTATTAAAATTAGGTCTTTTCAGCCATGATTTTTATTTTTAATATAATGAAACCTAATATTAAACATTTAACCTCAAAAGAAATGTTCTAGATTTTCAACATAGAGAAAACAGCACAGTTATCATAAAAATGTGTTTTTCCTTCAACTACATGAATCTCGAGTGATACAATTTATACTGAAAGAATCGTGGTTCTGTTTAATGCATACACACTTTCTCTGATTTTTCTAGAGATATAATAATGTTGTAAGTATTTTACACCTGGTAGAGCAAAGTCACTAACCAAACAGAAGAGACCCCTGCTCTGTCTCTGGAATGCATCCTGGGGTGTGCCGGCAGAGCCTGTGCTCAGCTACACCAACTACAATTAAAGTAGCCACATGCTTAACATGGGGGCTGCAGTCAACATTCAATTTTTGTACTTAACTCGTTTACTGTACGAGATTAAAATCACATTAAATCATCCAGGCTGGTGTGGCTAAGTTGGTTGGAGCATCATCTTGTACCAGGAGTGTCCAACCTGGGGCAGGCCACATGTGGTCTGGGATGGCTATGAATGTGGTCCAACACAAAATCATAAATTTACTTAGAACATTATGAGATTTTGTTTTTGTTTTTGTTAGTGCTTATGTATTTAATGTGTGGACCAAGACAACTCTTCTTTCTCCAGTGTGGCCCAGAGACACCAAAAGTTTGGACACCCCTGCAACCAAAAGGTTGCTAGTTCGACTCACGGTCAGGACACATACCTAGGTTTGGGGTTGGATCCCCAGTCAGGGTGTGTACGGGAGGCAACGGATCTATGTTTCTCTCTCTTTCTCCCTTCTCCTCTTTCAAAATCAATGAACATGTCTTCGAATGAGAAGTTTTAAAAATTACATGAACTCACTTCTTTGAGCCATAGACATTAATAGCAGTATCATTTACTACTTTGGAGAAGCAATGGAACATTGTAATAAAAGTATATGCTTTGGCGCTGAAAATATCTATTACTATTCAATTTACTAACCTAAGTATTATTGATCTTTTAAAAATGGATAGCCTAAAGTTCAAATTGTTTTTCCCATGTCAAATATCTCCTTTTAGAAGGTTTTAAGTAGTTTTTGCTGCATGTAAGTTTTAGATACAATCATGTATACATGAATAAAAACATTTTTAATGTGTCTTTTGCTTAAAACCCTAAAAGGAAAATCTCTTGAAACACTGCCTTCTAAGATCAGCCTCAGAGAAGACATGGGTTAGTGTTTGGATTGACATGGACTTAATTTGGGTTAAAATATTCCTCTAAAGTATCAAATCAATTTTTAGAATCAGTTCTAAGTGGCCACTAAGATGATCAAGGCTATCTCAAGTGGTTTCTTTTTGACTTTCCCCAGCTACCCAAGAGCAATTCGTGAAACATGTTTTTGCACGTCAGGAGGTAACAATGAAGAAAGCCTCACTGAGAAGCCTTAAAATAACTTTTTAATTAATTTGAGTTTTCATTTGGAAATAACCAAGAGTTTCAGACCATATCTCATGGGAGCTGGCTGGGGGGTACTCCACCTCACAGCTTGGAGTGATAAAATATCTGGCTCTGTGTCAATAGATGCAGGAAGTTTCTTCCTGGTTCTTTTCAACATGGCTATTGTGATGTGAAAAAGAAATTAAGTTCTTTGGGAGTAAAATGCCAACTATCTTTCCCAATCTTGCTGGGTATTCCAACCTACATGAAATATCCTGCCAAAATATACAAATTATTGGGATATGATCAAATGATATCAGTGAGTCACATGTAAGACAAAGCATGATAACAAAGAGGCTGGGAGATAAATGCTTCCTAGGAAACCATTCACAACAAGATTGAGGATTGCTCTGGAAGAGAATCCCTGTGATTAGATTTAAGAGAGACCATGCCAAAGGGACCTTAAGGAATAGCACAAATCAATACTTGGAACAAGGCCAACTGGTCCATTATTTAGGAAAAATCTATAACCTAATCAATATAGAACCTTACTATATAAATATAAAACAGAGCAAAATCAAATCCACATTGTTTAGAGTTTCATTATTACAAAATCAAACCACTTATATAACTAAAAGGGGGGATATTTATCTGCTCTCTGGATAGGGGAGGGTTTTCTAAAATACACTGCAATCAAAGATATGACAATGAAAAAGACAATTTGATTAAATGAATTTCAAGGTGACTATTTAAAAAATTCTCATAGCAAAGTTGATAACAAGTGTGAGAATGTTTCTAGATGATATTACAAAGGGTCACTGTTCTTTAATCTACTCCTTTAAACTGTTCAATAAAAACACCAGGAGATGCCCAATAAACAAGAGCTGAGACAAAGGTCATTAAATGAAAACTGCAAATGGCTGATAAACAAGTGAAGAAAGTACTGCTTTATCAGCAAGCAGAGAACCACAATTAAAAACATTTCACACTGTTACATTATCCAGGATTTGGTGATGTAAATATATAATGTTACTAACCAGGGTCCTATAGCAAAATAACTCTGATACATTGCTGGCAATATGGTAAATTGGTATAACTTTTCTGGAAGGAAATTTGACCACACATGTTAGGAAGTTTAAAAAATGTTCAATATCTAAACTGTTAATTCCTATTCTAAGAATCTATTTTAAGGAAATGATCAGAAATGTGAGCAAAGACTTATAAATGTTCATCCTCAGATCACTTACAATTAAAAAACTATTAGAAATAACTTACATGTCTACAAAGTAGAAACTGATTGAGTATGTAAAAGCATGTTTAGATCATGCTTTCTAAATCATCTAGACCAATTAATTGGTGTACCACCAATTGGTGTACCGCCAATTAATTGGTGTACTGCCAATTAATATGCTATGTCATACCCTGGCTAGTGTGGCTCAGTGGATGGAGCACTGGTCTGTGAACCAAAAAGTCACTGGTTCGATTCCCAGTCAGGGCACCTGGGTTGCCTGGGTTGTGGGCCAGGTCTCCAGGTGGGGGCATTCAAGAGGCAACCAGTTGATATATCTCTCACACACTGATGTTTCTCTCCCACTCTTTCTCCCTTTCTTCCCTTCTCTCTAAAAAGTCAATAAATAAAATCTGTAAAAAATATGCTATGTCATATTTTGACTAAGTGAAATAAAATTATATATATATAATCATGATTTTAATTTTATAATGAAAATATGCATAGAAATAAAAAATATTTCAAAGTTTTAATAGTAGGCCATAAAAGGTTTTATACTAGTCATTTAGCAGGGTTATAGGTAATTTTGTTAACATTTCTTTTTCATTTTATACATTCTAAATCTTTAAATATTAGATAATTAAGAAAAAATTAAAACTCAAAAAAAAACAGAAATAAAGAAGGAAAGGAAGAGGAAGACACAAAAAAGAACAACAAAAAGAGAGAAAGAAGGAAGACAAGGAAGGAAGGAAGGGAGGGAGGGAGGGGGGAGGGAGGAAAACTAAAAAAGGGAATATAAAAAATATGTCATGTCTTGGGAATGTACCTGCAATTTCCTTTTTTAATATTATTATTTGAAATAAAACACTTTTCTGGGCAATCATAGTAATCTGATAATCATAATTTGATAGTTTTTCTAGTATGCATACTTTTCTGCTGATTCAAACCACAGAAACATTCACCTTAGCAAGATTACTTCTCAGTCAGCTCTATTTTATTGAAACCCATTTTCTGTCACTAAAAAGAGTTCAGCTTATTTATTATTATTATTATTATTCCTGTGGGGTACGTACTACCTTTCTTCCCACAATGCTGCATGATCAGCGGAATAGTCTGTGGACTATTTAATTAGACATAAAAAGATATCTATCTGTATACATCATTCACACATTGAACAGAACAGCTTTGCAACCATGGATAGTCTTTGCAGGTTCACTTGACTACAGGATATTTCTGTGGCTGAAAAGTTCAGTTCCTAGTATTAAAGCTAGGACCAAATTCCACTCTTCTCATCAAAGTGCCTCCTCTACTTACTCAGTGACACGACATCCTTTGCTTTGTAATTGGGCATGTGATTTAAAATGCAAACAACTGTGTGATGGTTATAATACTGGCTTACATTTACAACTGGTAGCACATAGCTGCTGGGATGCTCCCTGAGCACAGATTTTGAAAGAAGGGAAAGGGAAGAACAAGGGGCTGAGTTTCTGAAGTAAGAGAGAAAAAGGTGACTAGATGGGGGAAAATGCCTGGCACGTAAAATGTATCAACATTTACAGCACTAAGCAGGGGCTGTGCACCTGAATAAGACAAACCAAGGCCTTACCATTTTGAAGAGGGTTGGTTCTTTTAAGTAGGAAGCAATAGAGAAAAGATTTGAACAGTAGCAATGTAAGTGCAGCATGTGCCAATTTGCTCTTGAAACATGTTATAGTAAAGAAACAATCCACAGGACAGAAGATAATAAGCATTATTTCAAAATATCTGGAATACTGAAGTTCTAGAGTAACTATATTAAATATCGGACTTTTAGAACTTTAAACAAATTAGAGATGCTTTTGTCTTATACTTCTACCTCTGTTTTCTGAGAAAGAAACTAATTCCTAAAATGATAAGTTACTTTACCTAACACCCAACACCCCATTCATAGCTAATCAGCTGATCCAGTCTCAGTTCCAAATAATAGGACTCTTTCCTTAAGTAAAAATACAATGCAAATATAAAAATACAATGCAAATTAAAAAACATTCTTGAAAATAACCTGGTACATACCACTGTGTTTACTTGATCATAGGTACTTTGAATTTTTCCATTTACTTTGTTTATACCTGACAAAAACAAGAGAAAAATGATATTATTTTCACTTTTTGCTTCTAAATCAATTCTTATGTAATCTTTATGAAAACAACTAGAAGTCCTGTTGTCTCTAACTTAAGCATATTATGTTACTTACTATTATTTTAAACACTGATTCCAGTAAAGATTTTGAGTGAAGGGATAAGAGGAAGAAAGCCTGGGACCCCCTAACGCCTCAGTGAGAACTGGTTCAGTTTTCCATCTGAACATGTGCACATGTTATTTGGTTTTTGACTAAGTTGGTATTCATAGGTCAGGGATTGATTTAAAATACTACAGTGATCAACCAACTGTTATCATGGGGGCATCAAGTATTAGTATCATTTAAAAAAACACTCATAAAAAAGAGTCTGAAATATCAATACTCAACAAATTCTATTTACTTTTGTCAAGTACTGGAAGTTGGAAATTACCTTGTCTCACATTACACAGTTAATACACAATTTAAAATTTGATCATTAGGGACCAAAGAAAAACATTCCAGAAAGTTTAAGACAGTTCCAGGTACTTACTTCCAATAATAGTCTTGTGATTGAAAATTTTACTCCAAATTCCGCCCTCTACATTGTCTTTCACTCCGAATTCATAAACTGTGTCAGGCTTCAGATTTTCTACAATTGTTTCAGTGGCTGGACAGAGTTGAAAAATCCATTTCTTTTCCTTATCCTTTTCTCTATAGCGAATTGTATAAAACCTGTTGAAAACCCAAAGTAGGATGCTTTAAAATCATAGAAAGTAGCCCTGGCTGGCATAGCTCAGTGGATTGAGCGCGGGCTGGGAACCAAAGTGTCGCAGGTTTGATTCCCAGTCAGGGTACATGCCTGGGTTGCAGGACATAACCCCCAGCAACCGCACATTGATGTTTCTCTCTCTCTCTCTATCTCCCTCCCTTCCCTCTCTAAAAATAAATAAATAAATAAATAAATAAATAAAAATAATCACAGAAAGATTCAGAATGTATTTTTAAGTTTCTTAATATATCACAGAGTCTCATCTACTCCAAAGATTGGATTCTATATTAGCTTCTGTTTAAATTTTAAAAATTTTTGTAGAGAACATTAAAAAATACCTTATATATGTTTAATTTTTAATTTCTAATTGCAAATTAGAGGATTGTGCAGCAGCACAGTTATGGTCTGACAGAATTCAGATTTCTCAGTTCTACTATTGCTACTTTGCAAAATTAAAGTTGGAAAATGGTGGGTGTTCATTTTTCTCCCAGTTATGCATACAGAAGAACATAGGCATAATTTTATGAATACTTAATGTTTGAGTTTCATAATTGTATGGCTTCAAGACTTTCATGCCAAGAAAATTGCATGAGAAGTAATATCATTCAATTTTTAAGAGAGAAAACTGAAACTCTAAGATGCAACCAGGACTACATTTTGAGGGTGAAATTTTCTTACCATTATAAAAAAAGAATCAAGACCAACAGCCAAGGTAAGGGTACAATTAGAAAAGTCAAACAATGTAAATTCAAAATCACTGTTATATATTTGCTGATAGCTTCAAAATATTTCACACATATATAGAGAACAATAATCCCCACCGCTATTTTTTGTACCTTTATCACACACTAGGTTGTGCATATGTTTTCTCATTTAATTTTCACAAAAACATCTTAAGTGGTAGGGATTATTACTTCCATTTTTCAAGTGTGAAATGGAACTTTGAAAAGATCACTTAGCTTGCCCATGTCACCCAGCTAATGACTTTTCTCTGTGACAACGACAGAACCAGAACACAAAGAAAGACTCCACTGGCTCTGCTCCCAACAGCCTCCGTAGGTGGGGCAGCAGACCAGCAAAGGAGGCATCATCACAGTTGTGTGCAGTAATGGGAATGAATGAACGAGAGCTAAGTGTGTCAACACAGAGAGATTTTACAAACAAAATATTGAATGAAAATAGCAAATTATAAAATGATACAGTGCCGTGCCATTTATGTAAATATCAAAATGCACAAACACAAAATATGTTGCCATATATTATTCCTGGCATTGTAAGGAAACAAAAGATTATGATAGTGCATTGGCTCCCAATGAGCAGGTAGGGAGAGAAATGGGATTAATGGTAAAAGGAGCAGATAATTAAACTTTTTATTTTTAAGTAAGCATTTTAAGAAAATGGAATAAAATAACAGCTGTCATGTATGGTAATGGAAACATAGATGTTTGTCATATTATTTTAGATTCTTCCTTACACGTTAAATTTTCCCTCAAAAATTTAGTGCCTCTCCTTGACTCCTAAACCCAGAAATATTAAATGGACTAAAATTCAGGTCAATTGCATTTATGCAAAGCTTTTAAAAAATACCACTTATTTATTCATGCTTAAAACATTTGTAGATGAAAAAGGAGTTCTATGAAAAGTAACCTGACAGGGTGACAGATCATAAATTCCTAACCAGGCAGATCACAGTGGGCAGTCACACACCAATCATATTACTTTCTAGTAAAAGCTTTATTTTTGCTTTAAGCAAGCCCTGTCCATTTGTTCTGTCATTTAGATTAAAACACCTTTGAAATAAGCCATAACAACACTCAAGAGAGCACATAATATTGTCCACTATTCTGTAATCCAATCCCCACCTTGATTTCTCCAACCTCTATGTAATCTTTCTTATGTTTGTCCCCTCAATTCCAAACGCATAAGAGAAACTGCAAAAGTGTCATTCTTGGGAGCAATTGAGATCTTGCTTCCCATAATGGGCATCAGTTTTGGTTCAAATAAAATCATAAAAATCGTCTATAGGTGTGCATGTTCCTCACATCAACATGTTTATCGTGCACCCGCTTAGTGCCAGGCACAAATTCTTGGTGATGCAAAAACAATAACCCAGATTCTCTGGAAACAAGGGCCAGGACTGGCTATATAATTGGTGTGCATTGCAAAATGAAAACATGCAGCCTCTAATGAAAAAAATGATTAAGAATGTCAAGACAGTGACAATGGAGCCTTAAAAAGAGCATGAGGACTTACAAGGGGGGCACTCCGTGCACCTACACAGGTTGCCTGCCCATGCGTTCAGCAGAGGGTTTACAGTAAAATAAGTACAGAGAACAAGAGATGTGTTTGTACATTCAACCTACATTTTTACTGGTCACACACTACTGAACTGCTTGAGACTATTCATTAACTTACTTCTTTCTAGTAAAAGCTGCTCTCCAGACTCCAGTCCCCCATTTCAAAGCAATGCAAAACAGAATGAAAGAAGGTGGTTGTTCCAGCCAAAATACCAACTGCTACTAAAAGGAAACATGATAGAATACTAATATTCTGTGTTCTCAAGTCAAAACATCAACAGTGATTTATAAAACACATTTTTTGACAAGTTTGATGCTTGGGATTTTTGTTGATTTTTTTTTCTCTGCCTGGCTTATGACAGGACTTTGAAGAAATACAGAGAAGTTAAAATCAGAACAGATGGATGGCTACCATTATAAATCTCTAGTTTGGATACATTTCTGAAATCCTGAATTGCTTGCATGATTCAGGGGGGCCAGTGCTATCATCAGAGAAGACCTCTGGAGGGTCTGCTTGTAGCCATTTGGATTTTAAGAACACATCTCATTTCCTAATTAGTCAAAAACTGTTGAAGACAGTGTTTGGTTCATCTGGCATTATTCTGTGTTTTGAGCTCCCAGATTGTCTCAATACTGACAACAGTTGTTATTAGAGCTTAAAGAAATTCATACATAGCTCCTCAAAATGTAGTAGAGAGGGCAGATAGTGGTTTGGATATTTGTCAGCTGAAAATTCATAGCATTACCTTGGGAGAGTCTCTTTGCTCACTTACACACAGATATTTTTTTCTTCACTGAAAAAGAAAGGGGAATGGACTTCTGGACAAGATGGAGGCATAGGTAGATACACTTTGCCTCTTTGCACAACCAAAAGAAGGAAAAATAACAAATTTAAAAACAAAAAATAACCAGAACTGCCAGAAAATGGAACCGTATTGAAGTCCAACAACCAAGGAGTTAAAGAAGAAACATTCACCCAGACAGGTAGGAGGGGTGGAGATGGGCAGCCGGGGCAGAGAGGACTCAAGGCAAAGCAGCTACTGGAGGATCAGCAGTTCCACATTTGCTTGAGGATAAACTGGAACAACTGGGGTGCAAGACAGGCTGTGCAACCCAGGGTTCAAGCATGGGAAAATAAAGCCTTAAAATGTGTGGCTGTAAAAAACCTGTGGGGGTGACGGTGGCAGGAGAAACTCCCAGTCTTATAGGAGAGTTAGTTGGAGAGACCCACAGGGTTCTAGAATGTACACAAGCCCACCCACCTAGGAATCAGCACCAGAAGGGCCCAATTTGCTTGTGGGTAGTGGAGGAAGTGACTGAAAGCTGGCCAAAAGCCAAGCAAGCATCATTGTTTCTTCTTGGACCCATCCCCCATATACAGATACATGGGTTGCCCCACCTGGCAAATACCTAAGGTCCACCCCTTACAATGTAACAGGCACGGCAAGAGAAAAAAAAATATGGCCCAAACAAAAGAACAGATCAAAACTTCAAAAATAGAAGTGATGAAGAGATAGCTAACCTATCAGATGTAGAGTTCAAAACACTGGTAATCAGAATGCTCACAGAAATGGTTGAGTATGGTCTCAAAATAGAGGAAAAAGTAAAGGCCATGCTGAGTGAAATAAAGGAAAATATACTAGGAACCAACAGTGAGGGGAAGGAAACCAGGATTCAAGTCACCAGTTTGGACCAGAAGAAAGAAATAAACATTCAACATCAGAATAAAGAAACAAGAATGAAGAAAAGTAAGGAGAGGCTTAGGAACCTCTGGGACAACTTTAAATACTCCCACATCGGAATCATAGAGGTGCCAGGAGAAGAAGAGGAAGAGCAGGAAATTGAAAACTTGTTTGAAAACATAATGAAGGAGAACTTCCCCAATCTGGCAAAGGAAATAGACTTCCAAGAAGTCCAGGAAGCTCAGAGAGTCCCAAAGAAGTTGACCCAAGGAAGCACACACTAAAGCACAACATCATTACATTACCCAAGATGAAAGAGAATCTTAAAAGCAGCAAGAGAAAAGGACACAGTTACCTACAAAGGAGTTCCTATAATATTATCAGCTGATTCCTCAAAAGAAGCTTTACAGTCAAGAAGAGGCTAGAAAGAAGTATTTGAAGTCATGAAGGGCAAGGACCTCCAACTAAGATTACTCTATCCAGCAAAGCTATCATTTAGAATGGAAGGACAGATAAAGTGCTTCCTAGATAAGGTCAAGTTAAAGGAGTTCATCATCACCAAGCTCTTATTATATGAAATGTCAAAGGGACTTATCTAAGGAAAAGAAGATGATCAAAAATATGAACAGTAAAATGACAGTAAACTCACAACTATCAACAACTGAACCTAAAACAAACAAAAACAGACTAAGCAAACAACTACAACAGGAACAGAATCACAGAAATGGAGATTACATGGAGGGTTATCAGTGGGGAGGGAAAGGGGAAAGAATGAGTGAAAAGGCACAAGGAATAAGAAGCATAAATGGTAGGTATAAAATAGGGGGAGGTTAAGAATAGTATAGGAAGTGAAGAAGCCAAAGAACTTAGATGTACAACCCATAGACATGAACTAAGGGTGGGGCAGGTGGGGGGAATGCCGGTGGGAGGGATATACAGGGCAGAGGGGAATAAAGGGGGGGGAGGGACAATTGTAATAGCATC